CTCGAGTATGTATTGTTTTTCAACATTTGTAGGCTTCCGCCTAAATTGAGAAGAGAAGGTGCGACATTTAACCTTTCTGAATATATTATTTAAAAAACTAGAACATACCATTAAATATAAAAGTTGAAAGGTTCGTAAATTAAAATGAACCATAAACTATTTTATATCTTTATACTGCTATGTGAATTATTTCTACATACATTAAATTTGAGCTTAGCAATGAACGCTAAATATATTGAATGAATGCCGCAAGTACATGTGGGAATCGAACAATTTTACTTTTCGCTTTTTTTTTTTACAAAAGTTAGTCTTCGCCATTTCAAAACTTCTAAAAAACTGTAATGATTTTTCTGAATAAAGTTCGTGTTTCTATGTCGTTTGCTCGACTTGGCCAAGCAATCAGCGTTCAGAAGCCGAAACTCTTTAATGATTGGTAAATTCAGCCTTCACCAACCATTACTGCTGCCGTGTCCCTTTCTTCACCGTAGTCGTCCAAAATCGATAGAGCATTCATTATTAACTTCCTTCCTTAGCGCAGAAGTGAATGTCGCCAAAATTTTTCTCCAAATAATCCAATTTTGATCAGTGTTTTAAAGTTTTCAAGTGCGTTTTTCTCGAGTCCTGGTTTTTTAGAACGGCACGCAGCACATAACCGTTAGTTTTTATTCTTTTGATTCGAATTTAGAATTTCTTCAGATTAAGATTTCCTAAGGAAATACGCAGTGAAATTTTAATAATTTAAGCACTAAGTCATTGCGCGAAAATAGTGAGTTTGCAGAAACATTCACGAGTTTTTAGATTAAGGGATTGTTTACACCCTACACCGCTTGTAATAACTTTGTGCGAATGTATGACTTGAGATGAACTCAACTATTATTACATCGTGTTAATGCTATCAGTCCGCATTGCTTTCTTACGCTCAACCTACCTGCAGGTGGCAACTGTTTGTATGTTTTGACCCAAGGACAAACGCTACCGAAAATGGTTCTGATCGGACCATATATTTGTCTATTTCCCATACACGCTCTACTATAGTCTTTTTACTTCTTTCTTTAATTCATATTTGGGCCAGTTGCGTTGCTTGCCACAGAGTTCCTTAAATTGATAGTGAGGGAGAGAATGGCTGCGGCATTGCAATTTTTGAATGTTTTTCACACACAATCTTTTTTTTTTTTTTTAATACTTTAATTTATTATCCACCTAATCACTGCCTTCAATATTATAATTCTGCTGCCTTTCCTTCCATTCATGAAGAAATTGTCAAAACACTTCTTCCTTCTTTTGAGTTGCGACAATGACTTAATCCCTTAAGTAAATATATTTGTTATTCTTATTAGATATTGTCCTTCCTCTCTTAAATTATATATTACTTATGATTAAATTGGACACAAAAGTTAAACTCATATGCTCCGCAAAATCGCTCCATTTACGGTGAAATGCGCAAGGAAATTCGAAAGGATGTAAAAATAATTGAAGAAATGCTCACTCCCCTGCATTACGAGAAATTGCTCGTAATTCTTTCAAAGCACACTTTGAACAGCATATCATATGTGTAGATGTACACACAGGCAGCATGGAATACAATGAAAGCATTTTATCACGTTTTCCATTTTATTGCACCTTTTGTCTATTTACAGATTTTATCACATGGAACGGACATTTTTAACACCAATTCATCTTCTTATGCTGGTTACCATTACGGACCAATACCGCAAACTTTAACTAATCAAAGTAGTAAACCGTTAGCATACACATCAGCTTTGTCGTCGTTATCGTCAAATGTAACGCCATGCACTACATCGACAGCATCAATGTGTTCGCCTGCAGCGAATGCTTTACAAAAGTTATTCAAATGCAGTACTAGTCTTATGACCAATAAATCAAACCACAATACTAAACATCAAAATCATCATCATCGTCATCGTCATCATCATTCTCGCCTACAGCAGCAACAACAACAACACCAACAACAGCAACAACAACGAGAGCAACAACCGAATACAGAACATGCAGAGTCGTCCTCATTGCTTAGTAGAGCGTGTATCGGTAGCACCTACACGTTTATCGGCAGCAATAAAACACTAAAAACCAATTTAAGTGGCAACAAATCACAATTGCTGGCCAAAAAAACGAAATTCTGGAAATTATTGGAAAATGAGGGAACGAAAAATAGTAAAAGGTAAGCAGTAAATTGAACTTAAAAGGAATCATAAAAATAAGAGATAAAAAAAAAATTAATAAAAAAAAATTTTTTATTTTTTATTCTACTCTCAGTTCGCAAACGAATAGTAATTTCAAATACTGGCACGAATGCTGTAACGGGGATAAAATCAAACATTTGTCGCCTCAGCATAAAAATGCTGAAGATTTATGGCCTCTGACTTGCAGTCTATGCGATAATTGCCGTTGCATGGATTGTCAGGTAAATTTGTACATTTTCGTTTATTTTTCCTTTTTATACCCTACACCATTTGTGCTACGAGAGCATATTAAGGTTGTGCGAATGTATGCAATAAGGAGAACGTTTCCAGATAGATCAGCCTTTTATTAAACTAACCTTGTCTGTCTGTCGGTCCAACTTAATTTTCTGTGTTCATTCTACACAGGTTGCAATTTTCGAGATGCTCTGATGATATGAACTTTGGAAGAGAACACTGATCGATTCTCAGTCACTTTCTGAATCGAACTAAGCTTGTCTGTCGTCTCGTGTCCCATCTCGTGTTCCATCTACGGATTCCAATTTTCAAATTATTTTGATGAAATTTGACCCAAGAACGAATTCTATTGAAAATGTTTCGGATTAGATCACTTTTTCATCCATATCCCATAGAATACTTTATCTCTGAAAGCCGCTAATTGTATGAAGCAAGGTGACGTAGGGTATTTACGAAAGATCCCTTTGCCATTGTATTGTTTTACTTATTTGAACATGCTTATTCTATTCTATGTTACAGAGCGGTTACTTCGACTACGATTATGAAACTGATAGTGATTCGGAATATTCATTGCATTTAAGTGATAATGAATTTGAATCACAAAATTTCGATTTAATAAGTTTACAGAAATTAGATTTGACTGATGATAACTGCAATGAATGCAATGAATGCCAACGACAGTTAGATGATGAAGGGAAAAGAAATCAACCAGCACTCAACAATGTCAAGGACAATAAAATCAATAGCTATAATAGTAGTAAACAAAAAATAACCAACAAATCAACAATAGATAACGATGATGATGAGAGTTCGTCGGTTTGTTTACTTACAAAGCAAGCACAAAATTTAAATGCGATTGAATAATAACAACAGCAACAGCATTGTTTTCATTTTTTCGCTTGAAACAATAATACGAACAATAACAACAACAAAAGCAACAGTAACTTGGAAAAACTTGGCGATTTGATATAAAAAATAAAAGATATTCAGATAGTACATCTCCTTTGCTCGCTCTGCCTTCTTACCTATATCTAAGATTATTAGTTACATGTGCAACACACGAGAGAGGTCATAGCAACCGAAACTTTATTAATTGTAAGCCTTGCTAAAAAGTAGTGCATTAGAATTGAGTCGAATCAAAACTTATGCTTAACGATGATATTAAACCAAGCGTAATACAAATATTACAACAATGGACAACACAACAACACAAACAGATCATTAATTAACCTTGCAGCATAATCAAAAACGATTGTAAGCACGTGACGTTTCTTTTTTTTTTTTTTTTATTTTTAGAGATTTACGTGCCAACTTGAATAATTAATTAATAAAACTTTATTGAAACAATTAAGTGAAAAAAAGTGAAAATAAAAACAAAATAAATTAATTCGGTTCCAACCGAATCTCTTATTATCCATTATTTACCTCCCTGCCTCTTGATAAGGATTTGTATTCGTCATGCCAGACATGCTAGTAATGGCTTCGGCATAAAGTTAAATGCAAACCATTTATTAAACCGCATTCAAATGAGATTTCTATGGGAAAGTTTTACATGAATATAAAGAAAAATTTAATTTCCTTCAAAATTATGCTTCGACGTAGTTTACTGCGTTAATTTCATTTTAAATCATGATTTTTGAGCGATTAATTATAAAGCCTAAGGAGAGCTTCGCCTCTTTAGAAGAGAGCGAAGGCTTGAATTTGTCTTTATGACGTAGAACTTGCAATGCAAACGAAAATGCTTGAGAAAACATTAACCAAAATTTATTTACATGTTACATAGAGATTTGTATTTATTTTTTATACCCTACGATACTTTTACAATGTACCTTACAGGATACATTAAGTTTGTGCGGATTCACACAGCAATCAGAAGGTCTTAGGATAGGTGTATCTTTTTTTGTGCTGATCAATTTAGGACCATTTTCCCAATCAATCCAAACTTGTCTGTCCCTATGTCAATGATTTCTTTTGTTGAATCTACACTTTGGTGCACTGATGTATTTCGCCTCGAGGGCGAGTTCTATTTAAATTAGATTGACTCGGACTACATATTCGACCACTTCGCATATTATGCCTTTTTTCTCAACAAAAATCCCTGAGTAATAGCATTCCGGCATACTAAGTTAGGGTGTAAATGGCCTGATGTTCTGTACTCCCTCCTACATAACAGTTTCACTTGGCACACGCCACTGCATACTGTACTGTTTTGTATTATCATGGAAATGAATGGCATGAATGAATGAATAAGCGAAATGCTGAAGAGTACCAAAATGTCGACCGTAACTGACTAAAATGTTTTTACTCGTTTTTCTTTGTTTTTTGCATGTTGTTTGACTTTAAAACTACGATTGCTCTAAAGTCTGCCTTTAGCCACTCTCATGTGTATGCTGGTGCTTGGCGTGTATTTACAGTGTCAGAGCAAACAATAAGAATAACGTAGTTATTTTTTGATTGCTTTGTTTATTTACTTTTAAATGAATTCAGGAATTTTTATTTACCAGCCTCCTTTTCGGAAAATAACAACTAAAAAACACTAGACAGACGATCACTTCGAACCAATGCTCGCATCTTACACGGCCTAGGGAGACATCTGCACAAAAGTTCATTTCAATAGCGTTGTGTGCAGTAAGTCTTATATGTTGCCGCACGAACCGTCGAAATGCTAACCCCAACAACTCAATATCTTTTATAAATCTTGTAAACACTTTTGCTTATATATTTTGATTCGAACGTTAATTGAATCCTAATCGCGCGTTTTTATAACGAATCATATCACGATGTCCTTCTCAGGCACAAAGGTGGATCGTGAGACTAGTTACTGTTTTTGTTTACAGTTTAAATTCATTTATTTATACAAGGAGGGTTTGCGCAAACATAAAACATTCCACACAGTCCCCATATTTTTTGGAAGTACGATATAAAAAAGTTTTATGTTCAATCTTCAAATGAGCCTCAAAAGCTCAGAGCGGTCGTATTAAGGTAAGTGTTCACAATTGATTGCTTAGATCTGATGGTTTACGCCCATTGCCAATTTCAAGTGTGTTATCCTTTTATCTAAATGTTATTCAATAACAAGGGACAAGCGGAAGGATCAACATCGTAGAGATGCGTACACACAGCCGTGCGGATGGATGGGCGGACGGAAGGAGCTGATCTGTGATCATCGTCTAAAAGGTGTTATTATTCGATCATTGTCCTACCCAAAAGGCGGAAGAATACGAAAACAAATCGATTAAACCAAATAAGTTTGATCACGGGCTTCTCGGATGTAAGAAACAATAGTCGAGCGCATTACACCCACTATTATGCTTCTGTTTTCGTTAGTGCAGTCTTTCTGCTGAATAATTATAATTACTGAATAAAATTGTAATAAAAAATAATAAAAACAAAAAAAAAAACTGAACAAATATTTGCCATGTTTTAATACTTTGTCACGGAAGATTTTTTTGAAACAAAAAAAAAAAATGAATTGATCTGGTGTTTAGGATGTCCAACACTTACCCAGAACCAAGTTAGATTCCTATGACGATAGAGTGTAAATTGAACTTCACAATAGATTTGTGAAGCGTGCAAGCAAAGTATATTCATATTAGCCGAATGGAAATGTGGCTCGTATACCTGATATCTTCTTGAAGAGGGTGATTAGTGTCGCTAATGGCCTTTCGATTAGGCTGTCGTGATCGCAATTTCTCTTTTCAACTCTCCTCCACTGGGAAGTTTCAACGTTAGCTAAAACATTATGTACATAATATACGGCATTTACCAGAAAAGTGCTGCCAAATCTACACAAATGTTCTTTAGTAAGCAGCCGATTACGACGGCTGTGGCGGGATAGCCAAACGATATATACCATCAAATGCCATCAATGTCAAGCGGATGTTCGCTTTATGTTGCTTAACGTTTAATATTTTATCTTGAATGTAAATAACTAGAAATTCTGTATTTTATATACTGATGTAAAACTAATTTAGGTCTCGGATCAAGCTAAATATTATTTCCTTCTTATTGTTTCATTCACTTGCAACTCAGGGTTTCAAATTGTTTGTAAAAAATAATGCTAGCGTGTCGTTTACTCAACAAGTAACGGAAGTTGATAAATCGTTAATTTCCGGGAAATTGACATAATTTTCCGAGGTTGTTAAAACGCCTTTCGAAATCCAATAAATAGCTAAATTTTCACTTACAACATGAATAGTTGAAAATATTTCCTTTTTGTCGTAAAATATTTCATTCATCCGGTCTAAGTAAAAAATGAAGCTTCCAACTATCGCAATATTAGCCACAATTTTATATTTAAACCTAGCTAAAGGGGTAAGAACGTTTTTAACCTACAGTTTTATAGATATAGAGCAATAGTTTTGTGGCGATATTTTTGCTTTTAGGAGAAAAAATCCTATATTGTAACCAATGATAAGTGGGACAATATTGAAAGTGAAGAGGAAAGTTTAATGCTCTTCGATGTACATATGGTGAAGCGGGAACGTTTTATAAACGGAACGGTTACATTGATCGAGGATTTCGATGACGAGAAATTTGAATTTATGGTCGAAATGTTCACAAGTCCAAATAGCGATGGTAATTATCAACGAATGGCCTTTGGTGTACCCAAGATACATATGTGTGAAGGATTGAAAAAGTTTTACGCTAAATTCATTCAGCCCTCTATGGTTCTCGGAGAAAACACAAATTTTCCTTACGTCGACGAAGAGGAAGGACTATGTCCTTTACCTAAAGGCGAATACTGGATTAAGGAAATACTTTTGAATACGGAAACTTGGCCCACTCAATTTCCGCGCGGACTACTTAAGGTGGTTATAACAATATTTAAAAATGATTTAGTCGTGGGCGGCGCTATCGTAATTTTGAAAATTGAAGACAGACCCACTTAGAAGTAAATAAGTGTTCGCTTTCACTCGTGTAAGGCAAAAGAGACAAACAAAGATCTGCTTGCCTTGAGGCATTAAATTAAATATTTTTTGTTGTTGCTATGGTTTTTGTCTACACTTATTAAAAAAAAAAAAAAAAAAGTTCAATAAAAAAGCTTGGCATTTTACAAACTTACAAAGCTATTAAACACCGTTTTCAAAACTTTTGCTGCCCCTTCTCAGAGTTGATACATAATAAAAAGAAATTCCCGTTAAATAAAAAGAGAAAGTTTGAGTCCCTAACTGCGCAGGACATGAACATTGATTAACGGGCAATTTTTAGTAAATAAATACCAAACTGTCTCAAGGCACGAAGCTTAGTTTGAAATATATTGCAGTTGGTGTTGTTTTCGAATTCAGTAGAAGGACGTGAAAAAGTTCTCTCTTCGTCTAAAAAGAAAAAAAATTTCTATAAAAATTATAAGAGGAGAAAACGAAAAAGAAATCAATCTAAAAAATTTGCTTAATTGAAACAATTTTATAAAAACAAAAAAAATATCCTTTTTTCCAAAAAAAATTTCTGTACAAAAACATATCATAAAGAAGATTTTGAAGATTAATTTCGAAGAGAAAAAAAATAAAAATTTGCCCTCTATTTACATATATATATATATATATGTGTAGTGTAGTTTATTGTATTTCATTTTGGTAAGTTATTAAATATTAAACACATCGCCTCGTTTACAGTCCTCTGCCAAAATAAGGGAAACTTTCTTTTTTCTTTTCTTAGTTTTATTTGTTTTTGCTAACAACACATTTGACACCACATCACACGCAGAGTTCACTCCCTTTTAAATAACCTCAGCTGATTTTTATATACGTACATCTAGCCATCTTTCCTTTCAAAGCACGCACACATATGCGAATACTTACCCAACAGTTATTATCACTTATAGAGAGATATATTAGACAGAAACATTGTATTTGTGTTTACATTGATGTCATCTCTGATAGAATTTTAATAATAAATCTTATTAGATTTAACACATGCACACATACATGCATACGCATAAATCTAACCTCTTGAATTAAGTGCTTTTTCTAATGCTCTTACTGAAATATTTCCAGCTAAACAATAATCGTTTGCCATCTTAACGGTAAGCTTTATTCCCAATTTTCAACTTTGCATTTGCTCTAATGTGTCAGTCATATAAATAAATAAATACATAGATAAAATGCATAGATAGATAAAACTTGCATGCTCTTCGCAAAAAAAAAAAAGCAAATGAAATAAAAACCACATCATTCAATATCCTCAACACATCCATTATTTAGATAAATTCTTGTAAATGTTTGATATGAAATTCGTACAGTGAAGTCGCTTTATTATGGAATGTCTTCAGATGCTAAGCGACATAGAAAAAATAAATACATTGAAGTTCATGATATATTGCAATGTATCATGCAATAAAATTAACACTTGTCGAAACACTGTAAGGAAACATCTTTGTCAATGCTTTTGATTTCGTTCGTCACAACCTATTTCAAGACTAAGGGTAAGAGAACATGGAAGGCCTTGAGATATACCCATCCTTTTTTGCCGCATTAAATAAAAAAGTAAGTAAAAGGTATATCGTAGAGCAAGGCCCAACGCTCCATCTTCGCTTAATACAACTTCCCATTTACAAGACGTGAATTGATGGACATGGTCCAAATTTAGCAGAACTAATCTTGTTGCCAAAACAACTATTTTCGTTGTTTAATATTAAAGAGTGCACTTTGTTACCATGTAAAACTTTACATTTTTTGAATGTCCTTATACGGGTTGAGGTTCGAAAAATAGACCTGCGTGATTCAAATTTAGAGCAGGCCGAATTATATATATATATATATAAAATTACTATTAAATACAATTTCTGACATTTATGTATAGTAAATTCCATCAAACTCTCGGAAAAATTATAAGCTTAAGCGAAAGAATCAGGCGGACAGAAAATTATTCTGAACCGATTAAGTAACACAAAAGATAAATATATCTTAAGCCCTTTTGGGGGGATTTTTGTGTTCAACCAAAAATCGAAATTTCCACACATTTTAACGAAATTCGATATAATCACCAACCAATGGACCAATACCATTCAAATCTATCAAAAACGGGATTATTTCGGGCAATTTCTACGAACAAAAGATCGATTGTGACAATTTTGTTTAGTTAAGAGAAAATACTAATTTTGAATATTACAACGAAAGTATTTGTTCGTACTAAATAAACGCGTAATGCTTGGCTGGAATGGAACCATTGTGTTTTGAACTCTCTCCTATAGAAAGTTTCTTCCAAAAAATGATCTTTTACATGAAATCATAGCTTTAGTAAATCGATTATTGGACAGACGGACATCGTTACAGAAAATGAATATATAAAATTATGGGGTCTCTGAGGCTTCCCTCTGAGTGCTTTGACAAAATGAGTTCATCTACTATTGCTCAGCTATGGCTTTACAAATTAAGAATGCAATTAACAATCGCCTTAAGCGAATATTTTCTAAAACTTGTTGCGTGCTTTTACCAGATAACAGTAAATTTAATTTATTTCTGCCTTCCGGATAAAAACAAAAAATAAGAAACATTATTGAAAAAAATTTTGAACGAATATTTATTGACTTTTAAAGACTATTCAGCCTATGTAAGATCTGCTATCTGTCATCTGTGATCTGTTATCTATTATCAACAGATTTCACTGTATTTTCAATCCTCATGTTATGTTTTTGTTCAATTACATACTCGCAAAAACAAAAGACTTCGAAAACAAAGGAAATGCTTAAGTATCTTATTTATTTGTTTACGTATATACGAATCTCTTATTGTACATCTATCCGATACGCATACGTTAACACGCTCATATACACAGCATATATACATATTCTTTACAAAACAAAAAAAAAAAAAGTGAAAAATACTATCGCTCTGTATTCTGAGCGCAATAAAACAAAAAAAAAAAAAACTTCTATCTATTTTCTTCATCATGTGTACTCTTGTTTTTCTTTCTCTGTATTTCGTGTTTTCTTTTCTTTTTCTGTTTTTAGTGTAGTTGTGCAATAGTAAAGAAAAAACAAAATATAAAACAAAAAGAAAAAAAAGCAAAACAAAGGCCCAAACTATTATAAAGTTTGCAACAATAGAACAGAAGCAAGATTGTATATTATACGCATACGTGAGCGCGCACACACGCACACTGACACACGCATATACACACAAAATAATAAAAGACATTAAGTGAAACTTAAGACAACTCGGTATTGTGTGCGTAATCATCATCACTACTTTATCTTGTTTCCTTTCATTCTCTGCTAACAAACAGCTCTGCTCTTTTTCTCTTTCACTCTCTTTCTCTCTTGCACTCTCTCTCTCTCTCTCTCTCTCTCTCTCTCTCTCTCACTTTCTTTCTCTTTCTCTCTTAGAAGCGTACACAATCAAGTTATTATCTTTTTCTATCTATCTTGTCGCGTGTATAAGTGTGCGTGTGTATTTGTGCGAAGCAAAAACCTTTCAAGTCACAACGAAGCAACATCATAAAATGGCTCCATTTAAATTAAAATTCCGTATGGGGAGCTCACGCAGTACATCACAAGAACATGAACCGGATCCTCAGGTAAACGAAGCATTATTAACACAGCATACAGCCGGTGGCATAGGTGCAAGCACGTCAACCATCGATTCGGTCGATTGTAATAGTTTGGGTAACACCAGTGAACGTAAATTATTGTTGCCCAATAAAAGCAACAATTTACGCATGGGTAAGAAAATAAGTTTTCAAAATGCCATAAATAAATTATAATCTGAAATCAATTTATTTAAAAAAAAAAAAAAACAACAACAACAATTTTAAATAAATATGTATATATGTACATATGTATACATATATATTTCTTCTCTCAAAAGGCTGACTGACTATTAGCATTAATACCACAATGCACATACGTACACATGAGCACGTGGCAATATTTACGATAAAATTTAATATTTATTAGTAAATATCGAAAAGTAAATATGAAACGAGCAATCATCGTAGCCAATGAAAATCTATCAATAAGAAATAATTTAAGCCAAGACTTAGCTTAGTTTAAGCAAATTTTTCTTTAAATACAAACGAAGCTAATAATTAGCGCAGAAACTAATAGGAGTTTCTGTTCAATGTGTGATTGTTACAAGAGAGATCGAAAATCAGTTTACTCGATCTATCGACCGTAAATCGCCTCGTATAGATGGTAACGCTTTGCTAGTATTTGCGCAGAGCCAATCCTACTTTCCGGTATCACGGCTTAGTTACATGTAATTTTATGGTAATATTGGCCGAACCGGTACTCTGGCTGACCTTCAATCTGGTAGTTTTTGCTAAGGGAAAATTTTAAGTCGAAGCTAAAGTTCTACAAGACTGAGGTCAAACTTTAGAAAAAAAGAGACAAATTATTAGATTTTTTATAATTGCAAGCGAGTAAAACTCAACTTGGCAAAGGGTGTGATATAAAATTTGAAACAAAATTCGATTTTTTTAAAGGTTGTAGTGTTGCTCCAGGCAAACGGTAACGTAGGCTATGTGGTCGTGCAAACATGACTAAGTCGACTTCTCTCTGTGTCTTGGTCGGATACCTACGCAATCTCCAACCGGTTGATTCTTCTCAACAGACCGGAGTCCTATTTATTTAGAACACAGAACAACATACACATATTCATGGCCAAAAGATGCTAATTGCAGGAAAGCTCTTGAACAAATCTTCGCATCATCCTGTTTAGGACTCTGTTTTGCCGCGACGGTATTTAGGTTCAAATTGGTTAGCAACATCGAAAGTATCATAGATTTAGCCAATCTAGTTGAGCAACCGCCACCAAACTTATAACAAACGCGTTACCTTATACATGGCTGCTAGTTTTTCATGAATTTCAGTTATAGGCACTGCGGAACAGTTCGCAGATTATTTGCTTGCGACATAGAATTTGATAGATTTGGAATAAGCTTTCTTGTACGTATAATGGCCGTGGTACCAGACGCAGTTACGTTTTCTTAAAACAATTGCAAAGCATCCAATGTTGTGTTTGCGTTCTCAGCTGGTTCTTAAAAGTAGAAACAATTTCATGGAAAAGATAGACGGATGCCTACAGAGAGAAACTACAAGTGAGAAGGGGCCTATAGAACTTCAAGTTCGCAATACCCCACCTTATCTGAAGGGACCTAATATTTGTTTTTGTGTTTGCATTCTCAGCCGCACTTTAAATATCAGTTTTGAAGGATTACTTTTCGAGTACTTTTGTACAATGACCGAAGTTGAAAAGTTGACCCATTGCTTACTTTGAAGCGCAAAAAACCGTGATGCGCACTAGTAAAAAGCATTTCGTTCCATAGGAATTACTTAGATATAGTACGTTACACATTCTTCCACATCAACCAAGCCGTTGCTGAGGGATACTATTAAAAACAACTAATGAAAGCGAAAACGACCGCAAGAGGCCTTTCTAATCTAAGGCGACCGCCGGTCTCAGATTATAAACTTTGTCCAGAAAACTTTACCATCACTGAATTGGAGTTTAGTACCATCTCCCATATCTGCTGGACCCTCTTTCTAACTAACATCTGTTTCAATTGATTATGACCCAGTCTGTCTGAAAATGATCTGTGCCATTCTTAAAACTGCGTAGCTATCAACCTCAGAGAAGGAAAGAAAGTCATTCTTTCGACAAGGAATGCATATTATATCAGGAAGATGGAGAAAAACCTGTAGTGTTAACAAAGGGCAATGTTCCGGGCAAAAAATTCCGTTATACGGTCATACACCCGGTATTCGAATTGAATTTCAATTAATTTTTAAAAAGGACTAACCTAAGTTCTACAAAATTTTCAATCTTCCTTAACTACACATATACTTCATAATTAAAGGTTTAACGTTGGTCGCGTAAAAGGGAATAAAACCGCACAAATAAAGGTTATCTCAACTATGATTGTTGTTGTGGTACGAGAAGACTTGAGATAGATCGCTTTATTAAAGCGATCAATTCAGAATATGATTCTGAGCTTGTCCGTCTGTCCACCTTGTTATCGTGTGCTCAACCTAAAGGTCGCAATTTTTGAGTTATGTCGAGAAAATTTGATACTCCGATCTGTTTTGGTCCAAGCATGAACGCTATTAAAAATGATTTGGATCGGACTACGCTTTCGACCACTTCCGATGTAATACTTCACTTAGCAAAGTCAAAGCATGAATAGCTGTAAGATGTTTAATGGCAGATCGTGTTCCACTATAGTGTTTTCGTATCTTAATTGTCTATAAATACGCTCCGCGCCTTCTTGTCTTTTCCAAATACTCGAGGAATGGGGACGACCGGTATTAATTAATAAGCATTTAAAAAAAAATATTAAAATATTTATAAAATGTTGTCTTTAAGCTATCTAAACTGTATATATGTATGTGTACAAAGTGTGTAAATGTAAAATAATTTTTTCTAAATTCCTTTCACATATGTCCTTCCTAAACAAAAAGCACTTCGGTTATGTGTCTGTTCTTTTTTTTTTTTCTTTCCTATAATGAAATTTATTCTATACACGACTACGGACAGATCTTTTATTATAAAAATTCATTTATGTTTTCTATATTTAAAGGTTACTTAAATCAAAATCAAGCAACAAGTGAAACAAATTTACCACCACAGCAACAAAAACAACAAGAACCACCACCTAGCCCACCACCGACCTATGAATTTGTTTTAGAAGAGGTAAGTAACACGACGAACGAAAATCTTTAAAAAGACAACATTTGCGATTGATTTTGCATTCTCGTTTTAGCAACGATACTTAACCACTAATGATGACGATACTTGCCAAAACAGTCAAACAACATTGCTTGAGCAATTCAATCTAAACGAAATACCATGTAATGATCCAAATTGTCAGGAGAATTACGGTTTACAAGGAGGAAATAGCAACGAATCGCAGCCACAAATCGATAGAGAAAACGAAGGTCAATTATATATAATACCGAAGGATAACGAGCAACGTGAACGTAAATTGGAAGCAGGAATAAATTGTAATTTAGCATTGAATCCACTTAGCGATCTTGAAGATCGCAAAGAATCAATTGATTCACAAGAATTTCTATTATCAGCCAATAATATGACAGATAACACAGTCGTCACGGATCAAGGGGAATATATAGAGAATTGTACGGACATGGATTGCCCTGAATATTTGGAAGCAACAGCTGCTGCGGCTGCTGCCGCTGAAGCGGCCAACAATTATTCACGCTGTCATAGTCGCAATGAAGGCGGCAGCGGCGGTGGTGGCGGCAATAATCATCTACAACGAGGTGGAGAATTTCCTGACCCACTTATGAATTACAATGGCTATTGTAATGATGGTAAGTAAATTAGCACTTGGTAACGGAAAAAAAGAAGAAATTTCCTTTATTACAATGTTGGGATGATTCACAGTTTCCCACCATTGCGATGATGAAAATTCTCTTAATGAGCAGCAACATCATGCTTGGGATCCCAATCAAGCCAGCTGTTCAATAACACATCACCACAACTCACACATGGATGATGAACATCATCATCATCATCGTCATCATCATCAGCAACAACAACAACATCATCATCATCAACAACAGCAACAGCAACATTCATCAGCCGCGTATCACACCCAACAACCAGAACGTTCATTAACACCGGAAATTACCAGCAACAAATCCTCAAAAGAGATCTACAAAGATTTAGCCAAACAATGGGGCATCACGTGTAAAATGTCAGACGGATGTCGTTGCATGGAATGTCAAAGTCATTACTTCGATTGTGAATTTGAAGAAGTGAGAAATGAGCTAAACGAGAAACCGAGAGATAAAAAAGATTTAAATTTTTTTTTGAATTTTTTCATTTTTCCACTTTTCACTTGCAGAACGAACATCAGAAAACAGACGGCGGCCTCGGAGCGGGTACGCCGATGTTTATTAGCGAAGTAATGCACGGTTCCGCCTGTAATATTTTGTAAGCGAAGCGCAACACGGAAACGCGAGATGAAACAAAAAACACAAAAAAAAACAAAAAAATGAAGGAATCATCAATAGCTTAGAAAGCAAACCGTCAGCAAGAAAAGAATAAAAAAACGAAAATATTTGATTAAATTGTACAATATGATATATACATATATATATATATAAATATATATGTATATATATAAGTAAATATATAGCTATGTGTGTATAAATAAATATGCACATGTACGAAATAAAAGCAAGAGCAACACATAGAAAATATTTAAATAAAACAAAAATTGCACAAAGAAAGAAATTCCGTGGTATGCTTTGAAAAACCTTAGATGGAAAACATCTTCGCGATTATTGGACTAAAAGCAACACAAGAGGTGTTGGACTGAAAAATTCGGTTACGAATTTTCGTTAAAATTTGTGTCTTGAATATTGCGGCTTAAGAAGCTTCGTAAAACATTAAAATCGTTCATTATAAATATTATGGCTCGTGATATGGAATAATGATCATGATATCTGGCGTTGGCTGCCAGCTGTGTTAAATATGATAAAGGAATTTACGCGTAAATAGCCGTAACACCTCATGTGGAGGACATACGCGTCTAAAAACATTCTTATAGCTTAGGCATCTGAAAACGGTAATCAGTTGTAATAAAATACTTTTTTTATAAAGAAAATGTCGACATTTGTGTCAAATAAACAACAATCGCTGATGGGAAGGATAAAAGATCGTGCCCTAACCCAAGATGAAAAACGGATCTTTTCTGAGAATCCCAGACGTAAAAATTCATGGGTAAATCCAATCATACCATCCAGTCGATATTCTCTGTTTGGTGGGACCAGAAGAGTGTGGTCTGCTATAAGCTGTTAACGTCTGGTGCGAAATTTATGATATTACTAAGCGCGATCATATTTTTACATGGTGCCCGCCCACTCAGCCATGCAGCAAAACGGATTAGCTATAGGTTGGAAATTCCCTACCGGGAAGAACTAAACCCCTGCGGCTTATTTGCCAAATTTAAGTCGCTCCGATTAGCACGTACTTGGATCGATGGACAGGCACTCGCTGGCAAAAGCTTCGTATTTCAGGAAAATGTACGTATATGGTTCGATAACTGGTTTGCTTCAAAAAAGCAGGAGGGAGAAACATACAGTTAACCACGGGCAATACTTCGAGTGAAATATTTTTTATCATCTTTATACAATAAACGGGTAAAATTCCTATTTCCGATGTACATACATGATAGTTTAAACTTAGCTTTTGATACACGTTCTAATATGACATACGCACAGAACAATCTTTTGTCTATTTACCCTGTCAATTCACATTTTACTATTTCCGAGAGTGACAGGCAAAATAATAAATTTTCTCTAACGACGGACATAACGGAATTCTCATTAACGAACCAGGAAATAGTAATAGGACTTTTCTTACGCCTGCTTTTCCGTTCTGATTGGCAACAGATGATCGCACTCGCAGATTCAGTGAAACCCCGTTCACATGCCCATGCCTGATACTTAATGTTCCCTTTCGCTAACAGTGTAATCTTTGCGATAAGTTAAACTAAAAAAATATAATTTGTAAGAACTTTCTAACAACATTTCGGAGATATTCGTAAAATTTTTTTCGGATACCTATCACTACGTGTTATAAGAGGAATTTAGATGAACACTGTTTAACTTATATGGAGAAGGATTAAATCATTTATCATTCATTTGTGTACAATAGTAAGTACAATAGTAAGTAGTAACGAGTACTTTTGAAATCAACTGAGGCTAGCTAACTGTATTGTCGTGCGATACGTGCTCTTCGTCCACATCCACTGAAGTGCGGTCACCACCACTCTATTTCTTTCTCTCCTCTTGATCGAGACCGTCACCATATTGCACGAATAGAGGCGATCTACTGAGTGATTGCCCGAATAATAAAAATATCAAAACTTGAAGTATCAGAAGAACGGCTGACCCAATGTCTTAACCAATTTATTCTAAACCTATTTTTCATACACACACACACAGAAGTTTTCTCATCTCGCTTGTAATATCTAAAAATGAGTATCAAAGATACAATGAAAAATATTTGAGTGGTTTTGATCAGCGTAAGAAAGTGGGCCGAACTGATCGATTGTTGCCTGTTGTTCAAAACATTTACGCCCACATGGGGAAACCCTCGATATTATGTACACTTAATTGATGACAACAGAGCAACTTTCAATGATCGTATGATTTGTACATCCCTTGAAGGGATGTTGTCTATATGGACAAAGGAATAGGCAGTAGTCGAAAGGCTGAGAAGCCTTTCACCTTACGCTATAGCTTTCACTATATCTGGGGCGCACGTCAACTTGGCTGTTGTGTCGACTTCACAGTCATGTTTCCTATTCACAATTCTATACGACAGTGCGACAAGCAGCAATACTTATAGTCCAACTTATAGTCTCGCGCGAGATGCTGATCTAAGACTTAGTGCATCTTTTTATAAACCCTGGCTAAAATAGGTTTATAAAAGTCGATTTGGTGGACAATTTGACACGCCCACTTTTGACAATATGATAGGTATCAAAAATAAGCCATCAGTTGAACATAACTTCCTTAGTTGTTAAGTATTAATTTAATAAAGTCAACCTAATTTGAATTCTGGAAACAATTAAAAGGCATTTAATTATCATTACTTACCGTTACCCATTAAAACCATTTTTTTAAAAGTATGTCAACACGATTTGTGGCCGGCCCTTACATATGGTATTTAAGGTGCGTACATTGTGTGATACTCGTCTGTATATGTTTTTTTAGCCACAACCAAAGGAAGGGGGTACATGAACATGGTTTCATGAACATGGTCTTTCTAAAAGTCGATTTATTGTGTCTTCATATATTTTCTTCGCTTTCGTTCCTTTAATTTTTTTTTTTTTGTTGACGCTTAGTTAACCTCGAAGGCGTTACAGAGCAAGCGAGACAGAACCACCTTAATCACTTTGAGAGACTGTTTCGAAGCGTCAAACTGCTATTGCTAAAAATGCTTTAAATATTTATAGGCCATGTAATCACTATCATCTCGCTCTCAAACTTGTTTCAATTCATGTAGTAATTTTTCTCATTTCCCCGTTGAATTGTTGCAATTCTAATCTAAGAACATATAAGATAGATTAAGTGTTAGCTTGCTAACCCACTTTTTACGCAATCATTAAAGTTAAGACATCACTGCAGCCTTAAAAAAACTCCGCCAATACCATACCAATAACATGTCCGCGTTCGCATCTAGATCTGCACTTAAATGCAAAATAAACTAAACGAAATTTCGCTTAACCTTGTTTAAGAAAGCCATGACCCTTTTGTTCCAATTACACAGAGGAAACGCAAATGAAAATTGGAAATACTTTTTATAAAAAAATAATTGTTTACAACAATTTTCACGGTATTTACACTTAATATAAAAAACATTTAGTCAAAAATTCAATTGCGTGTGAAAGCTCACTGAGCAATATGCACCAGAAACCATTAAGCTGATAAGACAAACAGAATTGTATATCGATGCTTGAAGGCAAGTCAACTCTTTATCGAAAGAAAAGGAGCAGACAAAGAAAGATAAGAATTACTTCCACTGAGTTTTAGATACTTTTAAGTTTTTCGCTCTTTGACATGAAAAATCGAAACTTGACTTAATAAACATACGCAAAAACAAAAACATGTTATCAGCAAACTTAAGCTGAAAGTAAACCTTTTTTAAATCCGCTTAATTCCTGGATAACCAGTTTTTTTACTTTTTTTCTCAAAATGATACGTCTTCCCCACAAAATGTGGGCTACTAAGGCTTTCCCAAACATGGATTAGTAGCTGCCGACCAAAGGAATTGCAATGAAATGACTTTTAACGGCTTTTTAAGATTTTAATCAATTTAGTTAAGAAAAACAAAAACAAAAAATAAACATTTTAAACGGTGTCAAAATATACAACAACAAATTGCTCGTTAGTATATGTAATTATTTATAGTTAAAAGAAAGAAAAAAAATATGTATACAAATTAGTTTCCTTCGCTTTCGGTTTTCCACACAATAAGCTATAAATGTTTTAAAATATATGCGAGCGAAAGCCTAACCCAAGGGAAATATTATCAACGAGGTGCTTTCTACAATGACGACAATGATCAATCACGATGTATATATATATAGTGTACCTATCAAAATTACTAACACATGCATACAAACATGCACGGCATGGAGTTGACAAAAATTTCACTGTACTCCATTGATATTGATGCGCAACTTTTAACGAATTCTTGATAAACCTTTTTTATGAAGAAAAATAAGAGAACAGCACAATATCCGAAAAGTGAATAAATTTCTTTTTGTCACGACTTTCAGGAATTTTGGTAAGGAAACGTCGGTGGGTACGCATTGAACCTCTCTTTCCGATTATTGCACAGCATTTTACTTGTATTTCCGAACTAATAATAACGATAGCATTCGAAAGGTTGTAAACTTATCGAATGAAAAATTTACCATAAAATTCAAGAGCTTAAAAAACGAAAGGCCATACTCTCTCTCCCTTCCTTTATGGTTATTACTCTAAAAAAATCCGGTCTTGAATAAAATGAAACAATGCTTTCCTAAGAAAAAATATGTAATAACTAATACCAAGTATCAAGTCATATCGGTTTATTGGAAAATAAGCGGACAGACCGAGCGCCGAAATACGCTGCTTCTGCACCTCTAGTTATGGATGATGTCATGGAAAAGTTGGATCTTCAAAAATACATTGGAAGAAAAGTTAAAGAGAAAATTACAGAAAGAAATCTACAATCCCCATCATCAGCACTAGTCTTCTTTTAACCCTCAGTTAATTCCACGTTTATATCCAAGAAAAGATGAAAAAATCAAGATCCAACCATTTTTCAGAATTCGCTTTGACCATACAATGGATCTTAAAGAAGTCTTCCTCCCCAATCTGCAATTTTGGATAAATTCTCACTATAAAGCGCATTCTCCGTGACTGCGCCTTAGCTTTTCCTTGGCTAGAAGTTTTGCAATTGGAGCGAATAATCCTACGAACAATCTAAAATCAGCTACAGAACAGAATATCAAAACAAGCTATCACTTTATTAAAACTGCTAGGCTCAATATCCAATGTACTTTTATAAATTAGAGCCGATAGATAGCCTGTGTTGCTAGTGCTCAATGTCTTTTTTTCGTCTAAGAATTTATTTCATTAATATAAAATTATAATAATAATAATAACTAATATATTCTTACGATCGAAATGTAGAAAGTTCATAAGAAAATTCAAAAACTTCAAAACTATGCTACCAAACTTTCTTAACTTTCTCTTTCTTTCTCATTCTCGCTCTCTCTGTCACTTTATCTTTTCCTATCTATCTCTCCATCTATCTAACTTTCTTTTTATCTATCTCCATCTGTCTATCTACCTTTATCTCTTTCTCCCTCCCTCCCACTGTTTCTCTTCCTTTCCCATATCCAAAACGATAGCAGATTTGAAAAATTTTTAACAAAATTGGGAAAGTTTGAAACAATAGATCACTTTTTAATTAACTCCGCCTGGGTGGCCGAGTAGGCAAGAGTCTCGACTAGCAACTCAGTGGTCGTGGGTTCGATATCAATTTCCATATATTTTTTTATTTATATCTTTTTCACTTGTTTTCCTTACCTTCGATTACTTTAGTTAAAACTTAAATTTAGAGTGAGTTTAAATTTAAACTCACTCTAAATTTAAGTTTTAACTAAAGTAATCGAAGGTAAGGAAAACAAGTGAAAATGCTATAATGAACCATTGCCTACCATTAAATACCTTACATCCTACCCCCCACAGCCCCAAAGCAGTCGAAAAACTGATCCAAGCGAATACACGAAATGATTGATCGGTATGACAAAATATGTTGCTATCTCGAGTCGTTCTGCCGGTTACACACGTCTACACAAACTTAATATACTCTTAGACTATAGTCGGGATATGTAGGGCATAAAAAGTCTTGAAATACTAATACTTTGAACACGTCAAACCCTATTTTTATTTTTTTACGTAAAACAACTTTAAAGAAACCTTAGCTTCTTTATGTCATTTTTAACTTACATAATTTCTAACCGACTCTCGTTTAATATATACTTTAAGTGCACGCACACAAGTTTTTTCGATTCACTACGTTATATGGGCAGTGATAAAATTTTGTATATTACCTAAGAAAAGTTCAATACAAGTAACCGAACAGTGAACAAGAAAATTGAAAATTTTACGTAAAAACGAAAACAAATTCAATAACGAAATTTCCTTAGATTCATTTACTATAAATTGTACACAAGAAATGCAGAAGCATTCCGATACGAATTATAACTGAGAGAAGCAAGATTATCTCAGAAATGCGAACAAAAAAATCACTTTTGAAACCGACGCCCTTCACTGTAATAGCGCTTTTCAAGACTCAGTGAGAAAGATACTAGCAATTAAAGAGTTACTTATCAAATGCTGTTTCAAACTTTATACAACTTTTAACGGACGGACGTACGGATAGACAGCGTAGATCGAGTCTGAAAATGACTCTGAATCGATCGGTATATTAAAGAAGTCGTCTATCTTAAGCCCTTCTGGCTGTTACGTATTCCCGCGCAAACTCTCTGTACCACACACACTGGTACACACAAGTGATATTGGGCATAAAGAAGCTTCACTTCTTCTAAAGAAAACAAGTAAGACCACTATAACATCCCTCCATACTCTAATTTATCCATATACCAATTTTTGGAAATGAGGCCAAAAGAATGATCAAAATAGTAATCAGATCCTGTCTATATTCAATAGGAAGGACTCTGCCCTGAGCAAAACACGTCGGTGTAACAAATCTCACCAGAATATCTCAAAAATTGCAACCTATGGGCTGAACGCAAGTATAAAAGACGGACAGATAAGCTCATATCGATTCAGAAAATGATCGCTTTCAATAAGCGATATGTCTCGGTATTCTAATGTTTACGAATTATATAAAAATTATTCAAACGAAACCTAGACTATTAACATTTGTTTCGCTTTTTGCAAAACGCCCTAAAAAAAGTAAAATTTGACTTATAAGAGCCCTATGAAAATCACTTGCTTTTGTTTCTCACACACAAATCCCAGACGTTCGCCAATAACGGGCTAATGACTTTACCTTACAAATAGCAAAAGTTTATCTATTGGAAAGGCACAAATTCTGTTTAATATAAAATATAAGCAAAGTAAGTCTGAGTTTGGGTTAGAAAACGCCGTGAACTATTGTCTTAACCGGATATAAATTACGAAGCGATTTGTTTTTAAACTTAAATTGTCGAGTGAAATGCTCTTAAAGATTTTAATAAATTGTGGAAATCAAATTTCCTAAAGCAAAAATTGTCCCACCGTGCGTTCACACAACACTAAGCTGGCGTTGTATTCAGTTTTGTATTTTTAAAGTTTTTTTTTGTGTTTTAATTGTGTTAAGCAAACATAATTCGTTAAACGAGAGTAAAATAACATTTCAGTTGGTATTTTCATGTCGTGCCATTAAGACCATCAAAGAAAATGAAAATAGAAAGCAGAAATAGAAGAAAATAACAATAACGCGTCTGGCCATTTAAAGCGAAAAATGAAAAGAAAAACATCGCAAGCACGTCTTGCATTCGGAGCAAATGTCAGAGTGCAATAATGATACAAAATTATCATAATCAGAGAATAACTTCCAGTGATATAAAGTTGGCGCCTTGCGTTTTATGCTACTTCCGGTTGAAACACAGTAACTGTGCTAACCCTAAGCGTGTGATTGGCCAGCAACAAATAAATAACAGAAAAGAGGATTCAAACAAGTTTTACATGAAATCAAAAACAAGAGAATATCTTAAAAACTAAACTATCAGCAAATATGACGGAAACGTGGAAGCAAAAATCGAGGTGAGCATAAAAGGGCGTGAAGCAGAGTGCCTAGAAAATATATAAATATAAATCATTTTATGTACTCGTGTGGCCCTTTACGTATTCTCAGAGTATCACACATAAGTTTCGAATAGTTTTGAACTGAACTAATTGCAGCTGTTTTCAGTGATTTTTCAAATATTAAATAAATTTTAGTCTATAAATCTCATTTGACCTTGACATATACACACATGCATTTACATATCTACATACATATATACATATATATATATATATATATAAATAGGCACATATACTTAGATGTGTGTTTATATATATACTCACATAGGCAAAGATATATATATATATATAGATATACATATGTATATGTACGTACAGGTATGTATTGGTGTTCTAGCTTTCCCGAAATATGCCAATGCCACGATTTTACGTTTTTAAGTAAATCAACTCAAAACCCACACGCACTCCTATGAAAATCTTAATGTTACACTTAATAACTCAGGTTACAAGAAAGGCTCGCCCTATACTTTTCCATGCAAACAAACAGCCTAGCCGATGATTATAGTGCGTGAAAGAGCACAGCAAAGAAACACATGATGAACGATACTATTGTGGTATTTTAAGTTGTTTTAAGTTGTTTTAAACGCGCCCACGGCATATGCGGTTATACTCATTTCTCCTTTTGACTTGTGACAAAGAAAAATTGAATCGAGAACTTTATAAGATATATATATATATATATATTGTTATAATGTTTTGATATAGTATAATGTGTTTAGATTATCTGTTTAGGCCCTATGCTGCTCGGCTGCAGTACGCCAAGTCTATCCGTATTTTATAATGCCAAAGTGTCTCGGCATAAAACGGTCCGTAATCTTAATGGTTCAGGCAGATTGAATGCCTAGTGCTATTAGCGAGTAAAACGCTTGGTTGAGTTGCTTTATGAGAACTGCTTTTCTTTATTTTCTTAGGCACTATTTATACTAAATTTTTACACTAAATTATTCTTATCTTATTCTAAACAGGATTGTAATTGCTTACTAAATTATCCTTATCACACACTAGATTATTCTTATATAAACAGAATTATCACTGTTTACATGCGAAGTTAAGTGGGACATTTTATTTTATCAAAAGGGTTATGCTGAAGTGGCATAATTTTGTCACACTTCAAGTGGATGCATACGATAGTATGCGATCACACTACAGTATACATATTCTGGAGATATGAATTTGAAATTTTTACTCGGCTTCTATCTGCAAAAAAACGGGTAAATGGAAAATTCCTATACATTCGCGTAAATCTGGAGAAAAACTCGAATATTTTTTAAATTTCCCTCCATGTTGCCTATTAGCTATAAGAAATTAGTTGTGGTCGCGTTTGGCCGAACTTTTTAATACCTCCCACCAGTTTCGAAAAATCTATTTCCCTAATCTATCCATGGTATATCATATCATACATCCATTTTGGCGCACTTCATAAGCAATTAAATATTTTAAAAACTCCATTTTCCATTATACCCTACACCACATTTGGTACAAACGTGTATTCACTTTTTGCGGATGCAAGGAACACACAAAAGGACTTGAAATGAAGCCAAGTTTTACAAAACGAATCGATTTTGAAGCACATTTTGATATTTTTCTGTCCATATGTCTGCTATGTTTTTTTGTGCGTAACCTACAGCGGGTAATTTTGCAGGTATTTTGGGCAAATTCAATGAGCTGACGGCCCAACGATGAACACTGTATTTCTGATCATACCACTTCCCATATGTGGTAGTGTATAGTGTGATCTTAGTTGATTTGATTTTTTAAGTACCACTTGTAAGGACTTTAGTAACATTAGTAAAACTTCATATCCTTCCTTCTCAGTCTAGCGGGATGACATCATAAAAAGAACAAAATCTACCAAAAATATCTATAAGTAAATTGTACCATAACGTAAAAGAAGATAAGCCCATAAAGTCAAAGCGAATAAACGTTCGCATTAGCCTTTTGCTAATGGCCGTAGATCTTCCATACAGATACATCTTTCTTAGCGTGCATCCAACCGCCATACGCTGGCTTATGTATTCCGCAGAAGTTTCCCATACGCTCGACTCTTTTTTAATAAGTAAAAAGATACAGATGGAGATAAACGTACAAGGTTTTAGTCATGAAAATTTTGAGATCTACTTTGAAATTCTAAACTCCAAGCCCTTCAATTTGACGGCTGTAATTCGAAAACGATAAGATAAGAAGAGCTTCTTTAGTAACTGTGACCTGACCCGCGAACCAAACTGACTGCTACGTAAGGAAAGTTACGAAGTGAAGTTTGCGCGTTGATGGAAATAAAACACCTTTGGAGATATTTGATGGCCGTGCCTATCCTTCATAAATATTTAACAAATCTAGTATATTTCATAAGGGGATTGTAAAATACTCTTCTAGTTCATGGATAACAACGATTTTTCAAAAAGCAAACGTAGTTTGCTCACTTCATCCTTTTTTCAATCTGAACTAGGTCTGATTAAGTTCTATTGAACTTTATTATAATTGGCCTTATTGTCGCTGCTATTGTTACTATTATTCCTCTTTGTGTCTTAAAAGTGAAGGTTGTCGAATCGAAATTTGTTACTGACTTATTTATTCGAAGTCACCGACAAAAGGTCTTACATTTACTATTATTATCCCTGTTGTGGTTGATGTTGTTGTTGTCGCCGTTATTTTTATTCTTATTGTTATTATGATTACCATTATCTATAGCAAGTAATTCGCTAAATCAGTCGGTAATGCACTGTGCCTAATATGATAAAGTCCCTTAAAATTAATTAATTAATTTTAACAAAATTGAAATCAGAAATCCCTATGATATTCAAATGTACGTCAGCTCTGATAATTCATTTGCTACACAACGTTACAAAATATTCCAACACCTTCTACTTATTATCCTGTTTGATCGCCACTACATATCCACTTATAGGAAAGATACCCTGCCCTGTTCGTCAATTATGTAAAAAAGCGATTTTCTTATTGGCTTGAAATCATAAACTCTGCCCTTTTTCCTGTTCGCATAAACTCTTTCCTGTCCTGGAAAATGACTACAAAGCTGGTGAGCGAGCATTAAGTTCGTTATCGACCACAATAAAAAAGCTGCTTTTTGCTATTTGCTTTTAACAAACAGGGTATAGGGTATATATAAACTTTCTACTAGAATTAGAAGTCTTGAAGAAAATTGAAATTGCATGCTATGTAAATCGTGATTTTTATAATTGTTTTCTATTTTAGGAATTTTCCGCTCTTTACAGTTAGATTTTCGCAGTCATGCCATAAAAAAGAAGAATATTTAGAAAAAATTAAAATTTTCCTTTAAATTAATAACTGAAACTCCAATTAGTTTTTTAAACGTTAGCATATCGAGGGAACATGTTCGGCATGATCGGTTCGCTATTAGATAAGGACACGTCTTGAGCCCAGACGGAAGCTTCCGTTAATACCTTATAAAAAAAAGGAATTTTTTTTAAATATTTTTATCGAAATAGACGGAAAACTAGATCTGTTATGAAAATTGCTCTTTCATACCCGTCGCAGAAGGCATCGAACACTTAAAACGCATGGACATGCGGCTTAGGAACTCTATGCCTCATAGTTGATAAGTTGAATAACTAATAGAGCTATGTTTTCCCACATTACTCTATTGCCTCCGGTGCACTATGAATTCGTGTCACCTCAAATGACGAACAGGTACCCAAACATGACTAATAGACTTTTCTTTTGATAATTCCGTGTGAACATTTAAAAAGATTTCATGTCCTTTCTTTAAAAGAAATATTCAAAATCAAAATTAAGTCTTTATGATAAGTTAGTACAGTTGGTTAACCGTAAGTGGTTGTAAGCAGCAACAGAAAGATTTTGTTGGTTTTTAAACCTAATTCTGCAAAAGTAACAAAAAAGGCAAACCATTACATTTCCATTCGGCACCTTAAGACATACATGACTACAAGACGATCCGGCCTTTCACACCCATCAGAACCCATGCACCCGCTGTATCGGTCGGGAACAGAATATAACATATATTTTCCGTTCAAATTTCGCGGGCATGACTCTGAGCGGTCGTGTGAAATATATCCTCTATACGCGCGACATGATGTTGGTAGGAGAAAAGCATGAAGGGCGGATAGGGAAACGCCACAGGCTAGGAGGTGAGCGCCCGATGGGTAAGTGCGTCACCTTCAACGACCGAGCGCTCACTACATCTATGATTACGCAGCAGTCTTAATTAATGTACGTCCACTACACTACAAATTGAACCCGACTACACCGACAGGATAGTCGCGCTTCTTAACTATTTGTCTACGTGATAATTCGTAGGTAATTATATAAAGAACCACAACCAAATCTATCCAATCCGTATTATTTTATATAATAGTTAGTAGTAGTTAATGATTGACATGGAAATTCTATTAAGAACGAATTTGAAAGCTAGTTTGAAGCTTGACCATTTTCAGATCACAATTTAGACAATTGCAAATGGAAAATCGACTGTTTTTGCTTATTTTTTCGAGTTTACGTGCAGAGAGTGTTAGAAAAGTATATGAGCAAAAGTTTGTTTATTTAGGCAGAGTTTTAAGATTGTAGCCGTGAGTTAAAAGGATGAACAGAGTCGCGAACGAACAACAAGCAAGCAGTTAGATAAAGAGAAAGGCGTAAATTGAAATTAATTTTCATGCTAATGAAGATTCTACAGACTGCATGGTGTCTCCGACACACTTTTCTATGTCTTGAAGATGCAACCCTTACTCCGAAAGGCTGACGAAAAAGCGGACTTACAACAAATGGACAGAACGACACACAAATAAAACCCAAATGAATTTTAGCTTTTACATTGATCAAGATTATATAGAGTTTATGAGTCGATGAACCATTGACAAATCTAACGCTCGCACACCACCCCGTCTAGTCCGCCCTTTCACCCATAGTCGGTATAAAAACATAGCTCTTTATCTAATACCCGCGCCACAGTCTATCCCGTATGTTATCAAATCATATCGAAACTTCTTACATAACTAACAAACCCCAAAACGCATACGCACACATATTTCCAATAACTGTTTTCTATAATGACAAATTATTCTCCTTCGTTGAATAAACCTATCGATAGCATTCGAGAAACGGTTAGAAGTCATTCGTAAACAAAGTAGCATAAATAACAAAAACTCTATGCATGTGTTGCTATTATATTTACAAAAATAATCATGTAAACAAATGCTAAGCAACTTTTCACATGTAAGCACTTTGATTGCTAAGCCGACAAACATACACAAGGAACACTCATGTACGTAGAAAAGTATATTTGTGCAAACGTAGAAACACCAAAAAAAGGATATACACATCGCCATGAAAAGAAAAACAAATGCCAAAGCTATACATACGAGTATGGCTTAAGTAAATTTCAGTTTAGCATTTTCTGACATAGTATGCATTCCTTTATTATTTTCATATACCCTCCCATCCTCTATAGGGGGCATACAATCAATCGTTGTTGTTGTTGTTAGTAATCGGTTTGAAAGACATAATGTTTCACGTCTTTTTATAACGTAAGCTAAGGTCATAAATTTCATTTGTTCGTGAACTTTAATACCGACTAGACAGACAAAGCACTTACTTACTCATGTATAATATAAAGCAATTTTTTAAAATGATATGCTCTTAAAGGAAATAAAAATTTTGTCTTAATTATAATTGCAGTTTGCCATCACTTGAAAGCGATAGGCTTTCAATATCGGAACCTAATTTAATAGGTGGGTTTATTAAATTGCTATAAATAAATACCGCGCCTTTATACTTAAATCGTTCGCACTGTTTGTATTTTTAGATAATCGAAAACGTCTCGATCGATTTTTAATAAAACATCCTCACGAATATATATCGGTTGATGATCTAAAGTTTTACCGCCGCCACAAGCCGTCGGGTAAGTGCAAGATTATCTTCTCGTTTCTCTATCTCAGCCCTATCCCTATCTCTATCTCTCCCAATTTATCTATCTGTTTATCTATTTCTCCCTTTTATCTTTCTGTCTCTCAATCTGTGCCTCATCCTCTTCTTTTTGTCCTTCTTATTTCTTCTTCCTAGCCTATCCTCCTCATCTATCACTTTGTCAATACTTTTACATTTTCTTGTTGATACCGTTTACATTTCCGCAACTCTTAGATTTCCTCACCAAATCTCACATTTGCCTTAGCCTCAGCAATGAGACATCCGCGCTTCCTTTTTGCTGCCTAAGATCCGAGTATAGAAAGCATTTTTTAACTTGGAATCTGAATAACAAAGCACTGCCTTTAAGACGTGCCACTTCACTAAAGCTGGCTGGTTTAATGCCTTTTAATCGGTCTGAGCATCAAGACTGTTATTTATGGTATACACCGGAAGATTGGAAGAGGTTAATAACTTAAAACCGCCCCTATTTTCCATAGAATCTTACATTTTCGTACATTTTTAGTTGCCGCACATTTCCTATACGAAAACCAGAAAGTTTGCGTTTAACTGGCTTGATGGATACGGAACCAGAGTATCGTTCGTCATTCATCACTCCTCCCAGGGTAGGTCGTTCTATGAAAATCTTGCCACGTGAAATGTTTCGGATACATTCACCACCTAAAGAAAACCCAGTGATATCTACTAACACTACTCCCCTTGAAGATGCAGAATCTACGCAAGTATTAAAGCAGAACCGAATAATAAGAGAGAAAGCCGCTGAAGAGCACATAAACAAATCGCATTTACAAGAAAGATCCTTCATGGATGACCATCGCGATTCCATGCCCTCAGAATACAAAAGGCAATTTGTACAGTTTCCCATCGAGAAGGCTCATTCAATACCCCAAATAACGCACATTAAGATACAGGGCCATTTTCAGGGGGTCCCTGAATATCAAGATTGTTTTAAAATGTACAGCAATTATGAGAAACCGGCTGCTCTCAAAAAAGCTGATAATTTAGTGATCTCAGGATCGGAAGTGCACTTGAAAACAGAAAATTCCCAAACCCTACCTGAGTATCAGGAAAAATTTCATCAGCCACCTAAAGAAATGAGTAAAGAGAAACCGTTAAAGACTCAAGATCATTTGCTTGTTGCTGGCGAATTTAGCAAAGATGTGCCGGAATATTATGAAAGCTTTCAAGACCCACAAATCAAACAAATGCCCGAACGTGGCAGGTGTCGTGAACCGTATTTGCATCTGAGAGGTAAAATTGAATTTAATCCTGAGTATCGCAACACCTATTTAGATTTTCCGCGTTCAAGGCCGATAGTACCCAAACCGAAATCCACTTTTCGTTTGCCCACCACTAATGTGCATATATCCCCTAAGAGCTATAGTGACAAACAATTACAAAAAACGCCACCTATGCTTACAAAAGCGAATGATTGCGAATCGAATTCGAACGGTCCAAGTATTACAGAGCTCGGTGCACCGGAAATAACAAAAACTCCTGAATATCGACGAGCTTCTTACAATTATCAATTACGGGAAAGATCGCCCATACAAAAGACTGTTTTGACAACAAGTAAAGAGAGTAAAACTTTTAAAAATCCAAAGACAACGAGCGCATCAGCTATAGCTTTAACTCAAATAAAAACCACTGCCCCAAATCTTAAAGATAGGTCATCCCACCAGCCAAAATACAGCAACCCGTCATTATTAGACACTCGAACTACTTTAGAGAATTTGGCTTCAACGAAACTCCACAAAACTCCAAAATTTGGGAGAAGAGCTTCGGCTTTGCGAAATGCGGATAATTGCCGAGAGAAAACATCGATAATTGAAGGAAACCCTAAGTATAATCCAACACAACGTCGAGACATTGGATTAAACGCGGAAAAAATGCACGACTCCTTTCTAGTACTGGAGAATAAGTCGAACAAACATTCGCTTTGGGGTTGAATTTAATCTGATATTTATGTGAATAAAAATTAAATTAAAATTTACAAGAAAAGGTGCTTTTTACTTACATATATTTACACTCAAGATATGTTTGATGTATACGTGCGAAATCCTTGAATAAGCAAGAACATTATAGTCAGGCACGTCCGACCGTTGTGTACCTTACTTCACTTCGCGTAGTATTCTTCAGCAATTATTTTCGAGGTAACACACTAACAAGAGTAACTTGTTTCGATCCAAAGACATGCTTACACGGAAGACGACCCAAGGCTGACGTGGTCCATATTTAGTAACAATTAATCTCTTTGTCTTGTTATTAAAAGCTTGGGCTATTTTAAGTTTTTATCGGTGTTACATACATCCACGCGAACTTAACATACGCTGTAGCGCAAGCGTTGCAGCGTATAACTGCGTTAAGCAAAATAGCATAGAGCATTTAAAAGCAGGTTTTGCCTTCCATTTAAAGTTTAACGAGTTTTGTTTGTTATCTTATCGTCAAAAAGATAAATTTTTCTCGCACTCCCTATTTTGGCTAAACGCACTGAGTCAGGCACCGCTCAGTTAACAAAAGAAATTCATTAAAATGACATGAAAGTAATAATTTAAAAAGTTACTATGGAAGTAGACAATCACATCAAACCACCGCATAAAATCCTGGGGTACACAATACGTAGTCGGACCCGGATCTATGTATCTTTTATAATACCTCGCGTACTCGAATTATTAATATTTATCGTGGAAATTGTAGCCGACAGTGCCGTAAGTTATCAACATTTCAAGGTTCGGCAATTGGCGTTTGCGTGGTCTACTTTGATCCTTATTTGGACACCGCCCTTAGTAACATTTTTAATAATAACACGTTCCGAAGGTTATAGAAAAGAGTCGCAACAGAGTTTATGGAAATTTTTAAGTCTACAGCTATTGAAGTTACTAGTGTTTCCAATCTTTATGATTTACAAGTAAGATTTTTTTCTTCTATAGATATTATCGGTCCAATCAATCTAATCATTTTTGTTCAGTATATGTGTCAAGCTGTTCTGGTCAGTCGAGGCCTTATTTCAAAACGACAACGATGAAGAACGTATGCTTTGTTTAAGCAAGACAGAAGCCACTTGCATAAGCGAGTTGTATCATTTGATACAAGCCTACGGGCAATCGGCACCGCAAATCATCTTACAACTCTATCATCTGTTAACGCAAGACATGTTTAGAAATTATGAGACCAGTAAGTATCTAATCGACATAAGATCAGTAAGGTTTTGAAACGTGTAAAGCAGTTTCTTTCATTCCCAGCTACTGTGCAAGCTATTAGTTTGATATTTTCCTCATTCAATTTGGCAGCGATTACTACAACCTATCAGAGATTCGCCAGTCAAAAGCAAGTGGGCCGCCCTTACCCTTGGGCTACTAAGGCGTCCGCTGAAAAAACCCAACGGACTTTAAGAAAAAACCAATATTTAAGACAAGAGTTATTGCGCAAGAAGCGGAATTCCGAACGTACTATTCATATATTCCCCGAAAGTGAAAGAATTTTAGAGAACTTCAATAGAAATCGCGAGGAAAACTTAGCAGGAGTACACAATGTTAACGATGATGTTGTCGACAGTAAAGTCTACTCAAGTTCTAATGCGCATACAGCGAACGCCATTTTCAGCTTTGAAAATATACTAGAAGATGGGGAACATGCTCCTGAAGAGTTGGCTCCTTCAGTACCGTCTAAGACTACAGCTCATGACATGACAGATCCTTCGAAGCTTTTCTCCCGCTCTTTAAGCCAGATGGAAACTTACAAAAATATGTTAATACTAAATGCTCAACTCTATATACACGACACTATACCAAGACCGCCTAAACTGCTCACGAAAGACTTGAATGAAAGTCAACACCATGAAGAGCCACCCAATCCAGTGAATGAACTAACATTAATATCTAGGGATGAGGTCGACTTCTTTCTACCCCATTCTACTCTTATTTTAAATGGTGTGGAACGCGAAGATTTCGCGGCGAAAACCATAGCATTCTTTGGTTGGATCGCATTCATTATAATGCGGATGCTGGCATTATCCACATTTTGTGTCTTCTACCCCAAAGATTTTCTAATCATAATATTTGTACACTACCTTGTAATTTTGATTGCTTTGCTTTTAGAAGCACGTGCAGAAAAGAAAGTGAATCTCTTCTCATTTTGCTTTTTGTTGGCCTACATATATATTTATGTGATCTTAGAGTTTCGTCTGAAATTTAAGCACTTACGTTTCTGGCTGATCGGTTATTGCATATTTACTGTGACTGAAAATGTCGTCATGACAATTGTATGGTACCGTTGCGAAGAATTCGAGTCTTGGTGGTTTTATTTTATATGCGAAACAATAATCTATAGCGGTATACTCTTCACAGCCTCTGTACTGATTTATTATTGCATTTTAAAGCCTAAAGACATTGTAGTTCTATTAGAGGATAATGGAAACTCTTAATAACATAACATGACAAACTGGGAACCGTAACCATAACAATGAATTAAAACTTTTGAAAAATAATTTATTAACAGAAAATTTGATTTTTCTTTCATTAATTTTTCATACATTCGAAGAAAATTCTAATTGCCATCGATTTTCTTTAAAATATATTTTTTAAAAATCTTCGTTCCCCTTTCAACATCATGTGCTCTAATTCGGGTAATCTGAGTGAAACGCAAGACAGCTTCAAAAACCCAAAATTGAAAAAACCCACTGGTAATTAGTTTTTTACATTTCTTAATACAACTTGGAACAAAAAAAAAAACTAATTTTAGCAACTCGTAATAAACGTTACGAACAATTTCTATGGCAGGAATTATATGATGAGTACATTCGCCACAACGAACGCTTATTTAACACCAAACCAGACCCGGCTATTACTGAATATTTCGATGAATTTTGTAAAGATATGCCCGCGGAAGATGAAGCAGCTAAAGAAGCGTTAATGGACCGCTATCCTCTCTACTATACAAGAGCGATTACTTTGTGGAATCACAACGGAGACATCACTAAAGATTTTAAGAAGCGTTACGTTATAACACGTCCGGTGTATGAGCAAACAGAGCAATTTGGTTAAGTTTTTCTTTTTTGATATTTTCTAAACTTACATGAATTGAACGTCGAGAAAAATAAATAAATTGAGAAATAAATGTAGATTGTGAAAATCCCGTAGGAATTTACCGGAAAGAATTTATTCATACTGAGCAAAAAGGAAATATACTACGCATTTCAAATTTGGATATAAGGTTGCACAAACCTTTTTAGATTTTCTTAAACACCTACGAATCCTGCGGCGAATTGTCTACTCAAATTCTGATAATTTACTAACTTTTGAATTTTTTGAAACATTTTTCTGAATAAAATATAATATCGTTTTGACCGCGAAATTATTAAGAGATGCCAGATTTCATATTTATATAAGAAGAAGTATTTGCACGCCAGAGTTATTATAGCACCGTTTATAAAAATCCCTATAGGCACTGATGTCTTATTAGAATAGAATGGTCCTTAGAATCACTTTTACACCTTGAAACTTAAGCAAAAGAGAAATTATTAAAATTAGAATGTCCATGAAGTCGTCAAGTGGAGTGAAGTATGTCTACTATTCTGCACAAATCCACGATTATTGTATTCTGATGGACGCCTTGATTTTGTTTGTTCATAGATAAGACTCTTATTCCCACGTTTTTTTCTTTTTAGATTATTAATGTTTATGTACAACACAGATAGTACAAATGTCCGCGCAATTACTTGAAGCTGCTACATTTAGGTCTCTAAATGTTATACAGACCATTGCATGAATTATAAATAAAGACAATTGAATACTAGGCAGCGAGTTCCAGCTGTGCTAGCTGCAAAATGCAATTATTGGTTTAATAAGAAGTAAAAGTTGTTTAATAATTTCGGAAACGGCATACCGAAGTTCCTATATATACGAATGCAAACGTTTTTGCACTTATACATGCGATATGCAGTGAGCAATTGTAAAGATTGTAAAGAAAAAGAAAGGTCGGTAACCCTTTTTCATTATATTTCTTCTAAGCACCTATTATTCTACATCATATTTGATGGTAAAGTCTTGAAGTCTCGAATTAACGCAGTAAATAATTAAATAAGTTTCATGCAATATTCATTGCCATTCATTAGCTTTTTTTAAAAAGACCTTAGATTTTTAAAAATAATTCATTTGCACTATAATCGAAATTTTTATTCAGAAAGCACTCTATTGACATTACTAACAAGCGCTGACGTGGTTTAGCAGCAAAGTTTGTTATCTACGGATTATTTTCGCACAATTGAATTAAATTTTCACGGAAACTATTAAAAAATAAATGAACTAAAAAGTTTTTGGACTGAAAAATGATTAAATTAGGTAAGTACGTTTCTTGTGAATAATAATCTATAGTCGGCTTTTAAAACCGGCCGACAAATGAAATGGTGAAGGGACTAAAGAAAACGGAAATTTGTTATGGATTATATAGACAACTTTGTATAGGAATATAAAATTAGTCTGTGCCTTTGGAAGGCGAATTCATTGAATTTTAAAAATCGAACCAAACGTCAGGAAGCTTACATGAAACTTATCGATGTCGCTGCAAAACATGGTGAACATTGTTGATATGATACAGCAAACTCTGGCAGACCTTATTTACAAAACGTGTTAAAATTTTCAGTGTCTCTACAAAAAGTATTTCTTGTTGCGTTTTTTTCGATTAATGGTTCTTTTCTGCTTTCGAGTCTGCCGCTGTAGTTTTCGGGCATTAAGCCAATCCTCTCGTCAAGACATTTTATTATGTAAAAGTAAAAATTAAAATTAAGCGCCTCTCAATCGCAAATTGTTTTTCGGCAATTCACATTGGTTTTTCACTATTTTATATATTCTTTTTCTAGCACTTTCGTTGTCATTGGCATTACTACTAAACGCAACATACATAAGCTGTGCCACTAATAATGCTGTAGACAGCCATTTAAGTTCCAAAGATCTACAACGCCTACAAAAAGTTTTCGCTGATGGAATTGCTTCTAATGATTTGCAGTCTATATTTTATAGCAGTTTAAATGTAGAACCTACTAGTGATTTGGAAAGAACTAACGTTTGTCAACGTTTATTTAAAGTGCACGCAGCCTCTAAGTTAAAAGTAAGTTTAATCTCTACTAAGTTCATAAAAATTAGCATTAATATGTTCCAATACTAGGATTATGAAAAAGATTACTATTTGGTTGGCGCTGCTAGAACATTAAAGTGTCCTGAGAAGTTACCGCAAGAGATACTCTCGAATATTTATAATATACCAATGCCTATAACATCAACGCAGGAAATTTTTTATCGCATAACAGCTCATAAATACTTAGGCGTGCAAATTGATGAAACTACTTTAAAAAAATTGGTAAAAAATCTTGAGGGTGTGCTAATGAAAGAGGACTCGTTGACCAGTTTAGGTTATGCTTTCAATGTTGCCTCCGAATTAAGCCCAGAATCTGAATTTGTTACCGAGAGAATTGAAGATGCCATGGTTCAAGCAGATGAAGTCGATGGAAAAATGCTACAATTTGAAGGAGGCCTTAGTGTAACTTCTTTGATAATAACCGGTGCATTTAAAATTTCCTCCGATTTTAGTAAACCCCCACCCGTCGATGCACAACAAGCTTATAAATTTGCTAATTACTTCCTCAGTCGGCGGTCAGTACAAACCCCTAAAGGAGCACACATTCTAATCGAAGCTTTAAAAAGTTTATCGTCTTTGACACCGCAACTTGCTCCGATTTGCATTCAGCTTATTGGCAATGGCCAATTGCAAGCGGATAGTCCCCGATTAGCTATTGCAATTGTTGATCTCTTGGGGAAACCTTTGAAAGAATCTCCTCTGAATATTTTTGGAAAAGTTTTATTACGGAAAGAAGGTACAACTTTAGCTCAAAAAGTACAATTTGCACCCAAGTCCTCAGATAAAACCACTTTTATGGCTGATTTATCGCCTTATAAGCCAACAAGGGGCCTCTACGCGATCGAAATAGATGTTAATTCCAAATACAGTCAGAAAGTAAATTTCAAGATTTTGGGTAAAGTGAAAGTACAACAACTAGAGCTAGGCATTGGAGAATCGGATGCAAGCTCATCAATCAAAAAACAAATTGTAGCTTATCCAAAAACGTTGCCTGAGAAGTTGGCGGCTGATCATACCCAGAGAGTTTTACTGAAAGTATTATTAATTGAAGAGGGAACCACCGATAAGGTATAAAATCAAGTCAAATATTAAGTATTAGATGAATCAACTAATTAATTTATTTATTTGAATCCTTATAGACCATTACGGTTCATCAAGCTTTTGTCCGTTTCTATAACAAACAAGAAGACTTGGAAGTTATATACGTCGCCGAACAAGACTCTAGCAAAGTTTATAAATTCGACATGGATGTGGGGGCACGAGCAGGAGATTTTAAATACAAAAGCGGACTTTACGAAATGGTCCTAATTGTAGGTGATGCTTCACTTTCCAATTCTTTCGAGTGGCATGTAGCCAATTTGAATTTAGATTTCCCGCATAACGTAAAAGGTAAACAGTTATTATCCATTTGCAAACATTTCAATACATCTAGTTCATTGGCAAAAATTTGCAGCTGCCATCAAAAAGCAACCAATACGATCAGTATTACCGGAAATAATTCACCAGTTCCGAGCACCTGAAAATCGGCCTCCCCGCTTAGTATCAGATATATTCACCGGACTCTGCCTGACGCCGTTAGTGATATTATTTATTGTTTGGCATAAACTTGGCATAAATGTCTCGAACTTCACGCTCGCACCTAGTACAATAGGTTTTCACATTGGTTTCGGCGGTATTCTCGTTTTGTTTACAGTATTTTGGCTTAAGCTAAATATGTTCCAGACATTGCGCTTGCTGTTGCCCATCGCAACCTTCACATTCCTGTGCGGTAATCGCCTTCTAAGACGTTTGTACGGTTATCGTTCAGCTAAGGCATCAAATGCAGGCGCATTAGCAACATCATAAATTTTCCCTTCGAAAACTATCTCTTTTAATTTTAAGTTTAATAACGAACTGATTTCTGGATAAGATGATGCACACTTTTCTTACGTTTTTTATAAAATTTCTTAAAATTATTGTCGAGAAAGTTTGTGAAAATTGATTTGCTCACGTAGATACGGATTGTCACATGCATAGCTTCTAGTACGATAACGTTTAATTTATTAAAAGTAAAATCGCTCGGAAGATGAGAAAAATAATACATTATTAAATATATGTGATAAGGCCTCTCTTAGGACTGATTAGGACTTAATTGGATTTAAACGACTTCCGCCAAAAATCCTTCAGTGTCCTCGGTAACAATAGCATCAATATTGTAGAAAAACGCGTGTAGTGATATAACAAAGCAGGAAGCACCTACAATTTTATGCATTAATATAACATTATGTAAAAGGAACCGGAGCCATAATACCTAAAGTCCAAAATAGTGCAGATCCAGCTCCCACCAAAAATAATATAGGAAGGGAAGCTATGTTTATCGCCATTATCTGATGCGAAGTACTTAACTGGTGGCCAAAAATTGAAACCGATGCTTGCAATTGCCTAATTTTGTGGCTAGCCGCGGCAACAGCGACCAATACAAGTAAAATCAAAGGGGAAGTAATGCTAAAACAAAAACAAGAAATTAACACAACACCGTTAAAAAATCATCGCTATAAAAAAACTCACAGACAATAAATCATCAAAACAATAAATACAAATATATAATTGCTTTTGAAATAATCCAAATTTCGCACAAAACGAGCTGTTAAGCGTTGCATACTGGCGGCGGTTTTGAAATTTGAAGTATTTATGAATTCCGACCAAGGACGTATGGATTTGCGGACCAACTGTAGGATTTCCATGGGGCTTGGTAGTTTCTGCCATTGATTGAGCGATGCAAAATCGAATTGCGATTTGGTACTAGTTAGGGGAACGTTCATATCACCGCTTATATCCACTTTCACTTCTTCCATTGCCGTGTGTACAAATGTTTTCTACTGATGACGTTTTTTTTCTCGTTTCCTGCAACGTATTTACAGATACATATAAGTAAAGATATTTGTTATTTTTTGCAAATTGTTTGTTAGCACTTACTACTAAGCCTTACTCAAAACGGAAAGCTTTCTTTAAATCCAAGGTTTAATAAAATTTAATATTGCTTAAATTCTCTGGATGTTAAAAAATGTTCTTAAAATTTCGTTTAATTAATTCGCAGTTTCTGACTCATGTCTATTTACAATTTAAAAATTGTATTATTATCGAGTTATCGATAAATCGTCTTTTTCTGGGATTTGTTTTACGAGTTAGAATTAGATAAAAGAAGAAGAATTACGCTCTTTTGACATCTCACTGTCTATGCACAAGAAAGAAGATACTCCAAATTACGTCTTCAGGAATCTAATAGCTGAGAAAACCCAAGTATTGGACAATACTGGTTGGAATCTTTTGTACACAGACGGCTCAAAATCTCCTGGTCTGCCTCCTGCTTGTGCGGTGGTAGATGCTACAGGACGGGTTCTTCTCAACCACATATTTCACGAAAGCACTTCAACTTTCATAACCGAAGCCAGAGCTATCCTTCACGCTGCCAACCTTGCCCATAAAAACAAACTCAAAACCGTCATTGTTACTAACAGTTTGTCTGTATTACTAGCTAACCGGAACCCTTCGGCTTCGAGATGGAGCTCCATCAACAAATTAAGGAATATAATTACTACACCCGACGGAAAAATTAAAATGTTATGGGTACCAAGTCACATCGGTTTACTGGGAAATGAGCAGGCTGATCGAGCGGCAAAGTATGCTGCTTCTGCTCCTCTAATTATGGATGATGTCATGGAAAAGTTGGATCTTCAAAGATACATTGGAAGAAAAGTTAAAGAGAAAATTGCAGAAGGAAATTTACAATACCATCATCAACACTACTCTTGCATTAACCCTCAATTAACTCCACCTCTATATCCAACAAATGTTGAGAAAACCAAGATCCAAACATTTTCGAGAATTCGCCTTGGTCATACAATTGCAACTCACCAATGGATCCTGAAGAAGTCTTCTCCCCCAATCTGCTGTTGTGGACAAACTCTTACTACAAAGCACATTCTCTGCGACTGCCTCAACTTTTCCTTGGCTAGAAGTATTGCATTTGGAACAATTAACCCTTTGAACATTCTACAATCAACTTCAGAACAGAATATCAATTCAATATTTTACTTTATTAATACTACTAAGCTTATTATCTAATATCCATTTGTTTAAATTAGAGCCGATAGCCTGTGTTGCTAGTGCTCAATGTCTCTTTTTTTAGTCTAAGAACTCAATTCATTAGTCTAAAATTAAAATAATAATAATAATAAATAATATGTTAAAATGTAAAAAAAACACGCTTATTTTTACATGCAAATATAAATACACATTATTGTTTTGTAACGAATACAAATTGCGGTAAATAAAAGGTAATTTCAATATTTACTGGAGTCCCCGCGAAATATTGCGAAGAAAATAGCATAATATAAATGCCATTAGCTTCGTTCCTTACTGAATTGGAAAGTTCCTAAAATAAGCTTATCATTTATATTCAGTTTTGTACTAGTGATGATTCAAAACTATGTATATCCTTTTACTTCTAACATATATGAATATCCAGAGCAAGCAAAAATGCTTGGAAGAAATAATATTTAAATGTGTTACTATGCTCCGTGGAGTGGTTAAGCAATATGTGATATTGACGCACCGCTTTGTGTACTTCACCTGTGCCACTTATTATTTTATTATACGCCACAGCGGAGAAGCAAGCTTAATAAACTTAAAAGTATTCTTTGTAGGTTGCATTCAGAATTTTTTAAATATTATCTTTGGTAAAAGAAAATGGAAAACATATTAGCAATTCTGAGGCTAATTTCACAAAATTTTAGAACCCCTTATTAGCTGGATATGTATACGTATATGTATATGTATATATATTTAATTGTATATATGAATATACGAATTATTCTTCTTTTATACGCATGAGTATGTTAAATTTTTGCGGGCAAAAGGATTTCAGAAGGACCCATCTTCTATTATAGCATTCCGTCCCTGTCCGCCTGTCTGTTTTAGTTTCTTGTGTTCAACCTAAAGTTTACAATTTTTAAATGGTTCCAGTTCATCGCCAACAAGTCATATAGCTCTTTATGCATACGTCTGGTCCAAAATTTAAATTATTGTGTTATGAGAATTTCAGAAGAAGAATATTATAAGCGATTTTGCTCGAATCCTAAAAATCTTTAGCTCTCAATGCTTTCTTTTCTGGTTTTAAAAAAGTGATTAGGGTAAAGTTTATCTAGAGAACGGAAAGGCATTGTCAAGAAAAACCACGTCGTGACGTCCACCATTAATTTGGAATCAATCCACTTAGCTTGTCGCTCTGCTCTTCAATTCCTTTTGTTTGAGACCAATAACGATGGTATTGTTAAGAAGAAATTAACACAGACGGACAAACATGGCTTAATCCATTCAGAACTTTACGCTGATCAGGAATACATACACTTTATAGGATCTCGGGAGCTTCCTTTTGGGTGTCACAAACATTATGAAAAATGAGTGTACACCCATGTTTCGATGGCGAATATAAAACAGTGCAAGAACATTATTGTCGGCCAAGGCCGATCATTAGATACCCTACATTACTTTGTCAAATACAGTTATTCACTCAGTCACTATTCCAGATCATTTCCATGCACAGGCATACTTTTGATTACTTCTGAATGTCCAGAACGTGGCGTGATCGAAATTTAGCAAACTTAATTTACTTCCTAGAAATCCCATTATTTTTCAGTTTTCTTCATAGATAACTAATCAAAAAAGTGAACCAATCCGAACTATTTTCAATGGACTTTTTCGTTTGGTCAAAGCACGCCAGGGCACCAAATTTCATCAAAATATCTGAAAAATTGCGACCTGTAGGTTGAATACAAAAATGCATGAGCAAACAAGCTTCGTTTTCATAACAAAACTTAACATAGATCGTACCACAAGTGGGGCACGATGTAACAGGTAAAAACACTGGAATAGGCTACCGCCTACTATTAAACACCCTATACCACCCTGCAGCTATTCATATAAGGATGAAGCACTCGAAAAAGCGATCCGATCCGAGCCATTTTCTTGGATCAAAACACATCATTAAAATAATATTGAAAACTGACAGTTTTAGTGTTCAGATTCTTCGATATTCGAGTGCCAAGTGATTCCTTATATTTATTTAGAAGTTAGGCTCATTCGATTCTTTGGTTTTTCTAAATGTGACTAACCTCTTAGACTTTACTTACGTACTTGTGGTAATTGTAAGGAAAGATTACAGGCTGTGGAGTAGGAGGAAACGTCCGACTTAAGAGTAAAAATATCGGAAATGGCAAGAAAGTGTACGGCACAGCGGGTTAAGACCGAGAAGTCGCGGTATTGCGTTGCGTGGTATATCGGCAATTGAAGAATAAGCACTTGAGTACGCTGAAAAAGCCGAGTAGTCCTAATAAAGCACTTAATTAGTGAATAAATTTCTTTTCATCTCTCTACAACTTTTGCAACGGAGGTACATACCTTATGATTACATAACTTACCTGCTTTACGCCAATACTCAAGAGAATCGAAGCCTTTGAAAGCTTGGCAGATTTTTTAAAGCATGAGTGTACATAGCAAAAGTTCCTAACGGAAAAATAATAAGGGAACTGGTTATAATTTAAACAAAGAAGGCTAAAGCCTAACTTTACGATTTAGTTTTAGCATAGGTCACATATGAAATCTTTCATTCTGTCTTTAAACCATTTTTTTTATTATTACATCTATACATGAATATGATCGCATTATTAATCAAATGTGTGAATTGGAAATTTCAAACGCAATTTCGTTAAATTTTCATAAAACACTTTGTGTTCACACAAATATTATTATAACCTTGCGTATATATATATGTGTGTATATATATATGAATATGTATAAGTCCATAGTAATAACATTAAGAGTAGTATGTGTATATATGCATATATGTTTGTATGATTAAATGTTCCGTATGTATGTTTGAAAAATTTATTCAACATAATATATATTATAATTTACATATTAATATAAATTTTATTCATATATTTTTCGTCCCTCAAATATTAAAATCTCTATCTTTTGGTAAATTTGCTACAGTCGTACCTTTAAAAGTCGAACTTGTCTTCTCTTACACTATCTATGTATATATGTCTAGTGTTTAAACCTGAATTTGTTATTTCATACTGAGGAAAATGTTACGGGGATGGGAGTGTTTTTCTATATATATGTATGTGTATGCACGTGGTTATTGTTTCTATTGATGGGGAAAGGTTTATATATTCTGAATAAGCGTGCAAGAATTTAAAGACCAATTTCTCGCATAGCATTGTAAAGACAAGAGTTTTTAGCACATTCGCGAGGGCCCAACTGAGGGCCGGGTGTACCGCGTAAAATCATGAGAACAGAACGTGCAGCTGCTTGGCATTCTTTGTTCAGAGGACCGCATACATCGTCAGCTTCTTCTAAATATTGATAGTCGCACGCTATGTGTGATGTGCCCTTTTTATAGGAGGAGGAAGAAAAAGAAAACCCAAAATTATGAAAGTTATATGAAAAGTCGCTCTTGCAAAAAATCACTCACGCATAAATAACAAATCTGATGAACACCGCACAAAGGCAAAAGCTCTTGATTTAAGTCACCGCTTAGTAAGTCAACACCGCGGCACCGTTCTGCTATGGCCTGATCCAACGGCAAACATAATAATATATTTATTTCCATTTTCTTTTTATGTGCTTATAAAGCCTTACCTCTATAATGGGGCACTGATTTGAGCCCCAGATGTAATTCTTGTTGCCTAAATAGGCGTCATTTAGTGGTTCAAGGCGTCGTGGCCCTGCTAGGCTCTGTTCTGGGCCTTCAAAATCATTCGACAGTTCAGGATAGCGGGAATAGTTGCTATTTTTCTTCATTTTCTTCTTCACCTGTGTTTCCTTCTCTGACTTTTCCCCGAAATCTTCATCTTCATCTTTAGTACTCGACCTTTCCTTCTTAATTAATTCCAAAGAATTACGGGTGCCATCTTGATCATTGAGAGGATCTATAATATTACGCAATAAATGGTTTTCACTATCCATTGATTGACGTAATTTTTGTAAGGCTCGTCGCATTTTTTCCAAACTATAAGCTGTAGCCAAACGTGACAAAACACGATCCTTAACTCGTTGGATTTCTTCGGGATTATCAATGCCTATAGAAAGTACATTAAATGGTCCTGACTCGTGTCATTCATTTCTCATTTCATGCTTTCACACTATATATTACCTTCATGAGCTCCCGTATATTTAATGGTCTCACCTATGATGAAATCTTCGATCGATTGCAACTTTTTATCCATGTTTTCCAGTTTCTCCGGATCAAGTTTGCCTTTGCTGTCCTTATCCTCAATTGCCATCGTATCGAATTGTATAACACTGCGTTTCTTCATATCACCGCTAAAGATATCACTGATTATTTTACCAATGTCTGAAAAAGCTATGAGAAGAACATGCTTACTTGTTGCTATTGCCATCGCCTGCAGTCATTGCCTTCTTTTTGCGATCTAATCCGAAGTAATTAGACCAATCTACCGACTTTTTTTGACGCATGCTCGTCACATCATTCCTGGATTTGGTTAAAGTTGTCGCGTGCTTTCTTGTAGCTGATTCGCGTTTTCTTTTACGCTCGTTCTGCTCGCCATCAGTTTCCTGCACCTGCTCATGTTCATTGTTATCCTCCCCTTCGCTCTCGTCTTGATTTTCAGATTCTTCTTGTTCTTCGGCACTTTCTTCCTCATGACTGTCAGGGGAACGTGGACGATTACTGCGTTTACCATGTTCATGCTTTTTGAGAGAATGACCGGCATGCTGATGATGTTCAGTCGCTATATTGCCCTTAACTTCCGCTTCCTTCGCAGTTTCGTTTTCAGTCTTTTGTTTGTTTTCATCCATTTCCAAACGCATATTAATCATGGAAGGCTCTGAATTCTTTGTTCCTTTTATATGGTTGTCGTTGTCTTCCGCTATAGAACGTTTATGCTTCTCTTCGGCTCTTGAACTGAATAATTCGCTCAATTCCTTTTCAACGTTTTCATCGGTTTTGCCTAAACTATTTAAACCTTTATTTGAACTCTCGCTGACATGTTTAGTTGATCTCTTAGCTACGGGAAACCTTTTAGCACGTTCTGCTGAATATGGCAACCATGGCAATACCGGATACGAACGTTTCCTTTGCATTAACATGTAATAGGGCGGTATACGCATTCTCTTGTCCTCCTCAAATAAATCGCCTTCAATTTGATTTTCTTGCTGTTGATATTTTTCCCAGAGATTACGTAGGGCATCTTTGTAACGATCCTGACGTTCGTGCTCTTGGGCTCGTTCGATTTCACGTAAAAATTGATCTGTTAACTCGGCGTGTTCGGGTGGCACATTCAAGGTTTGAGGTTCCCGCTCACGAAATATGGAAGTTGGTGAATCATCTGCAAGCAATTAAAGCAAAAAATAATTAGGTATCGTTTTAGAAAAAAAACCCAAAGGTATATTTGGATTGAAAACAATGCGCTAAGTAACTGAAAGTTCCCTTAGAAGTTAAAATACAAATCTAATTCGAAATATTGGATGCCTGCTTATCTGTCACCTAAAATCTTTCATTTTTTTTACAATAATTTCAATTTTAAAAGGCCGACCGAGGTTTTGCGAGCTCATTAAAACCTTACTTCGCTGCGGCCGATGTTAAATCACTCAATGCACCTCAGATCTGCATCATTTCTCGAGATTATGGCTGTGTTAAACCCTGATAACAATGGATACAGCAAACTTTCCCAGATGGTCGCCATCAAACGCTGGCTTGACACACCGACCCGGTGCGGAAGCTTACCGAATGCTCACTGATACCAATATCAAGGATTCTATTTTCTTTTATGTAACGTAAGATGTTTGCGATGCGATATCGTACTTTATGTTCCCTTTTGTCCCCACATTAGATGTCACTTTTATATAATATAATTATTATATACATTTTGTGTAACAAGACAAAGTTATGTAAGCCAAAAAAGTCGAAAGGTCGGAGACTGCAAATGGATAGACGGACGTGCTATGCAACAGCTAGTTAGTTGATGGTAATGGGGGGTTTTTGCCTTTACCTCACAGACACCCCATAGGCGGTTCTACTTAAAGAAATACACGTGCTAAAACCCTTATGAAGGCAGACGGTCAAACGTAACATACCCACTAGCCGGGCTGATTTTGTGCCCTGGGCTACTCGGTCAGGAAGAAGTGAATAATGAATGGGGGTTATGGGCGCAACCTAGTGAATGTGTGCTTAATCGACAAATATTTTGCCTTTACCAACTGAGCATTCACTATAGCTACGTTAAAATGAATTCTACCGCACTGAGTTTGGAAATCGCGATTCACTTGGCAGTCGCGGTTCTTCCCTACTAGGCTACTCGTGCGGATAATCACAATTAATAATTAGAATTGCGTGAAAATTTACAGTAGCGGGTCCCATCTCTAATGCCTGACTCGGATTTTGTTTTAGAGAAGAAGCCGAAATACCCCTACAATACATATTAAAATTGGGAGGACAGCTTCGCCAAGGATGCTTATAGTAATGTATAACTATAGCAGTAGCGATATCTTAAATAGGTACAAAGTGCGTGGCTTAAACTTAACTAGCTCTGTTTCCGAAAGGATTTGGCCTCGTTGCAGCGGGAGGGGGGAGGGGGGGCAGGATGTGTGCCTTCTGCATCGACGCTGCTCTAGAATGAATCAAAGCTTTGGAAATATTGAAATTTTCCTTAGTCCTCGAGTTCCTGAAGAAGCGGACTACCACTGAAAATCCACTTTATGATAGTTTCCTGTTCGCGTCTTAAAAAAAAAAAAAATTATAAATGTAAAACTTGCAACTTACCATTCAGATTAGTACGTTCTCTAAAGAATGACGAACGTTTGTCATTACGACTGGGTGGTAATAATTTATTACTATCTTCATCAAATTCATAGCCACCGAATGGTCCTAGTGTTAGGCCACCATGGTCGGCTTCATAGCTTTCACGTTCCAAATATTTTGCTAGTTGTTTATTTAATCTATTACGTTGTTTGTTAGTGTTTGTTGTAGTAGTGTAGGCAGCATTCTCTGTAAGTGGGTGGGAAACGAAAGTGATGGTGTAGGGTATCTCTCTCTCTCTGTGTTTCTACATATACAAAACGTATGCTTACAAAGCGTAATACGTAAGCTTTCTTACACATACGCCCATCGAACAACTAAGAGTTCTTTCGAACAACAAAATGCGAAAAAATTTGAAAATCATGCAAAGAATGTTTTACAAGCCGTGCATAGATTGTGTGTATGTGTGTGTGTGTGTGTGTGCGAGAATTAAAAATGTTTGGCGGATGCCATTTAAAGCGAACAAGTGCAATTTTGTCTGTGTACGTTACATTAACAAAGTCAATCAAACCTTCAACTTAACTCTGGACGGACTTAGGTTTTTTGAACTAACCAAAGAGGAATTGTGCAAAACACGACACGACAAAGCGGATAGCAATGCAAACTACTTACCATCTTCCCAATAGTCCGGCTCAATAATAGCCGGTCCCAAAGCACTGCCATAAAAGTTGTGCTGCTGTGGCGACAGCGGTGGTGGTGCATTCAACGGATATTCCTGGCGATGCAGCTCATCAACGGCCGTCTGCAGGGAATAGGGTGAACGTTGCGCCCAACTACCATCAATTATGCACAGCATTTGGAGCCACAACAGTGTGAAATATTCGACCCCCATTTTATACTGAGCTCAGGAAAAGAACAAGAAAAACTCGATTAAAACGAAACAAACGTTTGTTAATTTAATGATTCTTTGCGCGCAACGAAACGTAATACAAAGTAGAAAAGGAAGAGAAGAAGACAAAAAGTCATAACTTTATTAGCATACAACAAAGAGAAACGCAAAGGATTAAAGTGTAAAAGCAAAGGCTTAGAGTGTAAAAGGAGAGCTTTACGACACACGTTTTTTTAAATTTCAATTTTCTTTAAAAGTTCGTAAAAGTTGATGTTATGCAAAACAATATAAAACCATAAAAACGTTTTTTTTTTTGCATTCAAACATTCCTCGCATAGTGCTGCGTGCCATCTTTATGGCTTTATGGCTTTGCATGAAATGAGTTTACTTGGAATTCTCTACTATGTATGACGTTCGGCTTTGACATAATCCGCTCTTATTTATTTATTTTTATTTTTTTTTTTCTTAATCTTTCTTGCGGTAATTGAGAAGTTTTTCATGCTTTCATTTTTTCTATTTTACTTATTTATTTACTTTTTTTTTTCCTTTTTTTTTCTTTATTGATTGATTGAACGAAATTTGCAAGGGGGAGGTTCGTTACATGACAAAGTTTTATCATTACATCGTCTAACCGACGACAAATTGTGTTTTTTAACTTATTCTGCTGTTACTTAATGAAATTCAATAAAAGAAGATTTTTTATTAAAAGCATCACGTTCCTCGTAAGCCATTAAGTGATTTTTACATAAGCTTGGGAATAACAAATTTATTGGCCTTAACTGGAGAAGAGAATAGAGATGCAATAAGCAAATTTTCAAATCAATCTTTTAAGGTGAGTTCGAACGAAAGTTATTCCTCAATTTTTATATAAGAGAATTATTTTCTTTTTTTCACAACTTCTCATAAGGTATAGCAAAAATTAATTTATGTAACTGCAACAATTATCAATTCTCGTTTTGGTAAGATCCGCAGTCGTCTCTCTTAAAGTCAGTATTTCCATTAAAAGCAATAAGATTCTCTTTGTAAATCTGCGAAGGCAACTAAAATACGTCCCGATAATGAGAATGAAAAATTGTAGTTACATTTCTACAAACAGTTGGTAGCGCCTGATTTTTGTGCTGCGAAAAATCGCAAACGGGTCGCTAAACCTATCTCTTCAGTTAATCTTTTGGAAAAACCGAAAATTCAGAACGCAGCTTTAAACGAATCACTTAGGGCAAGCTTTTGTGATATGCTACCTTGCGCATTGCTGATAGGCCACGCTGGCGAAATATGACAATCAGATCTGGCATAACTCGATCTCAAACGAATCACTCAGAGTAAAACGACTTCACTCTCTTTGATTTGTTTAACAACCTTAACGTTATGCATCGTTCGCGTGAAGCTATTTATCACAATTATGGACAAACGACTTGGTGTTTGTAATTCAATAATATATTCTTTTTCACACTGCTTCGGTTCTTCGAACACGTTTGGTCATACGATCAACTTGCGCCGTTTCCTCAATCATCCTATTTGCCTAATCATTCTTGAATCGCTACGGCAGCATCGTACTTGCTCGATTGGAAAGATCGAATCGAAAAATTCGATGAAAAAAAATAAATCGCTATGAAATTTGTAACTTGGGATGTAGCCTAACTTCAATGGACTTCAATGCAAGAGGTCAAAGAAAAATTCCCAGCCTTTTCTCTAATAGACAAAATTAGGGTCAGTTAACTTTGACAAAAGTGATTTTGGCCATACTACACCACTTGTGAAAGTTGTATCGAAAGTGATTACGCTCTAAAAAGAAGCCAAGATTGTGAAATCGTTACATTTCAAAATTACAAAACACTTTGACCGAAACGATAATATTTTACAGGCTTGTGGTGGTTGTGGTTAAGAAGCTTTACCAATAACTGCGGCATGTAAAGAATTTGCTCGCTTCCGTTCAAACATATTATCGCATTTATGTTTTCATAAGACATGTATTTAATGACTTGCTCTGAAGACGTGGTATTATTAAGAGATAAACAAGAAATTTAAAAGTCCTTGCACTTTTCAGTAAACCTACTTAGGGAACAATACGTATATACATATATATACATAGATACATACAAATCAGTAATCACAAGGACGATCAATCTTAAATTATATATTGTTTCAACTTTTGGACATCAAGACTTGGGCAACCGAAAATAAAACAATCAACGAATTTCTATGCCTCGACTTAAAATATAAAACTTTTTTTTTTTTTTTTTTTTTTTTTTTTTTTAACTATGGGCAATCTTTCCAAATTTTATATTATTTAATGCGTCTTCTTTATGATACGTACCTACGTATAGATAAATTTTCCAAAGGTGGTAAAAAAAAACTTAAATTCATTCATTAATTTTGTATGTATCCATACATATACTCTATCAACAGGTTATCCGATAAAATTCATCTAAAATTCTTACGTGACGTCGACATTCATATAAAATTTGTGTACAAAGATTTTCAAAAACATTTTTATACAAACAAAAAACATTTATCTCGAAATTTATGATTTATTCTTTCGTTAATCAAAGGTAAAAAGAACATTTTTTTTTTTTTTTGCATCACTTTTTTAACTACTGAACAATGGGCGTTTACTATGAAAAATTCCGTATAGAAAAGTTTTCATTCAGTAAAATTTTGTGCAAGAATTCTTGGACATAGTTACACCACCGCATAACAATCTTACATGCTTTTTATCGTCCTCTGTATGCTATAATGCAAATTAAACTACACTGACACACATACGTGTATGACATGACAATTATCATCGTAGAAAGAGAATGCATCAAAAAGGGGAAGAGTGAGGAGGTGAAAGTGTAATCTTCGAACTGTCATGCATATGCACAGGTACACACTTGACAGACAACCTTTAACCTTTTATTTTGCACTTTAAATGTTATAAAATAAGTTTTCGTAATTAACATAAATTTCACGTATGGAGAAGAACAAAATTTGCATATAAATCAATGTACATATGTTCAAGCGAAGGCAAATAGAATTAATTCTCACTTACCTGTTATAGTTTATATAGTATTTGCACTTTTTCTTTTTCGTTTTTTTTCCCTTTTTATTATTACTACTATTATTATTGTATATATATATTTATATATACATATATATTTATATATATTTTCTTTGCATACACTTATCTTATCTCTCTTCCTCTGTATTGTTTCAATTCGTTGTTATCCTTACGACTACTTATTGTCGTCTGAATTTTGCTCAGTTAATGCTTACGTTTTAAATACTACTTGTATGTTTTTCGCAAATTTCCCGATTTCCCCGCTTTCAAGAAGGACCCGTGCGATAGCACGACGACCATTCTCATACGTCAGTTATTATATGAACGTTTTTGGGCTCACACAGTTGATTTATTAGCAAATAAATTGCTCTCATTATTTCCGTTTTTCTATTACATCTAACCTAGGCTGGTAGTCTTTTAAGAGGCTTTTGCTATCTAATCTTATGCACTCTCCTAAATCAATATGCGTGCGCATTTAGTTGCGTAAAGCGGAGTTGTCAACTAAAATATTTCCTATTTAGTAAAATTTAATTTTTTGTCCATAAAGAAAACATCAGCAACCGTCTTATGTCGTCCACTTTTATCGCAAATAACTTTTGGGCGAGAAGAACAGCGAAAATCTGTATTTCTTCGATACATTGGATCAGATATCGTAGCGCACGCATTGTATATCAGCTACATTTCAAACGAAGTTCTTAGGCAATTTGGCAGCACTTTGTGATACAAAGTACGTCTTCACCTAATCTGAAGGTTTTTTAATTACGATTGGAAAACACTTCGCAGTTCGTGTTAAAACCTTGGAAACTTTGTATATATTTCACTTATGGACACGCTAAGGTTTACTGATGAGCAAGAGCAAGAGGCAAAAGACAATTCACAACATACCAATGGTCATGTGACCGTCTGTCTGTCTATCTGCATGTAGTTGAAATGCGGATTTCATCCGTCCGCCTACTTACCTGGTTTCTATTTGTTCTTGGATTGCTTACAATGCAAAATTCAGATAGGCAGCTGAAACTTGTTCTTCTATCCACTGTTAGAAATCGTTCACGTTCACCAAAAGTTACCATTCCTCTATGAACCAGCGGCAAAAAGTTCAAATTAGTTCATCCGTCTGTCTAATTCTCATCTATTCTCCTCTGTCTTCAATTGATCAATTGGTCTGTTATTTCGGATATTCTGAGATCGCCGATTCTTGCAGAAATTGAAAAAATAGTTGTAGATAGTAGACGCTTACCTACCAGCGTGTCTTTTATCCGCTCTTGAAAAGCAGACAGAGTTTAACAAGCCACGTTCGTTCTTGGTGACTTTTACTTATATGAAAAGCCCTTAAAATTTAGTCTTTCTTCCACCTGGTCTAGCTGTCGATTTCTATGAAAAGGTATCGTTTTGATCCCGCAAAAAAGGAGATAAAAGGTTAAAATTTCATGATCGATTAAAACCTCCGCCTTAAAAAAGAATTGCGAAAGTGGAAATAAATATGAATTAAAATTTTATTGTCTTTGAGATGAAGATGAAGGTGGTCCTAATGAATATCTGGCTCATAAGTTTTTGGAAATATCTTCGCTGGATCAAAACCTGTAGACGAAAATATCAAAAAGTTCTCTCATTCTCTCGTTCTCTTTTTCAGTCTACCGAAAACTTAGGTTGCTAGTCTATCTCTACATAATTTTTCAATCACAAGCGCTCAAAATCTTGATCGAACGACTATAATTTTCTAGGTGAAGCAGGAAATTTTTTAAATTAATATCGGCTGAACATTCGTTTATGGTCGTTTCAGTTCGATACCCGAATGCGCTGGCTCTTGACTTAGAGATCCTTTGAAGACTCCTTAAATGCATTTCCTCTGATAAAAGCAATGGACGATTACAATGCCAGTGATGGAGTGAGGCCATGATTTACGCTAATGTTTATGGCCTATGCTTTTATAATTGCTAATAAATAAAAATAAGATGTGGGCGTCAAGGTAGACATACCGCCACTACGTTCTAACCGTTTAATCGTTTGTAATCGATGAAGATATGTTAGAAATATGCCAAATTCTAACTTCTTATATGGACTTTTGTGGGGATTTCGCAATCAAATTGACTTCTTTTGGCAGAAATAGATATAAGCAAAACATCGTTAGTTCTATTGTCAAATATAAAAGTTTATATTGGCTAATGTCTTTTACTTTGATGTTTGGCGTTTGTTTTTCAGTCTATAACTATTTTTGTGAATTCTCAGTAACATTGAATTTATGGTTTGTTGACATACGAGTATATGCTGCAATTGCTCAGAGTGTACGATTTTTCGCCGGCTCTCTCTCTCTCTCTCTCTCTCTCTCGCTCTATCTGTCTCTCTGCCGGTTTAGGACTCAGTTCTTATAACCTCTTCATTGAGAAGCTTTCTCTCTCATGGTGAAGTTTTCAACTTCTCATATATGATATACCCCACATACACAAAAACACCTGTTACGTGCTGTACTATGCTGGTAGTGATAAAAAAAATAAAAATAAAAGAATTAAAAATCGAGTAATAAAACCACAATACAACCGCATTAAACGTTGCAAAGAACAATTGTCATGATTTTCTTCTTTTTTTTTATTTGTTTATACGTTTTTATTTTTTTTATATGTACATTATAAAGAGCCATTGAATAGACGAATCGTGTGTGTGAGTAAGCGCGTGTTATGCGTGGGAGTGTGGTTTTGTTCTTTTCGTAATATATATATATACATACACATATATACATATATATATATATATATGTATATGCAGCTAACAAGACAGTTGAAAATAATGATTCGATAATAATTTAAAAAAATGCATAAATATATCTAATGCTTATCATTGCTACACTTTTGTTGTTGTTGTTGTTGTTTTCTTTTTCAGATTTTCATTAAGCCAAAGTAACTTCTATTGTTTGAATCCTTCAAAACCGCATCACGTTCACTATGAAAATCTCTTAAATGTAATTTTTCATGTGTTTTTAAATATATTAAACCGCTCGTATGACAGGTATGAATTTTCAATGACATATTAGTGGGTACAGTTTGAAGGCATTGTAAAAACGGTCGTTGGCCGTGAAATACAACAAAACCATTATGGTCGTGCGTGTTATTATAACATACTTGAGCATAAACATAATAAATACCCGATTCGCGAATAGTCAAGACACCATTTTCGATATGAAAATATTGATCGATATTCACTTCATTAGTCCAGCTAGTATGTCCAATATACATATCGCCTCCATAAGCTGAAGAAAAAAAAAAAGAAGAAAAATAAAGAAGAAAGAGAAGGAAATAGAAAACACCTACAGTTGACTTTTAGGGACGAATGAGCGTCGGGGATTTTACGATTTAAATGAAAATGTGCAGCAGGTTTACTAATGAGCAAAGTATTAGCTGAGCTTAAAGCTGAATTTTTCGCTGAAAGGAACGAATATTTTTTTTGTCTTTTGAATCAAGTTTAAGAAATGATTATAAAGGTCAACACATTTACCACTTTTAACTGTTGGTACCTTACGTCTTCGGGATCCGTAATGACGCATGGGTGAATGTTTGTGATTATGCCTACCATTGCTAATGAAAGATTTGCTCGGCCTTTTTCATATAAAAACGGAAATGAAATGAAACGAATTAACAAGCAATCCTTTCTCTTTTGTATACAGAGTAATAAAGCTCTCTTTACCTTATTATAGTGGTTTTCTGCTTTGGTATGACATCTTCTACCAAATCATCGCTTCCGCTTTGTTGTCGCGCATCTTCATGCATTAGAGCACGCGGTTTCCTTTCTCTATGTGAAAGAGTTAAAGAAAAACAAGTGAGAACATTAATATTCGCTCATGACCGAATCTTTTATTCCCATCGCCGTTATCTCAAGAAAGACTAAAAAAAGGAAAAGAATTAACTTATCGTACTCTATGAGATTGGATGGGCGCGGCGATATGTTCATTTTTGCGGCCAGAAGAATGTTTGCAAGAGAGTTTATGCAGACGGACCGACGGACACGCTTAAATCAATTCACAATTTGATGTGGATCAAGAATACATGTACTTTGTAGAGTCTTCGAAGCTTGTTGCTGGATGTTACAAACGTTTTCACAAAACGAATATACCTCTCATATTTCGGCGGTGGGTGTAAAAACAACAATTTTTTTTTAATCTAAACATTAAAATTTACATAAGCTGAGTTGACTTACCTTTGCTTATTTTTATTTTTGGAATCTTTATATTTCTCAAAATCATCATATAAATTGTCATTAACGATGCGCGAGTCATTATTATCATTATTATTATTCTCCTCATTCTCATAATTGCGGAATTTCTCCATTAAATCATCATAACTTTCATAGTCATCAACATCGTCTTCATCCGTATCAGTACCATCGTCAGTATCATCATCGTCATCATTACCATCATTATCATTATCATTGAGATCGTCCTCTTCTAAAACGATGTCTTCTTCATAATCTTCTCCTTCACTTTCTGTGTTCTCCTTCTCAAGATCTTTATCTTTAAACTTATCGTAACTGTCGGGAAAGAGACCTCCAACAACATTTTTATACTAAAAAAGCAATTAAAAAAAAATAAAGATTAGAGCACAATGGTGGGGTGGTATTAGTGTATGTAATTTATTGATTAATTTATTGATTAACATATTTGGATATTGAATTGCGAGAATTGCTTGCAAATTTCTCAAACATCCTGCATTTAATTGAAGCATAAAAAACGTATACATATGTATATGAATATATACATATATCATAAATTTGAGAGGAAATCATTAACAAAATATGCTTGCATTGCCAAAAAATTTTTATAAATTTATTATTTTAAAAAAAGAAAATATTTTTTTTTCTATGACGGCGCCTCTATGCCAATTTTAACCTAATTAAGCGAATACAAACAAACGGCAAATGTATAAATAAGTATATAATTGTAAATGTGTGCACATACAGTGAGATGAAAAACTTTGGCCTCGAAACAATATTTTAGCCGAAGTAATCTTAACAGATCTAGGCCTTAACAGAACTTTAATTAACAGAAAATTATTTAAATTAATTAAAAGACGAAATAATTATAGTAATGACTTTTCGTTCAGTTATACTACGTGTACCTCCGTAAAAGGCTCCCACACAAACAAAGCAAATGGAAAAATTCTACTCGCTTAGATGCGGATTTTTGATACCTAGAAGCGTAAGCCAATATTTTGTTAAGCACAGATATGCAAATTGGTCGATTGGAAGGATATTTACAAAAGTTTCTTAACTGGTCTTAAACAGTATTTGAAGTAAGTACTTCTTATAGGTCTTCAAATATTGTAGGCATATCTGGTCTGTTTTCTTAGCACAACTATGTACAGTGCTTCAAACTAACGTCTGCGTCTGTAAATATCTTCTGTGCGGCCCAGGTTTTGGTCTATCACCCTGTGCTGTTGGAAGAGAACTACGGTCATTTTTAAACCGTCAACTAAGTGGATATTCGTGAAACAAACAGGCAGACAGACAAACATGACTAAATCGAATCAATATCTTGCGTTGATCAAGAACATGCGTAACGTGTATCTTACAAGGTATTTCCGAGTGTCACAAGCGGAAAGGAAAATCTGTCATAACCTTATATCTCGCTAGCGAATACAAAAAACACCATGTACCGGGTCAGTTGGATATTGAGGTCAATTTTCATGCTGAACTTTTGCAAAACTTTATACCAAATTTTAAAATGAAGTCTTTTGTAGAGTGCGGGCTACAGTTTTTTGACCATTGTAGGCTTGGTTGTAAGATGGTCAAACGCGACTTCTGGCCTTTAAATGAGAAGCTCTCTCTATCCTAGCTAATTTAAAACAGTATATAAGGGAAACAGGCAAAGATTGACCAGGCCTAAGTTAAATCATAGTATCACGTTCAATATATATATTTATTCTCCTTTGGGTAGTTCTTAGTCTTACCAACAGACGAGTGAATCTGATGTAACCACTTTCTACAGAAAAGCTCGGCTCGGATCTGAGTCGATTAAACAACTCTCTTTTCGCGAAAGCATCTATCAAAGCACTCAATAAAACTTTGGGATGACATACATTTTGGCAACACTGTTGAGAGACACATATGACTTCTTTGTAGCAGCAACCTTCAAACGATAGGGTTCAAAGTTACCATCGCTTTAGCGGCGCTTTGTGTTTCTTTTGCCGATTATGTCCAATCGGCTCACAGCCGATTTCGATCCGGTGGTGGTAATAAATTCATTTTTCATCTATTGAAACTTCTCGCATGAAAGAATCCTTTTTATTTTGTCTAAACAATGCCAAACCGGTCTCTTACTTATCAACACCTTGTGGTCAAAAGTGTGAATGGGCGGCCTGTTGACGTCTTCAGCCTATCTGCTATCTTAGACAACTTAATAATACCGGACTTTGAGATTTTCTTTCCCATCAAAAAGCCAGACAAAATAGCCTCATTAAGAAACTGTAACTGTAACTAGTTTCAAAATGTCATGGAGTTTTGAGACGTCTGGTTTGAACTTTGGTACGCCCAACAAGTCGTAAGGGTCTGTCAATAATGTTGCCACATTTGTGCGCCCAAAGATATAAGAAGTTTGCGCGTTGCACAATAAGGTATGCATTGACGCAATGTTTATCTAAATTGTTCGAAATTTAAGCTATTGATCTAAAAAGATTTAGGAAAGCAATTGGAATGTCTAACATAAAATCGGACGTAAACGACTCGCCGGTTCGGCCGCAGTTAATGAAGTGTTTTAAAAATTTTGTACGTGGCTTCTAGAAATTCTCCGCAAAGCGTTAGTTACTTTCTTACTAGTTTTTAGAAAGCTCAGTTCACACACGTTATGGATAATATAATAACACAAACCCTCAAAACACGGCGTATCCGTACAAGGTTGTCGTCCTAACGTCTTCATAGGCAACTCTTCCCTTTCTTTTCTTTTAGCATTTTGAAAAACTTTTTAGAATCTCTAACTATTTCGGTTTTGAAGACATGTTTTACTTATGAAAAATTATTTTAATCCTTATGTCGTATACATATTTGAAAAAATCCGCCTGAGTAGCCGAAGGCGAGGAATCTCGACTAGATCGTGGTCGTGGATTCGAATCTCAAGTGCGGCAGAGTTTTTAAAAAAAGCCGATAGCCTTAGATGCTAGTGCTTCTAAGACTTTAGTCTTAGAATTTATTTCTCTGGCGAAATTAATAATAATAATAATAATAATTGAAAAAACTTTGTGCGAAGAGTATTTGATGAATATTTGAAAGCTAATCAATCTATTTCTAATAATATATAAATTACGATAAGAGTTGTAGATTATCATCTACGTGTAATTTATTTTTATAGCCTGCACGACTTACATTCTACGCCGCATATGCACTTGCAGGCACAGGGAATATTAAGTTCTCACGGTTGTTTAGTATCGTCTAGAAGGGCTTAAGACTGACTCACTTTTTTTACATCGATCGATTTGGTCCTCTTGATCTTTCCTAAATCAGCTTAAACATGTCTGTCTATTTTTTCTACATTTGTCAATGTGTTTGTGTATTTAAACTACAAGTCGTAAATTGTGAAATCTTGCATAGTAACATTATCACGACCCAAGGACAAACGCTAGGTAAAATGCATTGAATCGAATCCCCTGTAACGGCTTACTTTGAAAAACTGATGAAACCGAATTTGGTAAGTGAATAAATTTATCGTTATAAAGACATAATCTCCCATTAAAATGACCCATAGCCCATCAGGGTGAATTGAACGATTGGTGCTAGAGCTGCAATAGTACGCCTTTCCGTAAAATACCGTAACCGTACCGGAACAAAAAACGTAGCCGATACGCTTTCCAGAGAGCCCATAGAAGCAATGGAGAGAGTTATCTTAGAGGCGGTGTAGAAACAACAGACGTAATTGGTTAGAAGAAAAAATGGAAGGCGTTAAAGGGAATTGCACAAAATATCCGGAATATATGACAGTTGTTGGAAGATTGTACAGATATTTCCCAAGGACGGCCTCTGATGAAGAAGGTAAACCTTGAAAACTGTACGCATCCAACTGCTAACGACAAAAATGTCAACTTGTTAGCTTAACGTGAAAAGTTTAGATTGGAAGGGAGCATTTTTTGAAGCTTTTCCCATTTTACAATCGTTTGACATTTTATCAGGAAAATAAATTACGAATTGTTTTAGGCGAACGAACAAGAGGCGTTTGATGATCAGCTTTGCCCGATTATAAGGTTTGTAACTGTCTACAATAGTATGCCCCGTGAAAAAAAGATACGGTCACTTTTTACTCCATCACTGTATGTATAGTTATAAATGATTTAATAAAGCGAATCAGATATATTTATGAGTTCATAGCTAAAAATATTTTCCCGACTTTCTTTCTTTTTTGTTTTTTTTGTTTTTCATTATTTTAATAATTCTTAAAATTGATTTATAGTTATAAAGTGCATTACGATATAAGAAGATTTGTGTGTATTCCACTTACCTCTTCTTCAAAATCATCTAAATCATCGAGATATGGTATACCCAATCGTTTCTGTAGACTTTCAATGATCTTGTTGAGTGTAACGACTTCCTTTTGAAGCTCTTTAATACTGTTCGTGTTATTTTCATTAGCGAATCTTAAATTCGTTATAAGTATTAAATGCCAGATCTGTTGGGACGAAGAAAAGAAACATTTTTTTTTTTTTTAGTTCATAAAAACTGTAATAAGTAAGAGAATTATGCTCGCCTTTGATCGAACCCTATGTACCCACCACCGTTAACTTAAACTAAAATACTGCTACAGTTCACAAGTAACGAGCAAAATGCCCATTTATTTGGTTTTGAAAGCAGAGGTCCTTTATTGCTTAACCAGGTTTGCCTATTTGCAATACTAACCTGCACGCAACAATATTTAATGTTTTTGCAGCCGACGTCTTCGCTGTTGTGGTCAAGAGCATGTCTAATATACCACAAAATATGAGCAAAAGGGCTGGCGGACAAACTTTGCATTGACTCATATTTTGACTTATTTGATGAAGAGTATTTGTACTTTATATGGCCTCCGCAGAGTCCTTCTGGGCTTAGCAAACATGTTGGCAACATAAATGTAATCCCTTCCTTCGGTATTCGGCATAAAAACAAAAAAAAAAAACCCGCAAATTGTTGGAAATGTTAAAACAGGAGAAAAAAAATGTTCGCCCAAGCCACGCCAAGCTATCACGCCATACGTATCAACTTCAAATATTGCAGTGTCATTCTAACGGATATATTCGCCACTTGTTTAGCGATGGGCTGACTACTTGGCGGTCGAAGGACTTCCATCTTTACCCTCAAGTGACTGACGTAACTTAATAGGCGATGTCGCGTCTTATTATTGTTTTGCGTATTTTTTAGTCCTGTTACGAAACTGATTCGCTTAACTGGCTAGATGTGGTCTTGCCTAATATCAAAGAGTTTTTCGTAATTCGCTTCTAATGGGAATGCGACTTATCGCAGGGAATTCCAATTGTTAAGAACGTGCAGCAAACGTGGTCGCTTTAAACAATTAGCTATCGTACCGTCTTCCTTTTCTTCATCTTAGTCGAAATGAGTCTATTCATAAACATGTCTTTAGGATCAATACTTCGTATGCACCCTTCAGCTTTACTAATATTCGAACATTAAATGATTTGCTTTCAGCCGAGTAAATAAGAATCGCGTCTACCAACTCACTATTCGCGGATTCAAATTTCAACTGCGTTAGAGCTTACTCTTGGCCGCAGGTGCAATGATTGCTCAGTCGGTAAAGACATTGTACTTGACGTTTAGACACACGCCTACTAAAGACTGCGATTTTCCTCGTTTCATGAACAGAGGACATCCCTTGAGTGATTGGTCATATTAAAAAAAAAAAAAAAAAAAAAAAAAAAAGCGGAAGGATATATAAGCTCAGAATTCCAAATTGGTCTAGAACACGTACACGGTTAATAAAGTACCGCAGAGCGTTGCGGCCTTGCCATCAAAACTTAAGACTTGGATATTACATCTGCTTTAGGTTTTGTTTATTCGAGTCATGTTGTGACTTTCTCAGACATTCGCAGGTCAATTTGATTTATTATACTCTACAATCTCGCTTTACGCTTGCTATTGCACGTTTCGTTCTTGTAGAATCCAGTGCCGCACCACCGTTACCAATCTTTTCAAATATGATTGGATTACACTTCGTTTTGCCAGCGATTCGCCGGTGAAGATTCGGTTCATATTCGGTTGCGATACCCCTAATGTATCTCTTCTTAGGTAAGTGGTTTAAAACTTATTCCTGGCCGATCGACCGCAGAAGATAAAAATATTATACGCCGGTTTGTCCCAATTTTTGAAAAAAGTTCGTCCGCTTTGGCGGCACTTCTTTCACATCGAGCACACCATTTGCTTGTCGTTGATTTTGATAAGGCATTTTGACTATAAACATCAGAAATTGTTTGACAAGTTCGCAACGGGTTATCAAGTCGGTCCAAGTCATATCGCAAAATATGGCAGATTCTCTCTGACATTCAAAACGCAGTTGCTTTCGACCGAGTTGACTGAGTTAATAAATGTCACAATGCTTTTATTTCTTGGTTATCTGTGGATTGTCACCTTTCACACAGGCGCTACAGTACGGATTGATACAGTTTGTCTTATCAAAATAAACTGAAAGTTAAAGCCATCTATTGGGAGGACATCGCGAATTCTTTTCTTAAATCAATATTTAGATTAGTTTTAGATAATTCACTTGTAAGTAGTATCTTTGGATCTATACAATTATCTGTTAAACAAGTGCTTAAATAGGAAAAGTTGATAGAAAAAAAAAAACTCAAATTAAAAGATTATTCCGTTCATTTACATATTTGTATACACAGCGCCGCTTGTGCATACGCACGTATTCACGCGTATTCATTGAATGAAAAACCTTAAGAGTAAGAAGAATGTAAGCAACATATACGTACATACACTTACCGTAACACCCAAGAGTACAAAAGTCAAAACAATTGCCAAAGCACTTGTAATATTTATCAGGAAGTAAGAACGACGAGTGTGTTGCGTTATGGACGATGAGCAGGCGTTACTTTTATGATTCGCCAAAGAAAAATTGTCAACACCACTTGTAGGTGTTATGAATGGTTTCAAAGTCTCTACAGTCATTTTAATTTATTTCCTTTTGGTTTTTTTATTTTTATTTATTTTTTTTCTTTTTCTTTATTTTTTTTTGTTTGAATTCTTTATTTGATTGCTGATCAATTTATTTAATATTCTTTTATCGCTTCGCATTCGCAGAAGCAATCAAGAGCGTGATCCATAGGTACTTATCGCATGTCGATGTTGCAAAGCCTTTGCAGAGCCTAAAACAAGTTTAGTGTGTTTTCCTTCTTTCTTTTTGTTATTTCTTATTATTATTTATTTTCTTATTTCTTTATTTTATTCGCCTTTGCTTTCACTCTCACACAACAAACATTGATTAGAAAATAAGTGATAATGATCGATCGATCTTCCCGATAAAAGTTTCGTATTATTTAGACATCTTTCTGCTTATGTATGTGTAACTATGGGATGCTGTTTATATGATATGTAAAGGTGTGTAGTGCTTTTGGGCCATTATCACGATAAAATGTAATGCACGCGAACGACCGATTGACCGTCCATTACAATCTTTCTCTCACTTTCGTTTATTTATTTATTTTATTTTTTATTTATTTTTTTTACTTAACCTAAAGTGCCAAAAACAATATCGGTCCACACAGTAAGAATATTGACGATATGTACAACTGACACTAATGCGGTGCCTGATAAACGTTTTGTCTGTTCGTTCTTGTGTCTCGCACGCGACTAAAACAGAAATTTTCTTCCTTCTCGACTAGATGGGATCATTGCTGCTTGTGTTGCTGCTGGTAGTGTTGTTGTAGCTTGTACTAATACTATTACCACCGCCACTACTGACTAGGATTGACTATCAGTCGAGATCATTTTAATGAGAGGGCAAGAGCAACAACAATTACGACGACTAATAAGAATAAAAAAGAATCTTTTCGTACTCAAAATTCTTCCTATACCATGCACATCATGCACATGCATACGAACGCATAAAAGTATTTTAGCTTAAAGATATATATGTATATTTTTTTTTTGGATTTGTTTTCACAAACTCTTCGTTCGTTCTGCCTCTTTTTTTCTCACATATAAACACAACGTAAACAACAAAATACAGAAACATTTTGAAATGACTCTTGTTATGCGTACTGTTGTTGTTTAATTATATGCCGCATTGTTAAGGGAACATTTTTTTTATAAACTGTTTTTATTTATTTAATTCCTGTTGTTGTTGGTGTTGGTTGGTTGCTGCATATATACCGTCTTAGAGCCCTTATCCGGTGATTTTATGGTCAACATTGTTGAAATGCTTATATGCTGTCGACCCTACGCCAAGTTTTCTTAATTATACTCGAGTATTTTTGTCCATTTAGTTTACAGCGGTACCGTCGTCAAGTGATAGACAAATGCATTAATAATGGGTGGTAGCAAATGTGAATGTGCGATGTGCGATGTGCGATGTGCGAGAGAACCGGCATTTGTAGTAATAGAAGAAAATTTTTCATTTTTCTATATCTATGCAGACTGCTTCTACGCACAAACATTACACAATATATGTTAGATTAGTCAGCATTTTGAACATAAGCACTGATTTTTTTAATATCCATTACTGAAAGGCCAGGGTATGTCAGTGTTGCTAATTCATTTGTAAAAAAAAAAAAAGAAGAAAAATTATTATCAACGCATTGAACGTAAGTAAACCAAGGATCAAGACTTGCAGCATTACCTTTCTACTAAACTATTAACATAACCTTGACTGAAACCGGCTTTGAAAGTAAGGCAACATACCTCCTACCCGATAGCAAAATTACTTGTCTTAGTAGATCTTAAACAGTCCCCGACGACAATTAGTCCGTGAAACCCAGATAGAGACACGTATATGGGCCTGTGCCTAGCTCCAATGACAGTGAAGGCCATCTGAAATCTCTGCTTTCCTTTGGATCATACACCCGCTTGCAATGCAACTCTGTACTGAGCAAGGAAGTAGGCTCTTTTCGCCATTTAGCCAAACACAGCCATCACGAAACTGCCGCAATGGTCCATTCGCGCGGACATTGATTCGGGACTTCTTGTCAAACGTAGTACCGGAAATAAAAACACTTTCAGGTCTCTGTGCATCGAGGGAAAGAGCAAAATTCCCCGAGCTTGGGGATTTCTCGCCATCAGAAGATAAGACCGTCGATGTTAGTTCACGGCGTGGATTTCATCAAGGACCTTCGAAATTCCAGCAAATTACATAAACTGTACTTTCGATCAGATCGGTGGTGGTTGTCGCACATTACACATATCCTAATCCAGGTTAGGGCGTCCGATCTGTGATAGATCATTGACTGCCAAATGGATAAAAAATCTCTGTAATGTTAATACAAGTCGTACTAGAGACATAAATATCGTATCAAACTACTTGGCAGTTGTCTTCAGAACTCAAAAACTGTAAATGCGTCAGAAGGCAACGGCCATTAATATAAAATCATTCTTATTTATAGCTTTTTATCTTAAAATCTTCAACATTACGGGCAATGGGTTTCCAAGATGAAATCGAAGCAATCGCCTATCGAAATGCTTTCTAGAAAATGCAAATTCAAATATATATAACTTAAAGATTTTTTTTTTTTTTTTCAATTTTCTTTTCCATATAAAATTTGTGGCTTCACAGATTGATTTCGACTACTACTATCACTTGAAATCTTATGACATTTTAATGATGGTTTCATTATGTATCTGTATCTGTATCTAAGCGTTTCAGTGATAAAGAACAAATGTTGATGAGATAAGACAGCAACTACGACTTACATACACAGTTTAGCATTTTTTTATTATTCTGCAAATTTATTAAAAATATTTAAAGCATTACTTGACTTCTTTAATGAAGCGATATTTTTGACATAAAATTGTATATACAAAAAAAAAAAAAACTAGATTGTTTTCCTTTAGAAAGAAAGAAATACTTTTATAGAAGAAAACCTCAAATCATATTTACATATGTACGTTTAAAAATAAATATTGTTGAATACTTGAATTAATTTCCTTCGTTTTATTATTTTTGTGTCGATTTCACTTCCGTGAATCAATTGTTTGGCAATTCCAAAGAACCGCAAAACATGAACAAGACATTACGCTTAGGTAAGTAGATATTACGCCAATAACTTAAAAAAGCTTCGCGTCCCTTAGCCCTTAGCGAGTATAAACGAGTACCTAAACTTACCTAACTTAGTTGTAAGGCTCTGTGGTACCTTATTAGCCGTGCGCATATTGAAGACCGGTTTGGAATTCTAAGTTAATATAAACGTAAAGATCTGCTCGTTGGCTTATACATCCCCACTCTTTTTATACGGTTTTTTTTACACGATTCATCTAGGAGAGAAAATACACGAATTTTCTGTTCTAGCACGAATCCAAGAAAACAAACTTGTTCTTAATTTTAGTTTTGACAATGTCTCACAGTGACTTATGCATATGGCAACAAAACACATTTGGGGAAATACTGTGATCAAAAGTCGGTCCATTTATGCCCACATGGTTATTAGTGACTTGCGTTGCCGCGGCTTGGCAGTTAATAGCGAATGATATTCTTCATTTGAATCATACCTGACAGTTGTGCTAGACATACCGCACACACCTACTGATCGTAATAAATAGGCACGCATCGAGCAATGATAAATAGTTCCGAAAATGGTTTTTATTCCTAATTTCAAGTTACATTTTCGTATATTGTATGTACTTATGAACTGAATTTTCACTGTACACTAATTTTAATCCGTTTTCTATAATAAAAATGAATAGTTTTTGTTTTATAGATGTGTAAAATGGAATTCGTTATTTCTTTTTCTGCACGGTTTTTTGAAAAAATATATGGAGCTTACCCGATTTTTTAAAGTTGTGGAACATATCACCATATTTACCATATGCCGCAAGTATATTCTTATACGATTTTTTTTGCACGGATTTCTAAGGTACCACGCTCACCTAATATTAAAGAGTATCAAAACTTAATTATAACGCGCAGAGACAGGCTGAATTCTGGGACATTTGCAAATTTGGAATGACTTAACTAAGGACTTTTCTAAGGACACGCCTACAATGCCTGTACGCCTATGCCACGAAAACTTTTGAAAAAATCTCTAATTTTTGGTATCTTTTTTAGGATAACGGTGATGGATGTAAAAGATTCGGTCACGACCGACTATTATTTTCTTATTTTTTAATATTATGTATTTCTATTCTATCACCAATAAAGTTCCAAATGGAACGAAAGAAAATTAATTCAATTGTTCAATAATAAAAAGAAAAGAATATCTTTGTAAATACTTTAAAGTACATTGCGTAAAAGTAATGCACGAAAGCTCTTCTAAGCATGTACTCTTCTTTCTCTTCCTCTCTCTCTCTCTCTCTCTCTCTCTCTATATATATAATTATATATATATATATCTAAGTTTTTACATATGTATATATGAATGTGTGTGTACATATAAATGTTCACATGTACATACATATGTTTATTTATTTTAAAATGAAAACATTATCCAGTCGCTGAAGATTAATGCCTGCCTGCCTGATATATCTCAGATATAAACGTATAAAGATAAAAAATAGAATTAAATAATAAAAAGAAGGAATAGTCTTATGACGAATGTTGCACACCCATCACATAAGTCGACAATAGTTTTCACAAACAACTATTGCGCAAAGATTGCTTTCAATAAAGAATTCCAAGCTTTTAAAATCGATTGCTCTCTACATTAATTTTCAATTCCTAGATATTTCGCTTTAAATTTTACAAATTTCACACGAATTATTTACTCAATCGGCCCTGCTATCCAATTTTCAAATGTTTTTCAGATTTTTTAAAAGATGCGAGGAGTTCGGATCTTACAATAATATTTTATTCATGATACACTTATAGATTCGAGATACACTTATAGATTTTGAGATCGATCTGAGGTTTCTATCGAACCAGGAGAAGAAATCCTAAGCTGATATCGATCATACACTGTCTAAAGCATTCAAACGGGGAACGAAAATAGTATGTTTCATTAATCTAGTGTCCCAGTAGTAACTAACAATTATTTGACGAAGCTTCTGCTCCCTAAGACGATATCTGTAAGCGCCGCAAAACACTTATATTCCTCAAGAGTCAGCAAAATCTCAAATTAAACAATTCTGACGCTCTACCTGCGCTTTAAGAAGTGTTAGTCGCATTAAAAATATTATCCTTTCGTGGGTAATATTTCTCACAAGTTTCTCATCATTGATGAGTTCATAGGATGCAAGTGAATCTGTAGAATGTTGTTAGAGATTACATTGCTTGCAAAATTGTTGATATGTTTATATAGGGAGAAGCCGTAATATTTTCTTTAAGTTCATTTTTAATTAAATTTAAGATAATTAAAGTGTTAAGTGGTAACATATATGTAGTGCTACAAGACTTTAGAGGATGTTTACAGTACATATAGATGTGTATATAAATAAATGTGCATGTCGAGGCGCTTTATATAACAACGCACATTTAGTTTTTATGATTTACAAGAATATTTATTATACCTTACACCAAATGTGGTACAAGGGTATATTGAGTTTGTGCGGATGTATGCAACACCTAGCAGGTAACGCTGTTGAAGTAGACCCACCTCTTATTCGAAGGTAATTCTGAATCGATCTAAGCTTGTCTGTCTGTCTCTTTTTTCGTTATTAGTGTATTCAAGCGACTGATCACGGTGTCGGGCCCGACGGTGTATGTGGTCATCTTTCCTCATTGCCAATAGAAAACTTCAATAAAGCAAAACATTGGGCCGAAATATTCTTTAAGGCATTGCTATCATCTGTGCAATATAAGGACACTCAAATCTGCTCCACGAGAATCCCTACAGAAGTGGTTCCCTTCGAGGTAATTTTCGATGACTTTGAAATAACACGGGCTTGGTGACTAATACACAACACCGAAACGTGAAATAACACGCCCGGGAAATTCCTAGCGCAACCATGCCAAAACAGGACGTTGAAATCCCATATCTTGCACATCCATTTCCACGAAACAAAAATGCGCATGAAGAAAAATGCACGAAACGTGACTGACGTGTTGAAAAATCAGCATTACATTAAATGCATTAAACATATGAAACTAAAAAAAATATTCAAAAGGCAAAAAAAATTACTGTCCCGAAACGGTATTCGCACTTTGCAGAAGCTATTCTTTGTGAATATTTATATTTGGTTGGAAGACGAATTCCTTTCTGACTATCTGACTGTGACTCACGTCGTGGTGTAACAGCACATTTTGTGAAACGGATTAATTTTGATATCGTAACTATCTTCAAATATATAGCTTTTCTTCTTACTGATAATTGTTAATGTGAAATAAGTAAAACACTCCAGTGGGACCGGGGTTACTATGAAAAGCCCTACACCACTTTGCCTAGTACACTTAATCATATTATGACCTCTCAAAATAAGATGTTATATAAGACATACACATAGCGGTGACCCAAATTTCATTAAAATATCTCAAAGATTTAAAAAAAAGACCGATGGACGGACAGACAATCTGAGACCAAAAATTGACTCCATATCGACCAGTATAATAAAAAGTAACCACTCCATATAAAATTTCCCACGAACCTCATGAGTAATCCCTTCAGAAAAGAGTTCAATTTTGGATATTTTTTGATGAAAATTGGTCCCAAGTACCAATTAAGCACATAAATGGGCGGATAACGTAAGCCTTCCTTTTGGACCCTAACATATGTAGAAATTATCGTAAAAAGCAAACCCTTATAAGGAGAAAAAGTCTCATTTCGAATTTTTATGATCGAAACTGAAGAATAATAAAATTTTTGGGAAGTAAATTAAGTTTGCCAAATTTGGATCGCGTTATGTGATGTGATCTAATGGTCGGCCTAGCCCGACTATAATGTTCTTATTTGTCTGATTTAATACGTAAAAGCTTAAAAAATTTTCAATATGCAACGAAGTTTGAGGCTTTTGAATGGATAACGCTAGCCAATTACAATTGACCTTGAACTTTTTCATGTAAGCGTATTAATTAAATGCCGGCAAAATAAACAAAAAAAATATAAGAAGATCAAAAGATATTCTTATTTGAAATTATATCATACGTGGGATACACACAGATGTAAGCATAACAGAAAAATCGGTACGATTAATTAATATTTCCATTTCTTTTTAAATATCATTAATCTTAAATATTACAACAGCCAATTTATAAAAGACTAGCAAAATTTTTATACATTGTAGCCAGTGTTCAGAGTTATGGACTACAGAGACATTTGGTAACTTCATCCGTGAAATCTTCTTGTTATTGCGTTCACGACTGTCAAAAAAAAGTGTTCGTCCTTGTCTGTGTACTGTGACCTTGTAAAAGGCGTCAGTTAGGAGGTTACAAGTATACCCTCGCTACGTCCGTTCGTTAGAGTAAAGATAAGTAAAAAAACGATCAGTAAAATTCATTTTTTTTTTTTTTTATTTTCTTAATAGATGTTTTAAGTCTGTCTTTGAAAAAACTTCATAACCTATACAACAATTTTACCTTCAACTTTCGGGGTTTTGCCAAAGAACTACGAGAAGAGCGCCTGTGTCAAATGCATACCTACTGGGAAGAAAGTTACAGAACAGTGTCTTTTGGCTACTGATTTCTAAATTCCCCCAATCAGTAAAAAGCTTTTAGACAGAGATTATGTGCACATAAAAGAATTTCCAAACACAAATGCTTTAATATTCCTTCGCGGTTGAGTGGAAATGTGGCTGCGCCCAATGTGAAAGAAATCGATCCTTTATCAAAAAATCAAGGATTTGTAATAAATTTTTTGATATTAAACATGGATTCGGCCGTAGAATCATATACTTTCTTTCACCGTTTCCCTCATCATTTCACGGCACGTTGTGTATGAAAAACATGAAAAGGGTCCCTTCTTAAGAAAAAATCTTCGAGTAAGCTAATGTAAATCAAATTGTAGTATCCCAAGATTTTTGATGGAAAGAAATAAAACGCTTTTATGGATTCACTTCTAAGAAAGTTTTTTTATACCCCACACCACTGGTGGAACAAGGATATTTAATACTTTAAAGGAATTGATAAGAAAAGGATAATCGGCTAATTTATAGGGATTGCTTTGTTGAATGCATAGAAAAATTATGCACATTGCATTGTGCAATGCAACTGTCAAAGTATCCGAAGTGTCAACTGACAGCTTCTTATCTAATAGACCCTTACGCGACCGCTATTTCGCATATATAAAAAAATGAACTACCCCAGATTATATTGTCATCAATTAAAGGCAAAATTTTAGTATGATTGAATATGTGGAAGTACACGAAATTTCGGTTGAAAGTTTGCATACTGATAGGAAAGCGAATTAAGTGTATAATAATGATCAAAAAACAACAATAACAATAATTAGAATTAGGTAATAATAATGGTAAAATAATGAGAATAATGATAATGATTTAATACGTCTTCGAAATCCTGTGACAACTTTAATAACGTTCTTCGTTTGATTTCCATATTCGAAGCTAAGAGCACCGCCAAAGAATATATATATATATATATATATATAGCGCTATATATATGAAAAAATTAAATAATAATCAAAATCAGTTAATATTAGCAATAAAGAATACAAACTACTTTATCTTCCATTTTATTACAGGCGTATGTGAACCTTTCCTTTTCTCTTGCACTTTATCCCATTTTAAGGGAGCTAAAATTAAAAAAATATATATATATATTTTCATTTGCCCATCATCCTAATTTTGCAACTGTTTATGAGTTTTTATGAATATTTAGGAATGTTTGAGAAGGTTTAGTAAGGTTTTGATTTTTAACTCTGCTTAATTTTGCAAGTGTTTGTCAGTGTTTATAAATGTTTAAGATAGTTGGCCAATCGTAATGAACAGCTGATGACAAAACGATAAAACAAGCATATGGCAACACTTCACACAACATTTTCTTTTTTTTTCATATCTAATCTCAAATACTAATTGAACAACTAAAGCAACTAAAACGGCAAGTGGGATGTATTTTAATTGGAATTTGTTCTTCATTTTATTAATTAAAATTTTCACGTATATCCGGCATGTGAAAACGAATGAAGTTATCGGTTGTGGCGGTTTTATAAAAAGTCATGCAGAAATAGATTTTTCTAAAGTCGAAGTGAAATTGTAAGTAACAGACAACCGCATCATCATCGCTTTATAATAAACAATAGTTACGAATCAATTAACTTGAACTTCAATTTGCTTGAATTGTAAAATAAACTCTTTGGCGCTATTTTCGCCTTTATGACGAAAGAATTTTTTCATTTGCATTTTATGTACATGTCAGAATGACGTTTTAAAAAAGACCTAATATAAGTGTAAGGTCGAGCTATAAGAAAAGTTCATTTTAATAAAGCGAAATGTCATTAAACTGTAGATAAATTTTAATTTTATTTTTTTAATAACAGGCTCACTAAAAATGGAGCACTAAAGGACAAAACGGATTGCTCCCCTTCGAATGGTTACTACTTTTTACCTATATACGATAAGGGTGATTACGTATTACGTATTAGTCCACCTCCTGGATGGAGTTTTGAACCAAAGGAAGTGAAAATTACCTTTGATGGCAAAGCAGACATTTGCAGCTTGGGACACGATATAAACTTTGCATTCAAAGGTTTCGGTATAACGGGACGCGTAATTTTAGGGTCGAGTGGAGCACGTGGCATTCAGGTGCAGCTACGTTCATTAGATGGCCGCCAAGAGCATAGCAGCGCAGTCACCGATATTAATGGAGTATTTTCGTTCACGCCCATAATACCGGGCGAATATGAATTGGAAGTCGTTCGTTCGAAATGGCATTTCGAAAAAGCCAAACATATAGTTGTTGTTAAAGAGGGTAACACGGAGCTGCCCGTCAATGCATTAACTGTATCAGGTTTTGATGTTAGCGGACGTTTTGAAGCTACAAACGACTTGGATTTAATGATGGTCTTGTTCAAAGAAAAGGGAGTAAGTTAAGATTAAACTTATGTAGGAAGTTTGAAGTGACATCATCTGCTTATTTCTAGGATAGACAACCGGCGGCATGTCCTAAGCAAATCGTTTGTGCTTTAGCCCAACACGATAACGACTTATATGAAGCTACGCCATTCACTTTTGCCAAAGTTAGTTCTAGCGGTGATTATTTATTTAGCAATGTTGCGGCCGGCAAATATTTGCTAATGCCTCTGCAACTAAATTCTAATTTGAAACTACATTGGGAGCCTAAATGCTACGAATTCCAAGTAAACAAAGACTATGTAGAAATTAAAACTGCATTTAAGGTAAAACTAGTAATCATTTATAAACAGTTCCATTTAGCAAGTTTCCCTCTTTCTAGATTGACGGTTTCAATGTCGAAGGTCAAGTTTTAAGGGGTGCCAGAGGTTCTCCTTTATCGCAGGCTGTTATCAAATTAAACGGCCAACACGTGACTGTTACCGATAATAAGGGCTTTTTCACTTTGGCCAAGATACCATCTACTGGAACCTACACTATCCAAGTGGAGGCACCACGCATGAAGTTCCCTGCACAACAAATTCAGTTGCAATTAAATACTTTCTCAGTACCACCTATTGTGCCTAGTGGATATGAAGTTTGTGGTGTCGTAGTAACAAAGGGCTCATATACCGTAGCAATCAATGAGCCACTATCAGGATTTTTCACTACAGTCAATACAAATGAGTCTGGAGTGTGGTGTACTTTTTTACCAGCGGGCAAGTTCAATGTGGAAGTTGAAATCTCTAAAGAAGATAAAGCAAATGGTGTCCAATTCTATCCATTGCAACAAAATATTGAAGTTAAAAACCAACCATTAGATGGCATTACCTTTTCACAATTGCGAGCAACTGTGCATGGTATGTTGAAATGTCTGAACGATGCTCCACGCTCAGTTTGCTTGGAAACAGAAGTTTCTTTAAATAACTTAGATGCTAGTGGCCAGGCAAATGGACAAAAGCTTACAGTGAATGCTAAAGGTAATGTTGACAAAGCCTACAGTTTTCATTTGTTTAAATTTCCCTTTGTGTCCATTTAGATGGCCGTTATAGCTTCAAGAATGTGTTACCCGGGCCATATGAGGTTACCATACCGCGTTACAAATTATGTTTTAATTCCACTCGTCTTCTAATCAATGTCAATTCGGTGGTGACTGCGGTACCAGATTTCGAACAACATGGATATGAAGTAGATTTTATATCCAGTCATAGAGCTATGGTGATTTCGATATTGTAAACTAATTAATAGCATTTCATTCTATTTTTTTTTTGCTCTTACCTAGTTGACGTACTCTCACAGCTCAAATCCCAACTTCACAAGTACTTTAAAATTATTGGCCGGTCATAATGCGCTGTGTGTTCAGAAATATGGCATTTATTATATCAAACTGGAAGGATGTCACCTTTACGATTCTGATAGCCTACCTTTAAGTTTTAGCACCGCCGATCCCTCTTCTATAGTAATCAACGCCATCGCTCATAAAGTGGGCTTACGATTTCTATTACCGAAACCTTTACCAGAAAAATTTCAACTGTATGTAGAATCACAAAGCTTAGGCAAACAATGGGTTACGCCCTTGGATGAAGGTCATATCGTAGATGAGATGTTTTGTTATCGTTACGATACACATTTAAAACCGGAAGAGGTGCTATATATAACACCACGCAGTGAAGTGCTTTTGTTTGAACCACCTTTCAAGCAATTAACAGGAGGCAACGATTGCGTTGATGTGGCTTTTACTTTTGTAGCTTCACGTGGGTTAATATTGCAAGGCAATGTAATGCCCGCTATTAAGGATGCTAAAATAACGTTGAGTTTCCCTCAAAATCCTGAATTGAAAACACAAACGTACATAACCACAGAAAAAGGAGAATTTAAATTCGGCCCTATACATCAAAACTTACATTACGATTTAAAGGGTGAAAAAGAGTCTTACGTATTTTCCGAATATGACCATTCTACCGCCACATTTAAGGTGCACAAGTTATGTGAAATCATTGTAAATGTTAAGGATGAGGCTGGGAAACAACTGAGTGGCGTTCTCATATCCATGAGTGGTGGCGAGAGCTATCGTAAAAATCTAATAACTGGAGAAAATGGACAGATTGTATTTCATTCGCTGGCTCCGTCCCAATATTTTTTGAGACCGATGATGAAGGAATTCAAATTTGAGCCAAATTCCAAAATGATTGAATTGAAGAACGGAGAAACCATTGAAATGGAAATGATGTAAGAATTTATAAATTAATTCCATGTCACTTTTTCTACTTAATTAGTTTTTTAGCGGTAAACGTGTAGCTCATTCAGTGTTTGGTAATGTTGTTTCGCTTAATGGTGAGCCCTTTTCTCAGGTGAACGTTCAGGCGAATGCTGGTGAATCTTGTATGTATCATCAAGAAGAAGCTACTACGGATGCCAATGGTCAATATCGGTTACGTGGTTTACAACCAGGCTGCGAATACACCATACGTATAAAAGATTTCGATACGAAAGTACATCGCTCTATACCTCCAAAACGTATTGTTAAAATAGCTCATGAAGACGTTCGTGCTGTTAATTTTGTAGGAATTTCTCCACTGGGAAACGTGGACGTAGTATGTCATGTAACAGCTCCTTCAAACGATTTCTATAAAACCTTACGCGTAGTCCTCTATCGTAAAGGTGCTTACGACACCCCACTTCATACGCAACGCATGGAAACACTACTCAATCCTAAAGGACCATATAGTCCAGGTATACTGGTTTTTCTTCCACCAATACCTTTGGATCACAAAACTACTTATATAATAGAATTGAGAACTACACTTTCCGAATCCACTTATACGTATACATTACCTTCAAAACAATTTTTAGCTGATAAAGGCACGATTTACTTAGAATTGCATTTTAAACCAAAATTACGCGCAATTGACATCGACCTCAACCAAAACTCGATTTCGGCTTTAATACTATTGGCTCTGGTGGCTATAGCTTTTTTCAAACAGGATATTGCCATCGCTTTTCTAAACTTCATATGGACACGTGCCAGTGCGTTGATAGAAAACTTCACTCAACAACAAAAGCATCAAAGCAAAAATAATACTCGCAAAATAGAACCAATTAATCAGAAGGAAATCGAATTGATGGCCGAACAGATAAATGCTACGAAAAAGAAAAAGCCCAAAAAAATTTAAATTGAGTTTGAACACTAACCAATATTTGATGTAAAATATAACGGGTAGAGTTATTAGTTGTACCCTCTGTTTTAGAAACTTTTTAATAAATACGTAACTGCCAGTATGGTAGTTCCTTTTAGTCAAATATACATCTCTCGCTGCTATGCTTTCAAACTAAAAGACCAGTGCAAACACGTAGCCGAAAATTGTAGAAAATTAAATTCGATTCATTTTTCTTTTTTTTTATTATTATTAATTTTACCCATAATGATAGGCTGGGTTTACCATAGTTGTAGTCGAACATTCCTTTGCAGGATAATCAAACAGATAACGAATACCCCAAAGTAGCCAAGTGGTGAGAAAAAATGTCACTATCACAATCTTTACTTTAATCCAATAGACAATCGATAGCCAATGCCAATGATGATCTAAAAACACGATGAGAGCGAAAGTCAAGCAATCATTGAAATTTGTATAGCATATACTTACGCAAATAATAATAACTATATTTTTTACGTGCCATAACTCGTGACATCTCATCATTATGAACTAAATGATTGCTGAAAGCAAGCGGCAACATGATCAACAATAGACATAAACATAAGTTTTTATTATCATTATTTTTATTAAATGGAAACATTTTCTTTTAGCGATTGTTTTCATAATAATGCCAAGCTGAGGTTTAATCAGTTTTATCAGATCAGTGAAATGCTTTTATAGAGAAATTTTGACTTTGAAAACGTTTGCATATTACGACAAGGGTGCTAATTTTATTTATTTATTTATATAATACATGAGATTTCTTCTGGCTTGGAATCGTGATCTTCTAATTCTGCAGATAATTACCGTTAATTATCAATTTTACGATAACTTTCCATTTTGCAAAAGAACTATCGATAAGTTTTATCCGCTTGTTTGTCTAGCTATCATAAAATAAATTCTTAATCAAGGGTATATCAAGTTTGTGCGAATGTTTACGATAACCAGAAGGATGTGAAATAGAGCTCTTATTATACTGATCGATTCATGATTCTCAATATGATCTAAGCTTGTGCGTCCGCCTTGCTTTTTTGTGGTTAACCTACAAGCCGCAGTAAGTTTTGGCATTTTGATCAAAGTTACTAAAACTACCATATTTTGCCCCAAGGACGACTGCTATTAAAAATGGTTTGAACTGGCCCACATAAAGCCTTATTGCGATAAGTTGTTATAAGAAATTATACAGCAATTTTTAGAATTTTTAGACAAAAATCGCTTAGTAATAGTACTTCGGCATTTTAAATTGGCTTGAAAACTTTGATTCGGATAAGGCAATTTTTCGCCGCTTGCTAGAATGTGAATATTGGAAATATTTATTCTCCTTTCTCCACATCACATAAAAATACATGTGCATAAAAATAAATACGAAAAGGTGGTATAAGGTATCTAATCGAGGCCTTGCCCGAAGGCAACAATGTAACTTGTTTTCTAATTAATTCATTTATTTGTTTTTACGTCTCGGGCCCTCGCCGAGGCAGTTATGCGCAGTGCCTTTTCTCCGTAACACGACCGTAATTCCCCTTATTTCTCTGTTTCTTACTCGAAGTACACAATACCACTTGCAAAGAAAAGTAAAAATTTACATGGAATTGTTTAACATATACGATAACATTTATCACTTGATGAAGGAAACTATCGATAAACAGTTTTATCCCTAACTTCAATCGATTATCATCGCTAAAGTACACATTTCACTATTTTAATCCAAAACATTCCTTTGTCCTGATATAATAATAAATTATTCATTTCTTGTTAAATAAAATAAATAAAGTCGAAGCGGGCAATTGTGTCATCCGCATTAGAATGCCGTAAAATGTGTAAAACTACTTTTATCTACTATTTTTGGATTCTAATGCTGAACAGTTTTTGGGAATTTACCAGTGGCTATATAAATGGTATGTGTGTTTATGTGCGATAGAGATTAATAAACAAAATTATGGTGAAACGTTAGATGACTAAGAAAATTAAATTATTTTCTTCGTTGTACAGTACGCTTGCAGGATAACTTATGCTCTGATAAAATATGGCTGAAAGTGGAAAAGGCTTTACGCGGCGGTTCCTCCATGGTATTAGGCGACGATCGCAACTCGGCTGCAATAATACATCAAGTATGGAATAGTACGTATCCCGGTATACACGCATCAAATAAAATAAGCTATGATTGCCGTTTTCATGTGCACAGTAACTATAAGAAATCGCCTCCTCGCGGTATTTACACATTGGTAACACGTTTAAAATTTCGGCGCGATCCCGGGAGCGGAAAATGTTTAGATTACATACAATTTCGTGACGGAAATCGTTCACCGACGGAACCTTACTGCAACGATATTTCTATTGATGGACCTGGCCGCTTAATATTTGATGAACGGAACCGTGAGGTTACAGTCAATATACATATAGATAATGAACATATGATTGTTGAACCTCTAGAACTACGTATGGTTTTAACAGCTCATTCTCAATGCAAATACACTGGAGATTTCCTATGCGATTCCGCTGATACTTATTCCTGTATATCAAGGCATTTTGTACGTGATAACATCACAAATTGTATGTATCCTTGTCGCGATGAAGTGTCATGCTTTCATGACGCAGTTTCTTCATTGGAAGTTGACACCACAAATGTGGCGCTCTCGGCCATCACATCGTTTATATTTACCATGGTAGGTGTTGGATTTTGTGTGTGGATTTGTTGGAAATATTGGATTTGCATAACGGTTCAGCAACATGCCCATGAAGCTTCAGGACGTCAAAGGCAACGCGCGCAACAGCAAACCTTAGAACAGCGCACCGAGCAAATAATCGTAAGATTTAATTGATATTCATCATGTTATGATATTATACAAGTATGCGTGTTTATCTACTTTTTTTTTAGAATGTTCCAATAATTGAAATGCCAATGCCTCCAAATTTCGACGATGTTTTCTCTTCTCATGCCGCTAATAACAATTCAAATAATCATTATCCTCAACCGCAGCAGGAACAGCAAATAACGCCAAAAGATTTGCCTCCCAGTTATGAATCTCTGTTTCCTGATAGGTAAACCAACTCTCGCACCTCACTATATATAAGTCAATTCATAAAACGAATTTAAAACGATGTGTTCAAAAAAAACACATATACAGAGACAGTAGTAAAGTCGTGAATTAAAAAAAAAAAATTGCATTAAAAGACATCCTTAGAATCTTCCGCCATATGCCAGGAGCAATTATGCAGTTAATACATTTTAAATTAGTATCTTATTAGGCCTACAAGTAAATCAAAAGGCAAATCTTAATAAAAGGAAAAAAAGGCAATTGAATAGTGAGTAACGTTTCATTTGCTCGCTTTTGTGTATGTGTGTTTGTGTGTGTGGGTGTGTACGTACCTAGTTCAATATATGTGTAGATAGTTAGTTGCCTTCTTTTTTAACAAGCCGAGAAAATAGGCATCTAAAAATCGCTAGGATTTTAATGTAAATAAACCATGAATTGTGACTAGCACCGAAAATTATACAAAAAAAAAAAAAACAAAAACAAGAAAATATTGATAAATTGTCCTAAATGTATTTTAAAAATTGTAAACAAATTAAAGACATATTTTATGATTTTTTTCTTACGTAGTCTTCGTTTTTATTTTCTATTTTAAAGAATCGTACCTGTTGTGTGTAAACGTTAGTAAACAATTATGTGAATAAAAGGAAAAATATATATAAGTGAAAATAATAATTATTTAAATGTTTCATTTACTCTCGAATATTAAGCCAAAAAGTACATTAAATGTAATAAAAGAAAATAAATAAAACATGTTGAATAAATCATATTAAAAAAATTATTCAAAATTAATCAAAATAGCACTTAATGTATGTAATGTATATGTGTGTGTGTGCTTGAGTGCGTGGGCGTATTTACATTTTCTGACAACAAATATCAATTTATTTATATATTTATTTTACTTGGACATTTTCAATTTTTTCTGTTATTATTATTGTTTTTAATCAATTCAAATTATCGCATTTTTCCCTCCACCATATGTTGATCGCAGAGTTGTTTTTAAAATGATGTTACTAGTGGAATGGCAAAAAATTGATCTCAAAGGTATCTCAAAATTGCCAAAAGCCAGTGTAAAAGTCTATCAAAATGGGGAAAATCAACCAGGGTGTATGTGAAAATTACCAAAATAAATACACTCAAGTCTGAAAATGAGAAAAACGCATATATTTTTTAATAAAAGCAAACCAAAACTCAGAAAAATTCTCTCTCAAAATTTTTATTTTGTTCTTACTAAAGGTACCTGTAGCAAAATAAAATTTTGAATGCTTTAAACAATCGCCAAGCCACTACCGTAAAAAGCGAGCGACATAAGAATTAATTATGAAACAACAAATTGAACTGCACAGTTTTTATATCATATCACATAAGTGAACTTTCCATCTATTTAACGAATATAAACGCTGACAGGAACTCTTAAGGCTTTCTCTATTTTATTTGCGCTGAACGTTTTAAAACTTCCCCAATAGGTTAATTGCGACAAGACGAGATCTATTGTTGACATATAAATCTAATAATCTGAGAACAAAAAGTATTGCAGTCTTCCATTCTTAGCCGCTAAAGAAATCATCAAGAGAACGGAGAAAGTTTGTTTGACAAATACCGCGCGATAGATATCAATCACCAATATTCGAGACTATTCAGTAATTTTTATATGATGGCGCGTTGACAGTTTACTTATAGATTTTTTTGCACACTCAAGGAGTTCCCTTTTTAAGGCGCTTCAAATTCAACAGACGAGAATTGTGGTGCCATGTTGAGATCTGTCATTGTTGAAACTTGATGTTTTAGAATTGTTCGCAAAATAATACAGGAACGGTTTTTTGGCGTTAGAACAAAGCAATTGTAATTATAAGCATTCTTTCCAGAATCTTTAGCGTCCCATGCTTTCATTTGTTGTCGACATCTTCGTTTTTGTGACCGGTGGAGTATCAACAGACACTTCGCGGACGTACAGATATGACTTAATCGATTCAGAATTAGGCATACTTTATAGGATATCTGAAGTTTCCTTGTCGATGTTGCAAACATTATGGCAAAAAGAGTTAGCCACCATACTTCTTTTTATAAAACCCCACGTCGTCATTTGTATCCCAAAACTTTCAACATTTCCATTCACCGAAGCCTACCATTTTGTTATCATTACTATTATTAGTTATAGCGAGCAACTATGATCACGGAGGCCGGTGAGAATAGTTTACAATGAACTAAAATTTTCGTATTGGAGTAACTATAATGCAAATCTTCTAACCTCTCGCTTGTTTACTATAGTTCACCTCTTCTTCGCTGACAAGCCAGTGCACAAGTATAGGAAATTAATCCGTCTTAAAAACATATATCTATCAATAATCAATAAATTATTGCTGCTTACGAAATTAATGCAGAACTTATGCGAGTCTTTACAAAACTTGTAGTGCTTTGATTCACTTTGAAATAACATTTGATCAGAATATGATGAATTTGTGATTTTAATGTGAAATGAATGAAAACAAAAAAAGCTACACTTCTCTATATGAAAGTAAACAACAAACGCACAGCTTTCTATGAAAATGAATAAAAGCTACGCATTCCATAGTCCATAATAACGAATACCCGATCTGTTTATATATATGTAAAATAAAAGATATATTCAAATGCAAGGAAAAAGTTTGTTTGTTAAAGAACACTCATTATCATTACTATTATTAGTTATAGCGAGCAACTATGATCATGGAGGCCGGCCAATTAATTACTTTTGGCCTTAATATTCATTTTTCATTTTTTAATTAATAACATTAAGATAAGATAATTGAATTATTTTTAATTATTGAATTAATTTTCAAATTTGAATATGTATTTAGTTTAGTTTCAATTTTTTTTTTGTTTTGTTTTGTTGTTGTCTTGTTTTTTTGTTGTTCAAATTGTTAAATGAAAATTAAAAATGTTATGTTTTGCGCCTTAATTTTATTTTTTGCCTTAATTTTATTTTTTGTTTTTAGTTGTGTATTAATTTATGTAATTTATGTTTAAATATAAATGAAATAAATAGCTTTATTTATATAATAGCTTTATTTATACATTTAAAATATTTTATTAATATGTATAAAAATGTATATATATATATAAATAAATTGTTATTCTTTTTAATGGTCTTGATGGTTTCCTGATTGTTTCCGATTCTTCTTCCTTGAGTTGATCCCTTTTGCTCTTCTATCATCTCCTCTAGATGTATATATAGTGTTTTGGAAAATACGCGAACTAAACTTATTTAATTTTACAAGTTATCCGCCTGAGTGTCTTCAAATCTCAAGTGCGCGTAAGGTTGTCGCAGAAAGGAAATTAATATATTTACTGTTCCGATAATTAATATAAAAAATAATATTATATTTTATTATCATTTAAGATTCATGAAAATATTAAAAAAAATGTTTGTTCGGGTTACCAGCACCTAAGTAAGTAAAAGAAGCAAGACGAGCATTCAGGTAAACCACTTCTCTAAGTACTTTCAATATTTTCGACAAAATCTGGTATTCCTTTAGATATAAGGTAGTAAACAAAATATTAAATTGTAACGTAAACTGCCTTTCGATTCTACAAAGTCTGATAAAATTCGCGATTATAAAAATTCTTAATTTATCTTATTTTACAAGTTAGCTTAGAATTAAACCGTAATAATTTTTAAACAACGCCCTCGCTAAATTCCCTGTTGATAGGCAAAGCACAGAGTCGCTTATAATATATATAAATGGTTGAGTGCCCAACTAACAACTTAAATGTTAACGCCAATCAGCTATGTTAAACGCGCAACTTAACAGACCAGAAAGGTCCAACTCTGTAAAATAACATTATCTAACGGACCAAATTAACAAAAGCCGTCGGCAAAACACACGCAACTTAAAATCAATTCAATCGCATGCGACATTTTTTCATTGTTTTTTCAATGCAATTAAATTTTTCGATTAATGCATTGAGTAACATATTTATCGTTCTATCTGCTGTTTATACTATTTATAGTTTTAAAATGCTAACATTAGTTATGCGTCTCTGCTTCTCAAGCTTTTAGACAGAAGTTATTTCTTTAAAAAAGGCGTCAATAAAATCATTCAACTTCTTTCACATTGAAAAAATCTAAATTTTTTATGTTCGGAAATGCAAATATTCTATAAAGAAATATTTTAGAATTAAAAAAGTTATGTTTTAGGAATAATTTATCTTTATTTCATTTACTTATTATTCGTATATTCATTAATTTTATTTGAATGCATATTTATTTGACATATTTTATCCCATTTTCCATATCACAAATGAGTGTCAAGTATATTAAGACACCCACTCCATTGATTTGCACAAAAATCTTTTCAATGTAAATGAAATACTTTACTAAATAAGCTTTAAATTGCATTCTAGATACACTTTCCAGTACATCTACTATGTTACGACTTATCTTATAATTTACAAGAGTGACGGGCGATATGTGCATATTTTAGAGCTAATTTCAAACTATTTATCTTTATAATTTTACAATTAAATCCAATTTTAATAAAATATTTTAATTTTATATCCAACATAAATAATTTTATTGTAACCCATTTCTTCTTAAACATAAGCTACACCTTGATCTGATATATTTTTTTATAAAAATTTTAAGTATTATTATTCTAATAAAATATTTAATAACAACGGTATATAAACTGATTACTAATTTAAGTAAGGTACATCGTGGACTATCGATTATAGAACAGGTTCCTCTAAATAGACTAAAATACCGCCAAATTTTTTAAGTTTCAAGATTATAACTATTACTACCTTAAGCATTTATTTACATTCCAAATAATAGGGTATCTAATCCTAGTTTATTAATGAAATTTTTTAGCTTCAATAAATTCATTTTAATTTTAAATAAATTTAAAATTTCACTTAATAAATTTATAAATAAATAATTAATTTTAATTTAACTAAACTTAATATACTCTCTCACTCCTCTTTACTGTGATAAACCAGGCATAACCTTGCCTCCAGCTGTCCACAAAACAATAAGCGACCAGTTAAGGTATACTGTGTGCCTTCGGAACAGAATGCTGCCGATGTATTCGCTAAGATTATCTTTTGTACACAACGCTTTGCTTGAATATGTTTTAGAAAATTCTAGAATAGTCTAGAATGTTTTGAAATTTCTTATAGCCATTTTAACGATGACAATACCATAGTAACAATTGTCAGGAATACATTTCTGTAATTTAACATCATTCATTCATCTTTCTACCATAATTGAATGAATCTTTTTAGTTCAAAATATATAAAACTACTGGTATCAACAGAGAGAGAGAGAGAGGCATAGGATAAATAATTTTACGATGTAAATAGAAGTCAGTCGTTTTCGTTACTTTTTGCAATCTTTTTCAATACACTTTCTGGTCTCTTATTCGTTTTTAACTTCACCTATTTAGTCAACTAATTGATTGTTAGTGCTGTTATTTACTATTGAATTACATTTTAAGAGAAGAAGAGGAAGAATCATAAGCAATATAATAGATCTGGTAAGATTGTGCGAATGTGAAAAAAGAGAAAAAAAACAATGGAAATGTAAAATTATTTCATAATAAAAATTTGCAATATTTTTATTATAAAAAATTAGCAAATATCGAAAAGAACGTAAAAGTTTTTAAACCTAGTTCACAAAGTGAAAAGTTGAAGATTTTGAAAAATATAAAGGTTATAAACATCCATAAATTGAAGATATATTTCTCAAGTGAAAGAAAAATGATGACGCTGATATGGAGCGATATTGATAATGATAATGATTGATACTCTACAATTGCGACGAAAATTGCAGTCGATTAACAGCATTTATCCGAAAAAAAGTTCGAAATTTTAAGCGTCTATGGTTGGTTTGTTGTGAAAAAATTCCCAATTTAATATAACGCTTTAAAGTTTCAAGGCTGAACATCATAAACGGAGAATTCACATAATTAATAATTAAGGAGAAAAAAAACCCCTTTTCCATTGCCTCCTTTCCTTACGTCTTACACGAATTGTCAACGTTGAACCAGAAAAGCAATCTCAGCAGTTATATACTCACACAGTCATATGTTTTTATTTGTTTATATTTGTTATTGCTTTTGCGTTCTGTTGCTTTGGAATTTGTGTATTCTGATTGTTATGCATTTTTTGTTTTTCAATAGATTGTAGTAGATGCAACAACAACAAAAAAAACCAGTAACGAGGGTTTTTGATTAAAAATAAAAACGACAATCACAATAACAATAACATATTATTTTGTGTAAACGGCATCAGTCGATCAGCCATCATGGAGACATCTGACGTGTTGATGGAGGAGAAAAGACTGATGACCGAAGCTCGATATCGAACATATATGTCAAATATTGATAAGGCTTTAAAAAACTTCGAATATTCGAGTGAATGGGCTGACTTAATATCAGCATTGGGCAAATTGAGCAAGGTAGGTTTGCCTTCAAGGATATCAAAATTTACTAAATGACTCATAAATTCTTTTAATAAGTTAAAAATTCTTATCATTGTTTGTGACTCATATGCGCCAAAAAAAAAAGAAAAATTATTGAAGAATTTTGTTTACGTTGAATGTGTTAATGAGATTTTGCTTAACTTTCAGGCAATATCAAGTAATACTCAATACCAAATAATACCTAGACGTATAAAAATATCGAAACGTTTAGCCCAATGCATGCATCCCGCACTCCCTTCGGGGGTACATCTCAAGGCCCTAGAAACCTATGCGGTAATATTTAGCAAAACAGGTCCAGAGCGGTTGGCTACCGAATTATTCATTTATAGGTAAAAATTTTTAAAGCATATCGATTATGATGAGTGTTTTATGACTTGTTGATGTTTTTTAGCGCTGGTCTTTTCCCTTTATTGGGCTACGCTGCCATGAATGTACGCCCGACTCTTTTGGGCATTTATGAGACTTACTTTGTCCCGTTAGGTGAGAAACTTCGACCAGCATTAAGTGGCTTTTTGAGCGGTGTTTTGCCCGGTTATGAAAGTGGTTTGGATCATTTCGAACGCACCAGCTCTTTACTTACCCAAGTTTGTACAGCGGTTAATCCCACAAATTTCTATACCGTTTTGTGGGAATGTGTAGCCACTAACGCGTCGGTACGTTTGCCAGCCATTACTTATCTTTTAGAGCATTTTAATAAACGCTCAGGCATGCAAGATCAAAAATTTGTAATGGGTCATAATCGTGAAGTTATGATGTCTGGATTATGCGCTTGCTTAAATGATACAGTAATTCTCGTGCAACGTAATACTTTAGAATTCCTACTTTTGGGTTTTCCAATGCATACCAAGTTATTAACCGAGATCGATTTAGTTAAATTGGTCACTAATGGTTTAAATACTATATTAAGACGTGATATGTCCCTCAATCGTCGTCTTTACTCATGGATATTGGGAAGTGAAGTTGCGAAGAACTCCCCCAATGAGACTTTGCCTTCCTTGCCGTCGACTGACGCCGAAAATAATTCAACGGAAGAAGTTATAATTGAATCCTATTTTGGGAAGTATTCGCAAAGTATAGTTATAAAGGCTTTAATAAATACGTTAAAGTTTAGTTTGGAAAGTTCTCCGGTGGATTTAAAACCATATCGCATAATGGTCTCTTTGCTCGACAAAGCAGAAATAGGCAGTTCCGTATTGGATTTTGTACTGTGCGACATAATACGTACCATGTCTCTTACTAGCGGTAACGTTGAAGTTATCAAATCGGCCAATTTACTATTTGCCACTTTTGATCCAGCTTATATATGGAGTTTTATGACGAGCATGTTTGAAAAATCCTGCAAAAAGGTAAATATGTCCTCAATTCTTTTTTTAAGTACACTTTTCCAATCAATTCTCCACTAGACTATTGATCTTGAGCCAAATACCACAAAAAAGAAAAAATCATCGGCATACTCTGCAAATGTGGACCAGAAATATGAGTGTGCAGTGGGTTCTGGTGATCCTAGTTTAACAGAAATTTGCTATTTAACGGAATTTTTATTGGAAACGATATCTTTGGAAATGTACAACGAGACAACGCGGATTTACTTACCTAAAGTTTTTCTAGCCATTACGCAAATGCTCACTATACATCAGGAGAACTTAACAAACGATGAAATCGCGGCTTCTCTTAAGCTGTGCATGAAGATTGTATCGCGGGTACAACCGATGATAACGTAAGTATTGATTTCCTGTAAAGAGCGTTTTAAGGGAACTTTTTCCCTCTTGTATAGAAGTCCTATTAAGCTCATGCCACGTTCTACGCAGACGCCAAAAGCTCTAGGTGATGAAAAGATGTCTTCGACAAAATCTCATGCTTTGCATCATAGTCTAATGAACGGTGCTAATAATTTAGAGAAAAGTAAATCTGATTCAAAGTTGGATCAGTTTGCTCATCATAATAATTTGCAAACCCCATTGGCTTTGACCAAAGAAGAAGACATAGTGAGACGCTCTAATTCGAATCAACATATAGAACGCAAGAGTCCCACGAAAAAGAAGAAAGCTAAGTCATACTCTAAGTTATCTGAGTTGGATAAAGAGGTACTATGTTATATATAATAATAATACTTTTCCACTTCTCTCATACCCTATTGATTCCACAGATTTGCCCTGACACCGGCCAAGTAATAGATCATCGGCAGTCGTCTTCAGATCTAGATACACCGTCTAGTATAAAAAAATTGAAAGCCAAAAGCAAGCAACCACGTTTGCGTATGAGTCCCAAGAAATCACGACCTCAAGATTTGCGGATAGTACATAGTGAGACCAATGTAAAAATGCCCATACATTCCAAAATTGATACCAATATCACAGACACTCCAGATGGCGAATATCAGGATGACGAGCCAAAAAGTGCTCCCTTGGAATATATCTCTAAGACACACGTAGAAGGTTTAATATTTCAATATCAGGACGTTAGTGAGCAAGGGAAACTTGAAAGTATTGCTAATTCCACTAGCAATGTGGTAGATTCCACTGGGTTTTCCATTTTAGAGAAATGCATACGTCAATACGAAATATTCTTTGAAGTCTATCTCAGTTACAAAGTATTGCAGATAAGACCGCTTAACAACGACACTTGCGGTAGAAAAAATTCGGCGAAGTTACAAAAGAATAGGCAAGAAACCGTCGATGAGATGACAAAAATTCCTAACGTTGAGAATATTTTTAAGAACGAAGAGGTTTATGAGGACACAAATCCACATCGTTTGTTTGATGTTGATAATCTCTTTGAAACCCTTCGGGTTTTAGTCGTAAATCGTTCACGACAGTTGCATTCGCTGTTAAATCGTTCTTTGAGAATTGATTCAATGAACGGTCTTTATAGCGAAGGCACCGATGGCAGTGATAACAACGAAACGGATGATAACTACATGGAACTGGATGAGGATACAAAAACGCGTCTACAGTCTTTACTAGAATTGCATTTAAGCCAATCCTTAAGGAATGCTATAAAATTAGCTGTAAATTTATTAGTAGAAATGTCAACATTTCCAAACTGCAATAAAAATATAACATTGGATAAAGTGGGTAAGTGAAGTGCGAACTAAAATCTTTGAACTGGATTTTTCAATAAAAAGTATTGTAGAAAAGGATGTGCCCAGTTGGTTAAAGGTTTTATGCCTGATGGCTTGCTATACTGCGAATGATAAAGAATTGCAATTAGCGTCTATTACTACATTTTTCGATTTGATAAGGTTTGGAAGATTTCTTACAGCTACCTTTAAAAGCGTTAATATTATGGTTTCTTTACACAGTTTACTTAAATCTCAAATAGAACATACCACCAGTCCTGGAGTAACTTTTGTGGTTATGTTACCGCTCTTAAAATTCGGTCATGTCCATTATATTGAACGGCATACAAGAGTGTTTCAGTTACTTACATCTACGCTTTGGAATTATTTAGGAGAGCCGAATATAGATGCTTCTCAAATCTGCGCTTTGCTTTACCAGTTGCATAATTGTCTGGAGAGCGGGCTAGTCGAACGTATCATTGACAATCGTATGTTTGCGAAGGCAATGCATCAACATTTTTCGGCTGCCTATGATGCGATGGACTATCAAAATCCTAATAATCGTCAACGTATCCATAAAAATTCACATGCGACTGCTTTGGATTTTTATAGTCGTGATCGCGCTTCTGATTTACAAATGATGTGCATCTCGCCTTCTTACCTTATGCATAGGACGACCATAGAGCGTTTGAATGAAAGTGAATCGTTAAGCTTTCGAAAGTATGAATTGCTATGGCATCTAGGTCGAGATAAACAACAAACACGTGATTTTGAAAAAATACAATTCAAAGTTTTAGACACATTAGCTTTTCCGCCCTATATGTCGGTGCGCACTTGTGTAACAAAATGGCTACAGGCAGCCTTGTTGCGAGGGGATTTGTCGCGGCTGATTAAACCTTTATACAAAATTCTATTAAATCAGAATACTAAACGGATAGGTATCGTGCACGTGCACATTATGCAGAAGGGATTACATGCGAGGAATAACGATCGAGAAGACGAGGAGAAGGATTTGAAACGTGACTCTTCAACAGCCGACATAGAGACTTCCCTAGAACAAGATGTCTATGCCATTAGCTCAGAATTCGGTAACATACGTTATCATACCGATTCGACCGTTCATAGTAAAAAACGTAGCCCCATGCGATCGTTTCATAAGAAAATTTTTGGTGTAACCTTAAGCAGTAAAAATAAAACTTCAAACTTTGTAAGCGATCAAGCGCCTGCCAGTACTACGACTTCACAAATGGGAATAGAAGCCGTCGTGAACACTGCCAGCACCGCAACTATAGGTTTAATCGTTAATCCTTTGGAAAATTCTCTCGATTTTGATGACGATGTCGATTTGAAAGAAAAGTCCGAAAGCAAATGTTCAGTAAAGCAGGAGGACGATAATATAGAATTAACCGAACGAAACCCTTACGAGGGGGACCAACAAGAAATAGAAGATGTGGAAATGGAAGATGAAGAGGAGGCAGTCGAGCTAGATCCAGAGGAAGAACGAGTTTTCGATCAAGACTTTACCGATGATTCGGATAGTAGTATATTCGATTCTGAATCCGAAAATCGTGAAACTAGTGCTGAAAAAGATGATTCTACCGCTCTCAACTCTCTTCTTGATAGCAGTATTAACAGTGGCTGTGGGACTTTGAATATGAAACGTTACGTTGGGCACTGTGAAAGCGTCACTGAATTGTTATCTCAACATGAACGCACAAAGAATCGTAAAACTTATCATTTGACACGTGAGAAAACGCCTGGAGAATCAAGTGTGGCTTCCAACAATACCGAAATATTGGAAATAGAGGATGATGATGAGGAATCAGCTGCGCATGTTGCTGACGAATACTTCGATACAAAAAGTGAGGAGCATCAAGTGGAATCGTTTGTTCATGATTTGATAGATCAGATATCGGAGACTTCTTCTGTCGCCATCACTGCCGGCTCGGCTAAATCAAAAGATCGCACTCCGAAGATACGAAAGAAAGTTCAGAAACCAAAAAAATCGAAAACTAAAAAATCTCCCTCCAGAACTGGGATTGATAAAAACGATAAAAAACGAATAAGTTGTATATCGAAGATATCCACCGATAGCAATAATAGCATAACAACAATAGGTGGAGAAAATGCAAACAACAAAGAAACTCAGGATGAATTCAATGACCAAGGGGAAAATAATATTGGTAATCAAGCAAGTACCTCCTCCGTTGCCGTCAGTTGGAAAACAATAAATATAGAGGAAAAAAGGCGTAGTTTGAACTTGGAAACTTCAAATGCGCAGGCAACAGGTGGTAAAACAAAGTCGGCGGAATGGGAAATCACGCAGGAAACCATTGAGAAAAGTAAGCAGAATTTGGAAATTTTGCGTCAAACTGCCTCCACATCAAAACTAATGGATATAAATAGTAAGCGATCGTCAACAAAAAGTTGCACGTCTAATGATAGTTCGCAGCGTTTAGCCGCCGAAAAATCGATACCGCTATACCAAAGTCATATGCTTGTTTATCTAAACGTATATGATACCAAACAGACCTTATATGCTTTTCACACGTTACGCAACATTATAGCCTGTGATACGAGAACATTTCTTTGTTTGTCCATAACAACTTCCTTGTCAAGCGGCTCTTTAAAGCAATTGCTTACCCGCCATCGTAAAAGTATAGCCGGCAAGGGTTTTACGGGTAGCATTACCTCGTCAGAATTTGCTCAAAGCTATCGTGGCTGCATGCATTTGGAGGTTTTGTTATTGGTCTGTCTATTTTATGCACGCGGCTTCTTTCATATGGATTCTCAGGACACAGCAGGCGAGCCCCCTAATCGAGCCGATGTTTTGGGTAATTGCCGCGTGCAATTGGAAAGTGTGGAACTGTTGACCTTGATTTGCAGCGAACTAATCGAAATCGTAAAAGGCATGGGTAAAGGTTTGGCTTGTTATTTAGCAGATCTGATGGCGCGTTGTAAGCTACAAAAAGTTATTTTGCATTGCTTAAATTCTTCAGTTAACATCTATGACCATAGCTATCGAGGGTCAACAATAGCTGAGCAAATTATCAATTTTAACAATCCTCGAGACGATAATTTGCATGCTGACGCTTTGCAACTTCAATTATTACGTCTGTTAATGGTCGTAATTAAGTTGGAATACGAAGTGGTTTTGCTAAAGAATGAATTGCCAGCGAGTAATATTAATGAGAAAGATGAGGGTGGTAATGTCTCTCCAACACGTCTCAATGGCAACGATTTGCCCTCAACTACAGTCAAGTATTTGCCGAATTGCGTTATCAGTCAGCAGCCAATGTTCTTGTCGGCCATTTTAAGTGCCTTACAAGATGACCGCCTGCAGTCATTGCACCATAACTGGACGGAATTAGTCACTTCCTCTTTGAATTGTTTCAATTTTGGTTCCTTAACAAATATTGTGATCAGTGTTGTTCATCAATTATGCAATAACATCGATTATCTGACCAAAATGAAACTGAACGAACAGGTGGGTCTACCTCCCGACTATGTAATCTCACAACTGGAGGCGATTACCATCTTGTGCCACTATTGTCTTTTGGATAACACGCAACAAACAACGTTATCGCAACTCTTCAATCAGGCTTATCCACAGACCAGCTCCATAGCTTCACAGCACTCTAATACGGGGCAATTGTTTAATAGTATTGTTCATTCGCTTTTGCCGGGTGTGCCGAGTGCATCGGCAGGTATAACTAATCAAACAGATAGCCAAGCACCGAAAAATCCCCAATTGATGGCGGCTCGCAATGCTGTCCTATCACATTTACCACGTATTGTTTCTAGTGTAGCGGCCGTTTGGGATAGCGAACTAGGGACAATTAGACAAGTGAAACAACAACTTATGGAGTTCCTTTCTCCCATCTCGCTACATCACGGTACCAATTTTTTGGCTGCAATTGCCGTAACTTGGCAAGAACGGGGAGAACAGCATCGAAAAAAATTTGCCAACGAATTTCGTAACCTAAGTATTGCTCAACAGTATCAGAAAAATTCAATACCGCAAGCTTGCCCCGAACAATTGAGCTTAGTCACTTTGGTGTCTAGTATACGCGTCATGCCAATGGACTCTTTTGTGCAAACTCTCCATCAGGTGGTACGATCTCCTCCTCCTATACACCGGCCACCTGCGCATCTTAAAATTGAGGTCAGCGCTTTGGAACTGTTTTATTTTTATATGAAATCTGCTCCTGCACCTCAGCTTGGTGACTCCTGGTCGTCTTTACTTATATTGTTAAGAGACGGTCTTGCCTTGACACCACCGGCTCAATTTACTTTGCTAATGCTGCTTAGCGAATTTGTACAACGTTGCCCCCAAATGCCGTTCCAAGATAAAAAGGATATACGTGACCTGCACGATGTAACCTCCCGTTTAGTAGATTCGCTGTCTAACGTGGCTGGATCCTGTTTAGAGCAAACCACATGGTTGCGGAGAAATTTAGCCGTGAAAGAAGACATCTCAGCGGATTCAACAACAACTGGTACCAATAGCGGCGGTGCTATTTTACAACAATATTCTGTGCAAGCTCAAAGTGTTTTAGCAGCCAATCTAGCTAATCTACTAGATGTGGCCTATGGTTCTCAGGAGAAAGACAAAGTTGTCAACATTATAACCACCCTGTTGTATAATATCACACCATATTTAAAAAATCATACCACGCGTAACGTGCCCTCATTTTATGCCTGCTCTAGTTTATTGGCTTCATTGAGCGGTTATCAATATACACGCAAAGCTTGGCGTAAGGATATGATGGATTTGCTGCTCGATAATGCTTTCTTCCAAATGGACATTTCCTGTCTGCCATTTTGGAAACAAATCATGGATAGTCTAATGACATACGATAACACTACTTTCCGCGAGCTCATGAGTCGTGTATCATTGACACAGACAGGCAGTCTGAACATATTCACATCGCGTGAGCAGGAGTATGAGCAGCGTTCGATGCTATTGAAACGTTTGGCTTTTGTTATATTTTGCAGTGAATTTGATCAGTATCATAAATATATGCCTGAAATACAAGGTGAGCTGTTGAGATGTATAAATACAATATATGAATAAGAGCAGCACGATTTCTTTTCAGAACAACTGGCTAACAGTTTGCGGTTATCAGCGATGGTGCCTTGCGTACAAGCAGCCGTCTTTCTGTGCTTTCGTGTGCTATTGTTACGTATGTCACCCGATCACATTACATCTTTATGGCCCATCATTATAGCCGAAATGGTGCAAGTATTCTTGTCCATGGAGCAAGAACTGAAAAGCGAAGGGGAGGATTTAAGGTGAGAATAAATATGCATTCAAAGTTGTCCGCATTTTCACAGGAATTCTTCCGTTGCATTAGTCAACAGCTACGTCTCATTACTGGTCTCGATAGTTCCTGGCCTTCTTCGACTATTTCAAATGGTCTGATTTCTCAGTCACACGTGTACCATTGGCGTTCGGTTCAGCTAGAAGCCTCTAAACTATTAGAAATGGGTTGTGTTTTACCGGCCACTTTATTACCGCATTTTCAAATGTATCGATGGGCTTTTGTGGGCGCAGAATTCGACAGTTCACAAAACTTTAAAAATGGTATTGCAAATGGCAATGTAGCTGCAGAAGATGTGAACGCTGTGGTAAACTCCAATGGCTATGTGCCGCATATATGCCGTATAGCTCGCTTCATGGATATGAAGTATACAGTGCATTCACCCGTAAGTTATCGCAAAATTCAATTATAGAATTCCTTCGACAGTCAAGTATATCTTTCTCTCTTTCTAACGATAGACTTCGGCTGTTAAACGTGGTCAACATTTGATGTTAACTTGTCAACAGATTGCGACATTGCAAGATTTATATAGTTTTTTTTCTACCCTAAATGTCACATGTCCAAATCCTCATAATTATGCTGATGTCGAATATGAATTGAATCAATGTCTAACGGAAATTGAGGAGATATTATCGAGAGATTTTCTAGAAAAAATGGCCTCTAGCACAACACCTAGGTGAAAAGAAGAGCCAGTACCAATTCAACCTTTTACATTAATTCAAGTCTCAAAAGGAATATCTGGTGTGAAGTCGAACGCTTTATTATATCAACAAACAATGGAACAATGCGTCTCAAAAAGATCGAAGTCATATTCTCACTCCTCACTCAATTCCCGTTCACCAATACTTTCAAGCAAAACAATGCGCCGATCAAGTATAAACGCTATTGTAACTACCAACGTTAAAAAAATTTCAAATTGTACATTTGTTGCCCGAAAAGAGACGAATCTCCCGTTTTATCTCTAAAAAAAGTAATTTTTTCAATTACCACTAGCAACAGAAGCAAATGCGAAGAAATTGCCAATAAGTAAAATATAAAAAAAATATATATATACGTTGTCTAGGCGTAATTATACATAACATTAAATTTTAAGCTTATAATTATATATATATATTATTGTAATTTATATATATATATATATATATATATATTAAAAAATGGTCTAAAGAAAACATGAAAAGAATTCAACTATTAAGATTTTATTTGCTGTATAAAAAATAAGAACAGCAAGAACAATTATATGCATCATTGTACATCCAACCAATAAATGTGTTATTCAAAATTATTTGACAAACAATTATTTAAGGGATTCGATAAGCTGTTGTGGTGGTCTATCAAAAATGTAAAAGCAACTGTTACAAACTGCCGGTTGAAAAAAAAAAACGAACCGGTCTGGAAGCTGCTAACATACTACCTTCGCGCGCACTATTTGGTGAAAGCCAGGCTACACTGTCGCTTTTCAGTTAGGTATTAGTCCGTCGCCGGATGTGGGTTTATTCATCATTTAAGAGTCTTAGTTTCTCTCGAAGTGCGGAAACGTAACGTAACGTATTTTAAATGCTTGGAAGGCTGGCTTCCTCCTATTGGGCAGAATAAAGACTTCCGCGACAGACATTTTCACGCGTACTCCGCGAATAGGAGTCAAAACTAAAGCGAGGGTAAACATTTTTTGTTTATATTTCTTGTCATTTTATGGATGGATGTTGGTCTTCTAAAGGGATCACCTCCTGTCAAATTTGCAAACAACATAGACGGGCTTTATAAGGACAATATTAATTAAATTTCAATCAATTATGTTTTCAGTTCTTTTTATCCTTTGTGAAACTCGCTTGAAATTATATCCCACGGTAAAAATGCACATTTTATTTGTTAACAGGGCGGACAATTTTTAAAAAATTCGAAACCTTGTGGAGCAGACATCGAAAGTAGACTGCAAAAAATTTTCACGGACTCTACAATGTTGTTTATAAATTCCTTCGGTCTTGCTGGTGGAAGGAAATAAAATGGTATATACAGAAAATATATAGCCGGTTTAATCTTAATCCTACGTGGATAACATCACTCATTTATTTCACAAACCAAGTTTGTCTATTAAAAGGTCATTTCAGATCTTCTCGTTTATTTTTCAAATCTTTTTATAAATCAATCTATGTATAAAGTATCATTATGCTTACAAGTAGGGGCGATCCATAGGCGTTTTCTTCGCTTTTTTATCACGTGCTCTTGGGAACCAGCGATGCTTAGTCGTATGTGTTAATCTCATTAGTTCTTCTCGGGCTACTTCTGGTCTTTTTTCCTTAAAAGCATTCATAGCTGTTCTTAGTGATTCTTCCTTTACGATACGAGAAGTATCCTCTTCAATGAAATTTGGCAATGGTTTTGTGTACTCGTAAGGGTATGAAGGATCAGGATGCCAAGCTACTGCAGTTTTACCATTTTTTGTTATGGCAACCGCTTCGACTAAGTTCCGTCCACCAAGAGCATTTTTATCAATTACTGATTTAAGCGAAGTTGCAGAAAACTTGCGTAAAATATTAAGATGTAACATCTTTCTACAGCCGTTGTTTTTTAGTTTTTTTTTTTATACAGCTCAAGAAAACATATGCTTTAACAGCCCTGTGTTTTTTTGACCAACGTTTGACTAAATGAAATTATTTGCTTAGTATCGCAAATATAATTGAAATTTGACAGCATTTGTTGAAATAGAAAATCTTTCCAGTGAAAATTTGACATTTTTTGAATGTTTATGAAAATATCTGATAAACATTTTTTGTAGAGATTAACTACGCGAAAAAGTTATATAAGTGTGTAGTAAGACCGAGATCGTTTCTTAAGGTAAGTAATTTATTGTTTTCTGCCTGCAACTCACATAGGGATGAGAATTTTTATAAGTCGTTGTTTTCTCTTTTAAAAATTTGTTCAATTATAAACGATGCAAGGATCAGATTGGCATTCAAACGAATTTTGCCTTAAAAAAGGATGCACAAGTGGTTGAGTATTCACTCATAAATGGATATTTTATTTACTTATTTATAATGCTTATCGAAATGAAATTATTCGAAATATTTATTGGAATTTATATGCGATTAAAGACGAATTCTTAAGCGATAAAAGTAAGAACATAAAAACAACTACGAACAAAACTTGTACGAATTTAATTTGAGTTCTACTGTTTACTTCTATTTAAATTTAACAATTTATAGAACATTTTTCTTTTCTTCCAATGCCATTGAAGGAGTGCGAAGTCATTATAGTGCTTGTTGTTTTCTTCGAAAAAATTATACAGAACGTTGTCTTTGTCGTGCATGACGCCATTAAAATTATACTTTTAAATTTCGAATTGCTGCAGAATAAACCTAAAATAAAGTTAACAAAAGAAACAGAAGGAAAGAGAAGTATGTACATTAAATTTTTTTCATTTTTTTTATTAAGATGGAATTTACATCCAATCTAAACCAAGTTTTCGAAACTTTTAGTTTAATATAATTACCATTTCCGAGAATTTGCGCTAATTTATCTTTGACGTTCATATCGTACAGTGGAAGCTAGATATACAGCCAATATAATGCCTAGTATTTGCAGGAAGGCAATGCAAACGCCTACTATCATTAATGTCATCACATTACCACTTATATGCATCTCTAATTTATTTAAACAGCCATCCTGCAGGACCAGTGGAAATTTATAAGAAATATATCAATTTGACATATATTATTATACCTGGAAATATTTGTCTTTACCCAAAGCTAGTGAGTCGAAACAGTGTCCTACTTTTTCATCAATGTATGGAGGACGACAGCAACTGGCTGGTAAAGTCTTATTTAAGCTTAGTCTACGCCAATCGGAGGGGTTATCAATTCCACAACACATCATTTCACTTTGTATATGATTCCAAGCATCAAGATCGGTTTTATCGGATTGTCTCATTGAGTCTTCTAAGGCGCTTCGCAATCGATTATTCATATCAGCTCTATAGAAGCAAGCGGCTATTCCAGCAGCCAATTCCATAACGAATACTATACCCAATAGCAAAGCAAACTGTAAACCAAACAATGTTACATTCAATTAGTAGTTTTCAATTGAGAGTAGGATTGCAATCTTGAATGCCAGCAGTGGTGTTTATAAACCTAAGATTTTAACGCTCTGTGAATTGCTATAGGCACTGGGTTGACGTCGTAATCAGCATAATTTTCTCTGTGATATTTTTAATCCATCTTTCATTTAAAATCGCTATACGTTGTGGCATCACTTCGATCAGGTTGATTCCGTTTCGCAGACTTTCGAAAATAATCTTAGGTCTAGTGTGAGGGTGCTTTATCAAAATTAGCAGCTCTCAAATGGTTTATTAGTTTCCACTCCGAAAATTTTGACATTATAGAGGCATTGTGTTCCGGTCTATCACTTAACGATGAAATTCTTAAAAAAAATCAAAGAAGACCGAACTGTACATTTCATCTTAGGATATAGTTGAGAAACAATGTATTGATTAAAAGACAGGTTTGATATGTTTTCATAAGGCTGGATGCAAGAAGAGCTTCGATGTTTGGGAATCGCAAAAAAAGATATTTCGTTGACTGAATTTTTATCTACCGCATGAAATTGAACGAAATTGACCTATTATTGAAGAAACTAATAACAGGCGAAGAAAGTTGCTATACTTTCCATATTTGTGTCCAAGATGGATGAACAGTTGCAAATCAAAGGCCGAATTGATACTGGGTAAAATGCTGTTTCGTGTTTGGTGAGATTTCGAGGGAATTGTTTATCGTTAACTGCTCCAACGAGGCGATTAATAACGCTCTCTGCTGTCAACAACTAACACAGTTAAATATCTGGAATTCAGCAATAGCAATAAAGCCATGGTTCTCCCCCGTCGACAATGTCAGGCGGGACATTTTTGATGAGTTTGCAAAAATTGGGCTAGCCTGCCTGGAAAGTCATAACATGTAGCTGCCTTACAAGCCGGGCAGTGCCACGTCTTTCTCCCATTTCCTTCCGTCCCCAAGAATGTATTGATTTATGGGATTTTAAAGAAGAATTTTTTTTTTTATATTTCCGGTTACCCATTATGTCGTTACATTATTATTAGATATCGTGAAGTTTAAAACTATTATTCCCGCTGCGAGCAGAGCGCAAAAGAAAAAAATAAAAAAGTTACTTACCGTTAACAAAAGTTTCGGTGATTCTCGTATAACACCAATGCAACCAATCGAGGCTATAACAAATATTAATAAACCGGTTACAATTAAAACAATAGGGGGTCCGGTAGCATTTTGGTCCAGAAAATAATTAAAGTCATTCATTTGAGATAAGACCACAGAACCAGTAATCAATATAGCGAGACCGGAAATCTGCAAAAGGCGAAGTGAAAGATCAAATCATCATCAAATAACTGAGGTAAACTTTTCTACCTCAATTTTTTTTTTATAAAATTATTCTTGGGTATGTCGCATATTAATGTATGTATGTTGTTTGCTTGGTTAGGTACTAGCGTGCTTAATGAATATTTCTACCCTAATCAATTCCTTTAATCACGTAAAAATGAACAAAGATATGTAAAGTTATTTCCTTGAAGTGACTGCGTGCGCCTAATGAATTTAACTTAAGGTAATTTCAAATGAAGTCATTGTTTGCTTGATTCACATTCTTAAGCATTTATGCATTAGTCAAGTTTTGTGCGAAGGAGTTTAATTTGTATTATTTGTCCTTAACAATGATGTTATCAAGAAACATATAAATAGGTGACCAATCATAAAAATTTATTATCATAATATTTGTAATAAAATGTCCGCACAGTTATTGCGTTTTATAAGAAGTTGCTCTTGGATGAGCTTCTTTTAAAAAAAGTTCTTGCAAATATCTCAAACTCAGTTTTCATAAATATTCGCTAACAACTCAAGGGCAATCTCTTGCCGTATGGTGCACAAAGAGAAACATGTGCAATTTAAACAGATAAAAATATCATAGGCGATAACGCTATACCATCAAATACCCTGCACCATGCCGCTTAATACATTTATTCATATAATGACAAAATAAAGAATTGTACCGAAAAATGATGGAAAAGTGGTGCGGTCTGAACTACATGTAACGTGATGGATGCGTTCTCAAAAACTTCGTGTAAAAAAAGATATTGGCTAAATGGAAAAAATGGTTGAGCGCTTGCAGACCTAAAACCGCAACCGAAAAGTACAATGAAGAATATTAAAAAATGCTTGTTCGCGTTCACTTACGAATTCATTTTGTGCTTACACTTTTTAATTCATTAAATACATTGTAAAAAATAAATTATATTTTGCAAAAATTAAACTGAATTGCGTTAAACGTACATAACATTTTTACTCTACGCATAATTCGGGCAATCCCACGCAATCGACAAAAGCTAAGTGAATTGTGAAAAATATAAGTTGGGGTTGCGATGCTTATTTGTGGGGTATGAGTATCGAAAGATTTGTAGAAATATCGAAGGGAAAAAAAAATTCATTAAAAAAGTTCATAGAAAAATTCATTGAACATTGAAAATAATTCGTGTAGAAAGAGAATTTTTCCTTTTTTAACACGTGTTTTATCAAATTTCGTGTAAAAAGAGAATTGGGTGTATTTTCAAAAGCATTTATTCTTGGGCCGAAGCATATCGGTTTACCAAATTTTATCAAACTCTCTCAACTTTTTGCGACCAGTTTAGATCTATGCAGGAAATGATTCCGAATCAATCGGTATAATAGAATATGCATCCATTTCAAATCTTTCTGGATGTTGTCTCCATTCGCACGATCGCGCGATAACATCCTTGCACCACAAATAGGGTATGAAAATAGTGAATGCAAGCTCAACGAAATCAGTAAATTTGAGATCAGCATTACTAGAGATCGTGATTATCGTGAATGTCGATGTAGTTGTGTAAGCATGACAATTATAATTTCGAAACTTTATCGAAGTAAATAAATCTAAAATTCTTTGTATTTTATTTCCTTAATTGCAGCTAAGAAGTTAAGTCACAATCACACAATTACACAATTCTAAGACAATAAAATCTCTCTGCGTTATTATCTTTGTCTTAATCGTGGCGCGATCATTTAGCATACCCCTAAAGGCAAGACAATCCATTCGTGTACTTTTCAGTGGTGTACGCCTTTTTCTGCTGTTTGTTGCTTCTTAAGCTTGACTTAGGCCGACTTTGCAACCCCTTACGTTTGCATTTCGCATGGAATATGACATGTCAGAATCGGACCAACTGTTAAATCGAACATACAGATTTTATTAACCAATATCTGGATAACACTTTTTTATCTGAACGGAAGTTATAGGTGAAATTAAGATATTTTTCTTACTGTAGACGCGTGTGCAGGCAGATCACAACTATTTTTGAACACAGTGTGTTCAGTTTGTGCCAAGTTTTGGCTTTCTCTCTTCATTTTTGCGTCTCTGTTGATCCCACAAAAGCCGAGAAAATTAACTCATTCTCGTAGGAATAGATGCAAGGGATGAAACCTGGTTGGTTGTTCTACTGATATGATACGATGTGTGGCATGTGCTTTCGAAAGCATCGGAAAAGTCGATATAAAAGTGCACACTACCCGTATATAAAGAAATTTTTAGAATTATTTATTATGCACAGAAGGATGAAAGGTCCGCTCACAATGTGAACGTGGCATCTCTGATATATTCTCGAGCAGCATCAAATTCTGAATCGATTTAGGCGTGTCCCTCTATCTGTCTGTGAAATAACTGTGGTAAGCATTTCAAGTTTGGCACAAAGCTTGAAAGTTCGTTTATTTGTCTCTCATCCATCCGTCTGCTCAACTGTGGTAAAATTTCTCCCGTTAGTGAGAATGAAGATATCGCCTACAAACTTTTAAACTTTTCGAAGAACACGCCCACAACGTTCGGTCGCCTATACGACAAAAACTTTTAATTTGAAAAGAGAAAATAACAGCCGCGCCCAACCAGTTCTTTTCTCTTTTTTTAGAATCACGATGACGGGCACAAAAGATTCAATAGTTGCCGAATATAATTTTCTTACTTATTTAGACTAAACAAATAAATTTTAAGGCGAAAGTAGGATAAAGATTAGGAGCTTACAAGGATTAAAAAATTGAAAATTCCTTGAATATTGAAAATTGGAAAATATTCTCATTAAAAATTTATTACGCTTTCAGCGGATAATACTGATCGGCATAGCTTACTGCTGTGCTTATAGTTAGGGAGAGATTAGATATTAGAATAGCCGGATATCCTGTTGGAGTTGTTGTTTTTTTCATTTTTATATCTCACACGACTTTTGATTCAAGGATGTATTAAGCTTGGGCGGACGTGTGCAACACTCAGGAAAACCTGAAATATATCCACCATTTATTATACCGACCGATTCAGAATCACCTTGTGAATAGATCGAAGCTTGTCCGTCTGTTCGTTTTGTTTTTTGTGTATTGCAATTTTTTCGAAATTTTGACGAAATCTGGTACACTGACTTATCTCGGCCCTAGCATGAACGCTACTGAAAATGGTTCGGATTGGACGACTTAACGGATTGTGTCCCATATGAAGCCTTATTTCGAAACATAGTTTTATGAATGCCTGTAGGATAGTGTAGGGCATTTAATGATGCATTATGGTGCATCCTACAATTATTTACTTACCGCAAAAAGTACATTAAAAACGAATAACACGAACTTAACCAACGCCGTACTACAAGACTGCATTTTATATTTTATTTCGATTTTAAATTTTCTTTATAAAAAACGTGATTATTTTCGCGTTTAGGCTACTGATTCGTTTATGATTTTTATTTTATCTTTTTTACAACAAACCAAAACACAAAATGGATGTCCGCGCTAAAGGGCGGTTGTCTTAGAACTGACCAAATTCATGCACTGTTATTAACGACGAAAATTGTAATGTTTTGGTCAAAATGGTAACCAACAAAAATTGTTGGGCGTTTAGGCGAAGCGAATAAATGAATGAGTAAAAAAAATCTGGCTCTTTACTCATTCCATCCTCATTATGACGTTTCATTAGTTTCTTTGTTCAATTGAGCTCCTTCGAGCTGTAAGATTCCCTCCCGTCTTTTATTTTAACCTAATTTTGTAGGAAAATCGTTGATATTCTTGTCGAAACTGTTGAATGCCTTTCAAACTAAAAAATTAGGTTACAATTAGCAAAAACTTGGTAAAAGACGATGAATATGTTAAAGTGGCTTTGCTTGAAAATTCTTTATATCGTTTAACGAGGTGACCTAATATAAGGACAACTAGAAATTGTTAGTATAAAATAATTACATTTTCTTTCACATTTCACTTTCACTTCCTGGACATAATTTCTTGCTTGCGAATAAACGAAGTAGAGCCGTAGGAAAATCAGGGCAGTTTGAGAGAAAGTTGCTGGTAGTGGAAAAGGAGTGAAGGACTTTATACAGGAATTAATTTATTTCTTAGGGTATCGCTCTCCAGCTCAATGGAGGTTTGGTAAATAATTTCACTTTTGTTTTGTTTTGCTGTATATTGAGCGTTATACAGTTATACAGTTGGCGGTTAGTAAAATTGCATGCTAACGTTTTATTAAAGTCGATGACCTATATGTGATAGGTAGTTGAGGGCGAAAAATAAATAATTGTAAAAAGGGTTAACAAACTTTGCATCATACAGGTTTTTTCCATTTTTCAATTTTTTTAAATTATTATATAAAAAATTTATACAAATTTGTATATGCACTAACTATAGTAAAAACGTATCACGACTCATGCATTTCGACACACTTATAAGTAAGTGTAAGTAAGAGAAGCAAGAGAATAATAAATAATAGAAAATTCAAATAAGAAAAGTTTTAAGTAATAATTTTGTGTTTGGCTTTGTAAACTTTGATAGATGCAGCTCTCAAGAGATTTCTTCTACTTGTTACACCTATAAATAAGTGTGGTTGACCGATGTCACATCTACGATTTGGTATGAGGTATCTAATTAGCACACGGATTACATATCTTTATAGATATTGACTCAAATTAGTTGCTGTACCCAACACCCACGGACGGGGTGTGCATTCATTTTGTCAAAATGCTTGTATCGCCCAGAAGATGGTTTCCGCGGAGCCCGCAAAGTATATACATTCTTCAAATTCTGAATCTATTTAAGCATTTCCGTCTGTCCGTCTGTATAATGACTGTTGTTAACCTTCTCTTGGCCGCAAAAATTAAGCTATTGACTTCAAATTTGGCAGAAACATTGGATGTTCTTGCACGCAGACCGCTATTGAACAAAGTCCAAATCGTTCGAAGGACGCGTCCACACTGCTACTACACGCTGGAACACCTCTGCTTTTTAAGAGAAATAAAAAATAATTTTTTGGTCATTAGTCATAAACTACTACAGCAGATCAATTTACAAAAACTTGAGCGAGCGTACTGTGGGCGATGCTGTATGGAAGAAATTGATCACGCCTACCCAATATTACAGCGTATCAATATTTATTTATTTTTTTCAGTATCTTCAAAGCAAGCTTCAAAAACCCCCTAAAGTATGTAAGTTCTTGCCAAGTTTCAAATTTGGAATGCACATAAACATGTGTAATATCTGTGGTAGATACTTCTCCATTCGCAAAAACGAGGATATCGCAAAAGAATTTAAAAATAACCCAAATTTTTCAAAGAACACACGCCTACACGCCTACGTGACAGAAACAGTGAATATCTTTGTTTTCTGTGGTTTTTGCGTGTTGTTCATGGAGTATAACACGTATCCCATACAGTTTCTCTTTTTATTAAAGAGTTTATTATGTCTTACCTATTGACCTTGGATGTTAAACGCCTTTTCTGGACTACCTGTCTAAGCACTATAGTGGACCATAAACCTACGTTAAGCATCCGCCACCATCCTACAGTTATTCATATAACTGCTTCGCAAAACGTGGCGTTCATCCTTGGACGGAAACAAGTTCGTGAGCCAACTTTTATCAAAATATCTTGAAAATTGAGGGTTGTACGTGGAACACAAGAGTAAAAGACGGACAGACAAGCTTATCGCTTTTTGGATCGATCGATTGAATAAAATAGAAGGTCTCTCCCAAGTCCATTTAGGTGTTCCGTACATCCGCACAAACTTAATATATCTTTGTACACCATCTGGTGTAGGGTGTTAAAAAACAAATGGAATGTGTTGACCTATAAAGGTCATTCGACTTTTGGCAAGAACGCTTACTTGGCTAGGGGATTCAATAATAGTCACATTCTATTTCAAATTGTGCACGAGCTACTTTGCACCAAACTTTGTCGAGACCTAAGAAACGCACCTAGTTTTACATATAACAACTTTTCAAAATAAGGCATGAATATGCTCGCCCTTGTGCCAAAATGTGTAAGTGTACTACATATGGACATGGACAGAGAGACGGACGCTCTGAATGGTTATAATAAAGATTGTTTTGAATGTCGCATACATATGCACAAATCTACATACTCTTATCACAAATATTTTACGGTATTAATAGATTTGTCACGCCTACAATATGTTTGCAAATTTTTATATGCCGACTTCAACTGTCGTTTAATTACACATTAATTACTCACTGTTTAAATTTTATTACTTCTATCTTACAAAATTTTAATACGATTCTATAAATTGTTTTTTTGTTTCTTTTTTCTTACAAACAAAACAAAATTTCAAAAAATAAAATTTTAAATCTTCAATAACACGATCCCCAAAACGCCCAGTAAAACTGTTAAACTTAAATTGATTATAGCAGAGCTACCAGCCATGCATGGCCACTCAGCATCCACGTCGCTGTAAAAGAAGAATTTTTTTCAAAACATATCAAAACAATCAGCACACGCTACGCATAAGCAAAAAGGTTAAGAACGCATTTTAATAGAAACTGTAATAAGGATAGACGGTGTGATGGTATGCAGTATATGGTGATGAATAGTGATAACCGGTAGTTAAAAGTGGTATAACAACATGATCGTGAGGTTGCTCGTTAGGCACATAAAATGTAGGTTGGGTATTTTTAGATGGCGGACAAGATGTCGAGGATGCTAATGATGATAGGGCATGAATACTGCAAATAGAACAATAAAGTTAAAATTTAACGGTTAGCACGAATAAAGACAAATATAATCGAAGTCGCCAATGATTTTTCATTTTTTAAAATACTGGGCTTGCAGCACAGATTGCGTGATAAAAGCATAAATTTGCTTAAAAAGCTGTCTTAAATCTTCTTCACAAATAAAACTTAGCCATATATTAGGTCTATCGGAAAGTTCTGTTCATTCTTAGAACCATAGTTTTCGAATATGTTCAACTGTCGTCGAGCAAAGAACGATACAGAGGGTTGGCTGCAGCCTAGTGGGTAAGTGTTATGCCTTTGAACACACACCATGGCCACGAACAAAGTACACTCTGCCGCGTTGAGATTGTTAGCCGCGCTTCTCGACGACTATTGCGGACCACAAATGTGTCATGCGCTTGTCACACGATCGCGCCTCACCTAATATGTACTAATATGAACAACACTAACTAGTTAGTTAGTTAGTTAACCAAGTGATACGAATATGAATCATCTTCGTTTTAGGTCATTTGCTAAGCGAGTGTGCGTATGTATTCGGCGATAAGAAGCGAGAGCTAAATATGCGTCAAATGATGATTGCCCGCATACGTGTTGAAACGTGTTGTCAAGTGGACAGAGTGGACAGAACTTTCCGGTAGGTCTATTATTTATTATCGATATTTAATTACAATTTGAAAAGAATTATTATTGTTTACTTTAAAAATCAAAAAACACGAAAAGACAAGACATGAAAAGCACACAAAAATAAATAAACATAAAATTAATGTTAAAAAAACAAAATAATTATAAAACACATATTGGTTGTTAACACTAAGACCAAATTTTGTTGACATTACTCCGGGCAGACACCGTGTGTTCTCAAATATCAGATAATTCAGTAAAGTGTACTTACATACATATATTCATAATAATTTGGCTTACATTATACTTAGGTGTATCAGATATTTTCAAAAAATTTCTCCAAATTTATCCAAAAATATAAAAATTCAAATATTGTCTTCTTCTTCTGTGTGCTCTACAGTGTTGAACAAAAAATTAGTTCGAGTACCATTTTTCGAGTATTTTTTAAAAGCCAATATCATATTAAAATTATTAAGAAGAAGAAGAAAAACATTATCACATTTCTCTGATATTATTCTCGTAACCACAAATGTTGCATAACTGAGTTTGTTTAACTGAGTTTGCTTGTCAGTAAGCAGTCTGGGTGACTTAAACATTACGATAGGCAAAGGTCTTTGTGACACATAAGCCATGAAACTGACGTTCCATAAAAGGCAAACGAAATTATCGCACTTTGCCAGTTGGTTTCACTGGATTCAATTAACCATAAGATACCCTTTGGTTAGAAGTGCTAAAAGGTACCATCAATCAAACTGGTGCCAACTCAGACGAACCATTTCAATAATTATTTCCTTTCTATGGGACGTGGTTTTCTGCCTGCTATGAATTACGATTTTTGTATAGGATGTCACACAGTTTACGCAAGATTTGAATAATTGTAATTTCCTTATTGAATCATAATATGCATATAGGAAAGGATTATGTGCGGTATAGCATATCGGGCAAATGGCCGAAACGGCTTTGCTGTCATATATGCAAAGAATCCGAGAATATTTCATGCCCTAATGGAATGGAATTGTTTCGGGGAATATCTTATGGAATCCTCTTGTTAAAACCACCTGTCCTTCATATCCCTCCAATCATAGCCCAATATCGAGCATCGTCAACCGTCATTATTTTTCATTATTTTTCAAATATTGTTCAATAATGAGAACGCGTTGCTCTCTTCATTTCCACTAACTCCAAACTGCCCGCAATCAAACTCTGCGAACACTTTATCGCCCAAATGGTGGCAAATGCGAATCTGGCGCAAGACTTTGGGACATCCTTTATATCAAAATTCGTACATAACATCTAATTAATACTTGAATGCACATAAAATTAGTTTTCATCTACCTTCGGGTCACAGCGTCAAGATATTCATTTATTAATTCTTATTAAGCGGCCATGTTTTTTTTTTTTTTTTGTCCTTATTAAGCTAAACTGAACACGTTCAAGAGTTAGTGTATAATGTTCTCTGATTTAAGTTAAGAATCGAGTATATTTGGTTTCTTGTTTTTTTTTCTAATTTTTGAAAATATCTGGTAACACCTTTACTCGCTTTCGCTTAATTTTTCTTTTATTTTGTTTTGTGGTTAATTATTAAGTAGCGGTTGTTTTTTTTTTTCTAAGCCATACATATCTCGATATTTACTTTATACCGATGACACCGCAAGTCACACGTCCTCCCGAATTACCCGTCTTTTTCGATTCGGGATGAGTCGTTTTGCCCAAATCATCGACCATCTCGTGCAGGACCAAACCGCGACCGATAACTGTACGTGGACCAGTTAAACTGATCAGGTGATCGGTAAAAGTGGTGTCGACAACACCGTTCTCATTGGCCTCTAAATTGCCCAAATCACCGACATGTCGTATCTCATCAGTGCGGCCGCCATGCGTCAGCTTTTATGAAAATTTAAAAATATTTGAACAAACATATTATTTTTATTATTATTTCTATTTTTATCTTTATTTACCTTTTCCGGATTATAATGAGCGCCCAAACTTGTACAGCCATTAGTTAAATCGCCTTTTTCATGCACGTGAAAACCATGCTTACCGGGCGCGATGCCGGTGAGATAAACTCGTACATGAACATTTTCGCCGCAAGCATTTTGTGTGAAGGTAACATTTCCCGTGGGTATAACATTGTTCTTCGCAGGTCCAGTCATAAACGCAACGGCTTCAATTTTCGAGTTTTTCTGCATATAAAAATTATTCAATCATTTATTTATTTATTTTTTTTTTTTAAATGATAACCAACCTCAGCATAGCAGCCGGCTAATCCTACGAAGAGCAGTAAAATTGCAATTGTTGATGATGGGATTGTATACATCTTATCCTTAAAAAAATAAAACAGAAAATCTGATTAGCAAAGAGCAAGAAAGCGCGATAAATGATGCGACCGTCTTTATGCCGTGAAGATTTTATAAAGATTGCTTTCAATAAACATTTGCTCTCTTAAATATAGTCAGGCTGCCCGTCGTTACCATTGCCGAATACATACAAGCACATTAACTTACTTACGTTAACCGTAACGCTCAGCGATACTTTATTAATCGTGCACGACTTGGAATTGTGACCGAGAAAGAGCAGATAGTCACCTCCGCCTTTGCTTGCATATTGAAGATTCCTTTCCTTTCCCGTTTTCTTTTAACCTGGGCCAATCATTGTGGGCATTGTGTGCGTGCCTTATTCATGCAGTACACGAAACGAAGGTGACAAGGAAACGAGGAAAGATGGTTGGCGCCGAATCGAGGCAGGTGAGTGTATGCCTTTACCACGTTTGAGAGGACAATTGACTTTAAAAATAAGGGGTGTGTGTCTACCTCCAAAATAATTTACAATAATTTTGAAATAATATCGGAATGGACTCTGGATCCCGACTAATATGAAATATGTATATATGTATAAGCAATTTTTTGCACGCTCCTACACATTTGCTGAAGTATGTTCGAAATTCACTACAAGGCCACTTAATCAAAGGTTCTTCTTTGTTCTAAACCGCTTTTATTTATTTATGTTTTTTCAAAATTTAATTATATTTCATGACAACCGTTTTTATATGAAATGAAGAAAAGTAAATATTCGGTTAAAATTGCGTGAATTAAGTAAAGTGATTAAAACAAGTAAATAATATTTTTTACAATCTTATAAATCAATATAGGGCCATGTTTGCATGCGCTTCCGCACAACAACTGCATGACATAATTGTGACAGACTGTCTGCTTTAATTAAGTTCAATGTACTTAAAGCACGTGCGCGCTACCGTCTGTTAACCGGCGGTTTTCGCTTCTTTCTTCATTTTCCTCTTGCATCTCAATCTAGTACCTACGGATTAAGTTTTTGACAACTACATGACATAACAATTTTACTTCGTTTAGCCACATCAATCTGTCCGTAATTCCGCTTGCCTGTCATTTCGATAGTCTGCCAGTCCGTTCGCCATTTGAACCATTCGTTCATCCGTGCGCTTGTCTGCCTAGTCATGTATTTGTCGATCCGTTGTTGCTGAATTGCGCACAAGTTGGCAAACATTGTCCTGGAGGTATGTGTCTTAAATTAATAAATCAATCTCAAAATACACGGGGGGCTACAGATTAACACGTGTTGTCGTAATCATTAGAAATTTAGTGGCTTGTCCCTCGTAAGTCGCTTCGTTTCCCTCTCACCGTACCTGAGGTCATCTGATAAGCTTTTTTGAAAATTTTAATAATAAGATCCGCCCAGCTCAGCAAGGATTTAGATGACCTTATTTCGAATGAGATGTGGGATAAGCTAACCACGACACTAGACTAAAATGAAAAGGAAGCGCATGGTCGTGCCCACAGTATAACTGACATAAAGCACAGATGAACTAGCAAGGAAAAGAATCGCAACAAAAAACATAATTTAAAGCCGCCCTTGATTTAGAATTCAGGCTTCAAAAACAACTAAAACTGGTGAAGAAAGACAAAGAAATAGACCAGAACAGGCACAAGCAGATGGCGTTAAGTGCAATCTCCCTAATTGATATTAAGTAAAATGTTAGAGACTTAAACTGTCGTTAAATCTGCAATATCCAACGTAACGTCTTCTCCTCTCGAAATTTTTGTAAAGCTTTATGACCTCGGATCGGCGATATATAATCATATTTCAGAAAACATTTTATCCGCAATCGATTCTTATGGAATTACATTTTTCTGTAAGACGACCTTCTGGCAAGCGAGTCTCAGACCAGGATTGTCTGTCCGTCTGTCTGTCTTATTTTTTTGTGGTAAACTGACTTGTTTTAACTCAGGAGCGAACGCTGTTGAAAATGTTTCGACTCGGATCACTTTTTAAACTACTTTTCATGGTACTGTCCTATTTTCGACAGTTCCTATACGAATAACTGTAGGATGGCCTATAATATTGTTTTTACTTATAAGATGCACTTTATACGAGCATGAACATTGTCGCGATTGTGGAGAAAGAAGCAAAGGAAGCAGGGATAGTGTGCGGCTGCAACTAGCGAGGCATATCGCCGAGCGATAAATATCGTGTTTTCTTCAATCGAACATTTCACTAGAATGGCAGCCGCACATCAATCGTTATGAGAGTATGATCTCTCTCGTAGTGGAATTTGAGCCCGCGCGGCTGCTCGGCAGCTTTACTCTACAAAATTTTCATAAACACAATTAATTAGTTAATTGATTAATTGCGTCTTCGTGGCTTGATTATCGTATGTGTTTATATGTACATAAATACAATGAATTGTCTACCTTCCACAAAACATTACTAAAACATAATTCAATGATGAACAGTGACGTTATCTTATACCTTTTTCAATTAAATCGTCCCCCTGAACGTGCTTGTGTTTAAATTAACGTCACCGATATGCTGTGATTTAACAGCAGAAGAGAAAAGTTCCAAATGGTCAGTTGTGCATGTGTATGACGACGAAACGAAAAGAACTTTTTATTGCATTCAAAGCTAAATTCAATTGGGCGAGTGTTGTGATATAACCGCAAATCAAAAATGGGAAATTAGTTTGAGTCTACTTAAACGAGATGTGGCGCAAATGTATTATAACCTTATGACACATTTTCAGTTGTTCTATGTATGGCTTTCATTTGTAGTTAATGAACTGGCATATTTTTTATTTAACCTTTATTTGTTGCTTCATAAACGAAAGTTACACAGGGTCACACTGGATTTCCAAATCTTATATTGGAACAAATAAACAGCGTTAAGGTAGCGGTAACCGAATGTCCTTCACACTTTTTGCCCATTCCGCAAGAGCTAACAGCGTTAAATAAATCGATGTAACTGAATTTTTCGAATACATTCGTTATGTCATAATGTAAGAAATTTTCCTTAACAAAAACCAAAAACTTTACTTGGATTACGCAAGAAACCTTCTCGACTGCCGAGTATGGAACACGTTTTATTTCGAACGGTCTGAACATATTATAATTAGGGAACAAAATTTATTCGACTTTAAAATTTTTGTGTAACATTTGACGACTTCCTCTGCTTTGGAAGAAAGCGATTGAAATCGGATTACTCGCCATTTGTAAATTTATTTCTAAAACGGTGAAATACAATAGACATGCTCCAGTCTTATGCCTTGATATTCAAGAATGTATCGACCCGTAAAATCTTTACACTTTTAATAATGCATTCATAAGTCATTTATGGAATTTTGATCACCTTCACATGAAACTGGGAAATGGCAGATACTGTTTAACTAATATTTTGCCGCTCCCACTGTTCATCTATTACATACGTACATTACATATGGCAACGTGTAATACAAACTTTGTAAGCGACGTCTCATTTTATACACAAATGTGGTACACAGGTATATTAAGTTTTTGAGGATGTGTGCAACACCCAGAAAGACTTGACACAGACCCACCTTTCAGCATAGCGATCGATTTAGAAAATAATTCTGACCTAAACTTGCTTGTCCGTCCGTTTGTTCATGCTACAGCTGGCAATTTTTGACATATTTTAATAAGATGTCGTATACTGGAGTGTTTTGGTCCAACGACGTACTCTATTGAAAATGGTTTGGACCAGACTTCTGCAGTGGATAGATATGAATACGAAATCTAGAAATGAAATTAATTTTTATTTTGAAATAGACCTCTACGAAGAAGAATGTCGCCACCCGATACAGTTCAATCAATGCCTGTGTAATTCGCGGCACATTTAAGAACAGATTTTTCATGAAAGAAATACTTTACTAAATTCGATATCAGTACCGTTTACACGCCCACACCTGACTAAGATTAACTTGCACTTGCTTTGATGAGATTACTCCGCTTTCTCGGCGTTCTTATTCGTTCGCCCTGGAGTTTCCGTATACTGGGAAACCCTCTGTCACGAGTTGTCGCTCGTTAACTGCACTGCTAGCTTTCTGCATAGACTATTTGTAATAAGCTGTCCACTTTTCTATATGTTTCCTTTCCTCTATCTATCACCCATCGGACCTACATGTGTACGGGCTATCCCTAGAAAGGTTAATCAAATAAAGAAATATTTCAAATCCTAAGCGAAGTCCATTCGATGATCTTAAATTTCAAGCCGCAAGAAGCATACAATTCTCTAACCATGAAAATCGAAAAGTCAACTACTTCGAGACGTTTTAGTAACTGTTCACGGCTTCCTAAATGGGTTGAAAAATGTCAACATTAAAATTTCGAAAGTATTTTCCATGAAAATCTTCCTCTACTGTAAGCTGATTGCAGAAAAGATTCACGTTAATCTAAACAGTTCGGGAATTACTACTGACCAACTATTTCGAAAGATCTTCTTTCCGGGAAATTAATCGGCAATAAAAAGAAAACAACGAGAAATGTGATGGGCACATAAACCGAAAATATTTAATATATATTGTCCTGGTAAGTCCTTGTCAAGGTCACCTAAGCATAACAGATTTAAATTCCTTTTTATTCTTGCAATCTTTGAAGTTTTTGTCATCTTTTCTGTTGCAAAACATAATTCTTCGTAGCTTAGAAAGTCAGCTCATATAACTCCTTACAAGAATGATTAGACGCAAGAGCTTTGGGAGTGAGGCTAAAGCAGATACTTAACCGATTAAATGTCGAAGAAGATTTACCTTCAAATAGGAAAATAATCTCAGGGTGAAATTTGGCTGTTTTTAGCGATTATAACATAACAGCAAATTACGTAATAACGTTATCAATCATCAGTAAGCCGATAGGGAGAAATAGTATGAAATGAATGCCAAAAAACAAAAAAAACAGGACAACCAGTTAACAACCGTTAATATGCAACACGCGTTTGTCATTTTGTATTATTTATTGACCTTTTTTGTAGCATATTTGCTATTTAAGATTTATTAACTCAACTGCAACTGGTTTAATAATAATCTTTTTCAAAACTTTTTGGATATTAATTTATGAGAATACAAGCCGGTTGTACTCTTTTTTTTTTTTGTTGTTTTTTTTGAACAATTGCAAAATAACGCTAATGCACTAACACTTCAATGGTGCCACATGCTAATCGAACTCAAGTCTTAAAAACAAGTTTGAGTGTAGTAGGAGTAAGGGAATGGAGGACGGAAGGAAGGAAATATATTCAAGGTTTTATATAATATATTGAACAGAGCACCTCACGTACATTAATTGACTTACTCTAGAAAACTTAAAAAAAAAAAAAAAGCAAACACTTTATAAATATCTGTAGTTTGTTTTGATTGTGTTGCTTGATGTTTTTTGCTGTTGTCATTATTAATATTATTATTATTATTATTATTATTGTTATTGTTATTATTGTTTGTTATTTCTCAAATCAGCATCGGAGTGGATCAATTGTTTGCTTACCTTATGCGTGTTCAATGAATTTAAATGTAATTTTAAATTTACTATTTAATACACACACACACACACACACACGAGAAAATACAGATAATTCTCAATTGTATCAAGTGTTTACTTCAAGCTTTGAAATGCAACTATTGCGGTCTCTCCTCGCCTGACAATGAAACGTTTCCACAGATCAATTGTGTTAATGCGCGACTGTTTTTCAAACGAAAGTGAATTTTCAACTAGAAAAGCTCTTATTTTATATGATTTTGTTGATTTTCGTTAACAAAAAAAAAAAGAAAACACTCGTTTCGCGAGATACTTAATGTTGTTGTTAAGTTTTATCGCAGAGCGTGATCACCATAAGTTTTGCTTCTTTTTTTTTTTTTTTGTAACCTTTTGGTTTCATATTGAGTTCTTTCTACTTTTCGCTATGCATTACGAGCTACAAACTTGTGGCAGTACTTGATATAAGAAAACTTAGTATGGGACAAACAACATTTCTAAGCGTAAAAAAATGATGAGAAAACACGTTTCAATAGTTGAAATTGATAAACAACTTTTGCTTTTTTATAATTCACGTACGCAGGGGTGTCAGATATGTATAATTATTGCACTTGGTTCTGTGCGACACAATTATTTGTTTGTTATCCGCCTCGCCTCACGTTATTCTCAAATTAAAATCGTCTGGCCTAAGCTCTGGCAGATATAGATAAAAGTTTTGGTAGTTCTAAAGCAAAACTTTGAGACCAAGAGAGAAAGAGAAAGACAGGGAGAAAGAGAGAGAGAAAGAGAAAGAGAGAGAAAGAGAGAAAAAGAGAGAGAAATAAAAAGTAACTGGATACATTGTAAAATATACATTATCTAACTTCTAACCATATTCTGATATTTAAGCAATATTGCCATGAATAAACTTTATCCATATTATCCGAATTTATCCGCAATTATGCACACAATTGTAATGCATTGAATTCGCGCGTAGCGTGTGCAGGAAAACTAAAAATATTATTTTTATTTATCCGCTTGTGTACGATATACGGAAAAATCATTATCAAATAATTTTTTTTAATTAAAACTAAATTATCGGAAATCTAAACCAAACGTAAAAATGGTTCTTCTTCTTTTATCATCAAACACCAAACACTTACGTAAGTAAAACAAACTTTTTTCATTCAAAGTTGAGTTTAGAAAAAATACAAGGAAATTCCACTCCCGGTGTGCATGTAACGACCGTTCAAAATTACACATCCGATCTGAATCCTTTTTAAGTACCATTCTTTGTTGGATTAAAGCACGTCAGAACACCAAATTTAATCCGAATTTTTCAAAAATTGCTACCTTTAGGTTGAATACAAATAATCAAGACGGACCGACAAGCTTAGATTGATTCAGAAAGTGATTCTGAACCGATAGATATAATATCTCAAGTGCTCCTATCTATTGCATGCATCCGTACAAATTAATATGCGCTTGCATCGTGAGTGGTGTAGGGTATAGCAATGTTTTTCAATCAAAACTAAAGTTCGGCAGTTTGAATTTACCATTCGACACCACTCGCTCGTTTTGATAATAATGTTCCAAAAAGGACATATTATTTTCAGCCAAGGTCTCTCCCTTTATCTTTCATGAAAGCCCCCATATGGGGGAGGATGCGCAAAATATCACAAAAATGTGATCATTTTTCAGTTTTCGTAGACCTTCCCTCGCCTCTGTCTCTCTCTATAGGTATTAAGCTCCAAAAAAGGGACCTATGTGATCCAAATTCCCTCTTGCTATTTTTGTGGTCAATTGCTACTCTTGACCAATTTTCATCGTTAAATATTAGAAATTAAGCCTTTTTCTGAAAGTATTTCTTTATTTATGAGAAATCTTATATGTAATGTGGTCCAGGGTACATGTGGTTTACATGTACCCCACTTAATTTTTCTATCGAGTAACTGCCACGAACAATTTTTTTATCATTGAAAGTAAACAATTAGTCCTTTTTGGCGTACACGGGTTCACATTTCCTGAGTGTCCTTATATGCGGTGGCAGCCACAAAATTGGCTTACGTGGTCTAAATTCGATAAGATTGATTTCCTTGTCAGTTTACTATTATGAACGAATTTCCGCTATGGAATATTGAACGTAAGGTTTTAGGGAAAGGTTATGTGAAAGGGAGTGCAAAAAATTACGCAAGGTGACCCAAACTTTTAATACCAATTTGGAATGTCGAAAATGCTATTGCTCAGCGGCCTTTTTCGAATAATTTTGAAAATTGGGTATAAAGCCGGGTTTCCATATAAAGCTTTTTCAGAATAAGGGGTTATACGGAGAGTGGTCGAGAAAGTGAACCGATGTGATCTATTTTCAATAGCGTTCGTCCTTGGGGTAGAACATGCCAGTGTGCAGGAATACATGAACAGTGGGCAAACGGACAGACAGACGGACAAGCTGTAGGAAGTGATTCTGAATCGATCGCTATAAGAAAACGTGCGGGTACCTAGAGTCTTTCCGGGTGTTGTGTGCAACTCCACAAACGTCATATTTCCTCTACTGCAAGTGAGTTGGATTATAATAAGTAAAAAAAAAGGATTATAGGGGGACATGGCTTACTATTAAATACTTTACACCATTTCCTTAAGAGTTATTCATATAACAAATTATGACGGGACTAGTTGAAAAAGTGAACCAATCGAAGCCATTTCCAATAGCGTCCGTCGTTGAGTCAAAGCACATCAGTACTCGGCCGGCTTTCATTGAAATATGTTAAAAATTGCGACTTGTAGGTTGATCACCAGAAAACAACACTAGACAAACGTAGGAAAACTTACTTTTATCACAAAAATAATTCAAATAATTGCACTTTAACGTAAGAATTTACAAAAAAATCAAATAAGTTGTGACTTGTTCACGAAACTATATGAAAATATCGAAAAGTGTTGTCATCTTCCAAATATAACTGAAAGGGTTTTTTTCTTTATTTTGTCTGCCCATATATTTATTTCAATTTTTCGATTTCATATGTAAGCCCTTATTATCCGTATAAAGCATCTCTTAATGTAATATAGCTTAAGATCTCTTCACATTGGATTCTTCTAAAATAGTTTTGGCAATTTTTTCTTATTGTGTTAAAAAAAAAAGAAGGGTTTTTTAGTTTTTATTTATGCGTTATTTGCTTGATCTATGTATGTATATCTATTTAACGGTTTAAACTAAACATATATAAAAATTATTTTATAAAAATTGCCTCTAGTTTATATCTCGGATGGTTTTTTAATTGCCTCTTACTTTCGATTCGCTTGCTTATCAGTCTCTCCGAAGTACAAATAAATGTTCTCTTTACGTTTTTTAGAAAAAAGAGATTTTATTGTTTTTTCTTCTCTGCGAACTCTTTCAAATTTGATGCCTTTGACGTCCCAAAGACGCTGTGTGCAGAGCAGCGGGTTTACAATTTTCGATGAGTAAACTCTCCGCTTTATTTAAATTCATTGTAGACTTGTCGTTGATGTGAGATCGTTTCATAGCAGTGCGTTTGCGCTCGCTATCCATATTGGCAGTTAGCTCGACAGTCTGTAGACTTTGCGCCCTTTGCAACGAAAGACGTAAAGGTTTCTTGGGTGGCGTAGGTCGATGCGCACGTATTTCCGATATAGTTTCGCCGTTAGTGATACGAGCTTTTGTCTTAATCGTATCATTATCACTGTCAAAATTCAAAGATTGAACACTTCGCATATCTGTGGGCGGTAAACGTGTACGTAACGTTTGAATATCATTGTGGCGCATATCGCGTCGGCGTTCCAATTGTCTGCAAATTTAGAAACAAAACATTAATCGATCTAAGGCTAGATAATTATGCAATTACCTGTTCTGTTGGTTTAACTGCTCAACACTGCGTGCCAACATTTGCATTTGGCCTTGAGCCTTTAGAGGATGACTTAACGACTTGTCGGAACGTTCTCTTTGTTTATCTTTGCTTTCCCGCTTATTTTCGGATTGCGTCCCGTAAGTTGTTCTTTCATTATGCAAAGACATTCGCGAAGCCGTTAATCCTGATTTAGTCGCCATTAGTAGGTTTAAATCGTGTCGACTATTCTCTCGAATTATAGTTTTAGTTATATGCGCAGTTGATTTACTTTTACTTAACACAATTTGTTTGGTCTCTTGTTCTGTTGGCTCATCGCCTAACAATTCGATAGGCTTACCCCCCACTAAAGTGGTTATGTAATTGCCTCTTTGAAAAATCAGAGGCTTATCAGACGGCGGTGTCGTGCATGGTGAAGATATACTTATGCTGGTAACATGACCGCTTGTTGCACAATTAATTTGATTATTTTGTTGTTGGCTGTGATGCTGATGCTGTTGGAGTTGTTGATCATGTTCTTGTTTGGCTGTTTGCAACTCTTTCACCTGTTCTTCCAGATACGAGATTCTGTGTTGCAAGCGGGTATTGTTTTCCTTCTCTTGATCAAGTTGCTTTTGCGGTATTGGGGCAGGCTTTTTACGCAACACTACCATTTGACTTTTACCGGTAATGCCGACTAGCTTTTGTAAATCTTCTTTGGTTTTACAAGTGACCAGTTTGCCATTTATCTCAAGGATGCGATCACCTTTGTAGAGACCATCGCCATCTAAGGCCCATTCGATATAAAAAGCCCCTGACGCTTCGGGTATTTCTTGAACGGACCAGCGTCCGGTACTTGCTTGGACAGCATGTAAGCTTAAAGCGACACCGGAAGACAGTTTACTGTTGAACAAGATCAGTACAAAAATACGAAATTAGATGAAATTTTCTCAATCTCTCATGGCTTACCTGTAGAGACTATGAGGCTCCAGTTTCGATTTCTCTAGTCTGGCCTGTAAAGCGCGTACTTCCTCAACAATCGATAATAATTGCAACTCTTCACGGCCCAAGGCATATTCCAATTCGGCTTGTCGTATGCGTACATCGATATTACTGCAAGAAATTACAAATTATTGGAATATGGTACAGTTTTGTAAAGCGAACTCACTCCGTGATGTCGAGTCTTTCTAGAGCGCTTTTCAAATTTCGTATTTTGATTTTTTTATTCTCAGTTTCAATTTTCAATTTTTGCAATTTCTGTTCAGCGGCCGGTTTCTCGGCCTCGTCTATGGGTGGTCCCGTCGGGCGAGGCAATTTACTAAGGCATAATTGTATACGCAAGTTTTGTATAACCGATTCTCTGTCTTGCAAAGCTGAACGTAATTCCTTAGATTCGCTGCGATTCGATCGCGTGGTAAGCGTACCGCACAGTGAAGCGCCCTTGCGCCGTCTACCAGTGGTAGCGTTTTGCGATATAGCAATTAGCTCAGTTTGTTTAAAAGGTTTATTCTCAGCATTGGCATGATAAACACTATATTTGGCAGTACATTTCGGATTCAGAAAAGTCTGTAAAGAAAATATACGTAAAAAAATACTGGTTTAATTTGCAGCCATAAGAGGTTTAAAATAGCGGCTAAAATATTTTTAATGAAAAAGCCAATCAAGTGAAAAGGATTATTCTAATGGTCAAAGTATTTCAAGTTCATTTTCGTGGGATCTTCCACACAAAATTACTAGCTGCAAGGGAACTTAGATAGGGCAGGATGCAGCCTAGGGCACAATATCGGCCCGACTGACAGGAAGGTGTTGGCTGTCCTTCTGTCTCCATAAAGGTTTTTCTATGAGTATTTCATGAATGTAAGCCTTTGTGGAGTGTTTGTTGCATATAAAGACAAGCCTCCGTATTACGGCCGAACTAGCCAGCTTTACAATGACACGAGGGTTTATCCGTTATATATATAATATATTATTCAGTTACACAAAAGTGTCTAACTTTGATTAGATGATTGAAGCAAGAAGCTTTCTTTCTCAAGGAGGAAGCCATTCAATGCTGAGTATCTCATTGATTCACACAAGTTGAAAAACGTAGATGCGTTCATCAATTTAAGAGTTCTCTTCGACCAAAGATTACGTTTTAATTTGCACATTGAGTTATATTTAAATAAAGCTAAGTCTGCGCTAGGTTTGATTAAGAGACGGTCAAGAGAGTTTAGGGATCCTTTCGTTACAAAAAGTCTATACATGTGCTTATTTTTGAAGATTATTATTATTATTATTATTGAAGATTCAACTGCAGTTGACAAGATTCTCATACAGTACCGCTCGAGTTAATAATATGAAGAAAGCCTTTTGTAAAGAGTTTTGTAAATATTTGAAAAGGCGACGATTATCGTCAAGAGTTTTTCTCGGAGATGGCAGGCAAGCGGATAGCGTAACTTATATAAAGGCATGAACATTCTTAAGATTACTCTCTGAAAACAATAACTGCGCTTACTCAACTTAAAAAAGATTACAGAAATGGCTACAAAATGCGACAGCCGACGATTGCCGACGATACTTGAGCATGCTTCGGTTGCGTAGTCGCCGTCCTATAGGTGTTATGTGAATTCAATTGAATCCGTTCAAGAGCAATTCTTGCTGTTTGCCCTTAGGAATTTAGATTGGGACCCACTTGGACCTACACTGGCCGTGGTGCCTTTGTGTTAGTTATGTACACACCTTTTCTCTTTTTTTTTTTTTCCTTTACCTCTCCTTATATACTTTGTATTAGTTTTTAATAATATTTAGTTTAAGATTTACTGTTAAGAGTCAATGGAATTCGGCTGTTAATTTATTTTAGCTGAGTTTCGTATATTAGTGAATAAATAAATAAATAAAAAATGTTACTTTCTGCTGGTCAAAAGTGGCAGAATAATAAAATACAAACAACAACATGCAGTGTTTGAATAGTTTTTATTTTTAAATATTTTGTAAATATTATCAAAAAGTGTTTTTTAAATAGGACGGAAAGCTATTTATTCTTAATTTTGTGGAATATCATGGATACCACACTCACGGTTCGCCGGCAAAGATTGATCTGTAAATAAATATGTTCAATGAATGTTCGGAAGCAATGAATGAATCGCAAGTAATGAAAAATTATTTCCTAAGTTAGGTTTTACCAATTTTTTTGGGATAAGGCAGGTTCAAATTATCCATAAGTGCAACAAATTCTTCCAGGCTTTTAGTTAAACGTGGATTATAGTTTTTCTCTTCCCATACGGTACTTTCCACTTGGCCTCTTGAAAGAAAATTTCGATTAAGAGATTTTTCCATATCCTTTGCTTTCTTTGCTATTCTTCCGCATTTACTTACTTGTAATCGTGTGCTGGATAGATGCGATAATTCGTTCCTAAAGTGAAGATTTTATTATGTACGTTTTCATAAAGGCTACGCGCATTGCCCTCTTGAAAATCAGTACGACCGCAACCGCGTATTAGCAAAGTGTCCCCTGTAAAAACGCAGCCCTGTTCATGTATAACATAAGTCATGCAACCATTGGTATGGCCTGGTGTTGCTAGGGTGTCAATTTTATGACGACCAAAGACAACACTATCTCCCTCGTTCAAATGTTTATCGGCTTTCGCGCCGCTAGCTTTTGATATAACCGATATGCAGCCGGGTAACAACTGTTTTAACCAACCCGTACCAGTTATATGATCAGCATGCATATGCGTGTTCACTAAGCAAAAACAAAAATTAATAGAATTTCGAGTATTAACTGAAACAGAAATAAATTCGAACATATCACTGGTAATTGACTTTTCCACGCTATTCTCTTAATCTAGACGGCTCAGCTCAGTTTAGTCAATTATTGATTGTGACGGTTTTTTTTTTTTTTTTTTTTTTTGAAGACCGTTTATAGACCGTTTCTCACTAAAGGAGTATCTAAGATGTAATGAGACCTTTACTTCGACGGTGAGCTAAATCTATGTCGTTTAAAATTAAGGTACAGGCTCTTTAATGCCACTTGCAGTACCGGCTATATTAAATTAATTGCCAAGGATGAACTTTACAGAAACTGAGAGGGATAGGGCCATTTCTACGAGCACGCGTTTCTTTTTTGTTTTACAAAAGTTTTTATATCTAAAAGGGCTTACACGTTTTATATTGTTCGACAAAAGCCAGCGAAAAACTGCATTTCTGGACTTCATAGGTCTACACGTCAGATTTCTTGTCGATAAAAAGTAAGCCTTGGGAAGTTTATCAACGGTTGATTGCAACACTACTTACTATAATTTATGCATACTTTCCTATGTATTTTAATTAATTTGATTTAATGCGATATTTTGCATATTTATTTTTAATGTTAAGTAAATTAAATATTGCTCTAATGTTTGCTTGGTAATCAATATATTGACTCACTTTCACTTTGAACCAATCTTTACGAACTTTCGTGTATAACTCTTAAGGAATTTTTTTTTAATCAAACGTTAGTTTTAAGCTAAAACAAATACGCTTTATCATTGTAATGAACTACTTCTCTGAAACCGGGACTTCGCGAATTGGATCCAAAGAACGCTTGTTTTTGCGGTTGTCGCATACACGCTAATGCTTTCATTATTTCGCGTAACTTACTTGCATATTTTAGTTTCAAACCCAATTCCTTAACAAGTTGAGCATCGCGTTTTGCTTGCTCCAACACGGGATCAATTATAACTGCTTCGTGCGTATTGAGATCGGCCAGCAGATATGTGTAGGTACTGCTCTCTAAATCAAAAAGCTATTAACAAAATTTTATAAGTAATTTTTTTTTTTTTAAATATTCTTAAAATAATTAATGAATAAATTTCTTACCTGACGAAAAAAGAAATCTGTGGTAAAACTAATACGAGGTAACATATCCATGTTGTTGCTATTGCTATGAGAAAGTCTTTGCTGGGCTGCTAAGCAAGAAATTTTCCGTATCTTAATATCTGACCGTTTAACTTGCAATAATACTGAGCGCCTTAGAGACGACAATAAACTAAATGCTACCGAATTCATGATGATGTTTCGTTTTATCGTTCTGCGCTCGGATAAAAAGAAAATATATTTTATTACAATGAAAACACTTGATTGAGCATTGAAAATGAGAAAAATTGTTTTCATTCAAGTTATGGTTACGTTTTGTGATTTACTCATATATATTATTGTTTTAGTGTTTGTACATTTGTCTCCTGACGCTAACGTTTCCATTTTAATATGCAATACTTACACGGAAGACCAAATAACAACTCAATGCAATGCAGTCAATTAATGATTATTCATTTGAAATGTTCTTCAGTAATTTTTCTTTCTTTTTTTTTTTTTTTTTTTTGAATGATTATCTGTGATTAGGCGTTATTATCAGTCACTAAATTTATTACAGAGATAATGTTTCTTGGTATAATTGCGGTGATCTGCAAAAAATAATTTCGCTAAATAAAGAATTTTTATTATTAATTTTTTCAATACTTACTTTTTCTATAACTTTTCCTTTTGTTATTTATCATCTCTTAGTAAATGAAATATGTTTTGTTTTTCTTTTAACTATGTGGCCTTAAACAGCTGTTCAACGCTTGCAAAAAAAAAACAATCAATTTCAACAAATTGATTTCAGCGAATATGTTTACATTAAGTAGTTCATCAGCTCACTTTGGTATAAAATATGAGAGAGAATGCATTCGTCTTGCATTGCAAACAAAAGCTGTTTTCTCTTTGCTCTCAGGTTGTGTTTATTTTGCAAAAGCTTTTATTTCTTATTATTTCTATGCCGAAGATATTATAGCTCGTATGAGAGCTCGTATGGCTCGCTCATTTAATTACTCTCATACGAGCCGAAATTTGTTTACAATTACAAATGCAAAAGTGCTAATTCTAGATATGCTCAACTCATCCTATCGTTTGTATCGTAACAAAAATAATGAAAGTCTACACAGACTCCATGCATTGTATATATACATATATATTTATGCAAGACGATGATATATATATCATCGTCGTCATTTTTATATATATCATCGTATATATACACATATCATCGTCATCGATAGTTGATGGAATATGTAGATACGATGTCACGATGATATTTGTCATATCTACATATATGAGGACGGTATGTATAGGCAATGATATATAGATACAATAACGACAATACATATGTATACATATTGATGTCTATTTGCACAGATTATTATTGCAATTGTTCAGCATGTTTTCCTATCCGCGAGCGAAGAATAGGATTCTACCACACTCTCGATCAGCGTTGCATTCTGTGTAATAATAAGTATGTCCTTCCGCCTATCTGCTGTTAAAACGCTTGCAGCCTGGAAACTGAAAATCCATGGCTAAAATCTGTCATACAAATTCGTAATTCATGGTCATGGAGCAGATTTTAAATCGAGCACAATCCCCCCATCAATTACGTCCGCTACATAAAAGAAGAATAAATTATTATTGGAAACAAAAATTTTTGTGTGAAACGCCGTGGAAACATAAACAAAAGATTGGACTTAAAACGCGCCATAAATATTTTGTAAAATCAGCGTTCTAAGACCAGTTTCAGAAAGCTAGTGCCCTGTCGTGAACGGCTCGATCTACCAGCTGACACATTTAATAAAATCTTTTCGAATTCTAACCGATATAGGAGATATCAAAGATTCTGCCTAAGACGATTAATTAAGCCTTCTTTAGATTATTTTTTTTTTTTATTCCAACCGAATTTATTTACTGAGAGCTTTCTTTGAAAAATACCACGCGATCATCCTCATAAAATTTAAGTCAATAAACTTTTCTAGGAAAATTATGTAAAACGCGTTTTTTTAATTATAGCACAAAAAAAACTTATTGTACGCTATACCACCTCTGATACAAAGGTATATTGAGTTGGTGTAAATGTATACAACTGTCTTTCATTATACCGATCGATTTAGAATCACTCTCTAAATCGGTATAGCCTTGTTTGTGCGTCCGTCTGTCTGGCAGATATTTTTGCGATCAGCCTGCAGGTCGCCATTTGTGAGATATTTTGATGAAATTTGATACATCAACGGGTTTTGCCTCAGGGCCAAATGCTGGTGAAAATGGTCCCGATCGGACGGTTCTTCCGCCCACTTCCCATATAATATCCAATTTTCAAAATTCGTTACATGAAGACCTGTAGTGTGGAGTAGGATATTTAATGTTGAAGCGTGGCCAACTGGTAGTATACACACTTGTTCGTGAAAGAACTTCGTTTGAAAATGTGTGTAGAGAATGCCGATTGGAATGGAAACCAAATTTTTCTCAAAGCACTCCCACATTGTTTTCCATAATGTAGACGTGTATCGTATTCAAAGCATCGCCCATAATTTCCCAAAAATTTTGCACAATTTTTTTGGCAACGGAATTGTACTTCGAGAGGGGAACGTTTCATATTTTGACACAATTTAAAAATGGATGCATTTCTTGATGTCGCCAAAATCCAAACTGCAATTTAAGCAAATAAGTACTCTAGCGTTAATCGATGTAAATGATAACAAGCCCGTGGAAAATATGGATATATGAGAAGATCCTCAAGATAATTCAAGCGGCTTTTTAAAAGATATTCGAGCATTCCCGTGCAGAACAGCGCACAAATAACATATGAGTGATGTTCTTAACTACACAGAATCACATGCTCGTACTTACAGATGATGATAAAGAATCTCTTCTTTTGATGTCTTCAGGATTGCATTCCACTTAACGAAAAGTTTAATACAATATCCTTCGGCTCCTATTCACACGAGACCAAATTTTCTTTACCAAATAAAACGTTATATGCGGAGTAGTTGAATAAGTAAATCGACCCGAATGGCGTTCCTTCGTGTGTCAGAGCACGTCAGTGTGCCAAATTGCATCGAAAAAGCTCTGAACACAAAAATACTTGAACGGGTGGGCAAGCGGAATGACGGACTGACACACATCAGATTTGTGTGAACACAGTGCAATTTATCCGCTAACCTGCCCACCTAAAACTTATTTCTTTGCGATGAATTGGTAGCGCCTAACGACTTGACTAAGTACTTCTAAAGCTCTTCTCTAAGCTTTACTTTACTAAAGAGATTAATTACTCCAAGATTTTTAATATTTTGCACTTCGAAAAATCACGCCTGCGGTTATTTTCAGTTTTTTCATTTTTGCCCAAACAAATGGACAAGTAAGAGCAAGATCGAAACTTTAGTAGTCGATTAGATATTTCTTTCGCAAGCCAGAAGAGGGCGCCCTTCGAATTTGTCAAATAGCTTACTATTGATTACTAGTGTGACGGCTGGTGTTGCAAGCTTTTAAACACTTCTTTAGAACCTTTTGCAATGATCAGGAGGAAAAAAAGCGCTTGTGAAAAGGTCATAACATAAACTGAATAATTAATATTAACATCATTATTATGGAAAGAGAGAGAGAGAGAGTAAGAGAGAGGCACAGGGAGAGAGAGAGCGAGAGATCCTAAGATAAATACAAATATTTTAAGGAAACGTGACTATTTTTTCTCCACATAAGGCAAGCATGCGCATAATTAAAAATAAATAACGAAAAAATGACTAAACAAACAACTTCGCTATAAAGCAACAACAACGATAGCTATTGTGAATTGAACTCGCTGTGAACCCTTAATAGGGGAATTAAATAAAATTTTGTATTGTTTGCAGACAACAATCAAAACATAAATACTATGAACATGCATTGTATGACTGTTTTTTTTATTTATATATATATGTATATATTTTTTTTTTTTTGTTTAAATATGCGGAGTATTTTAAAATATTTTTTTCTATGAAATAATTAAACAGCACTTTGGGCGTTTAAAAGAAATTATTAAAAAAAAAAAAATAAAACAACAAAAAAATAAGAAAGTATTGCTCGTGTCAGAGCGAATATGTGATACCTTTCATATGACTGCCGACGTACGCATCAATTTGAAGCCCAATTTTTGAACTTCAGCCGAAGCTGAAATGCTAAGCAATCATTTTCGATTCTGCTTTTAGAAGTTTAGTTGCGAGAACTGCATTAACATAGCGCAAAAGGAAGGAATCTGATCTTACGGACCACGTCTACGGGACGTACTTATGTATGTACGATATGCGCGTACCCACATACAGGAATGCATGCATACACACCATCTGTATAACTTATGCATCCAACATGTGCGTATGTATATTCTGCACGTGAAATTCACCTGAGTGGTATATATATATATATATATATATATATATAGTTAACAGGGATATTGCTAAAGCTAAAGCAACTATTGCCAGCGAATGCTGTGAAGCTGTTATACACTATCCATCTGCAAAGGTGGTGACGGCCATACTTTTAAATTCCCTTAAAATGTGTATGTGTGTACATCTTAGCGGACTTTCGTATATACAAGGAGTGAAAGCGAACATGCTGTGGTAAGCGTCCAGCTTTGACTGCAGCCGTATCAGTGAGGCGATGGGCAGTATTTTTGTGAACTGAAATATTTGATTCCCTTAGTAAACTATCTCATTATAGACGTGTTAATTGGTTCGTTACGATCATTTTTGTACTCGTGCGTTAGTTGGGAATATCTGTGTATATGTTGCTTGCTGAAAATCCCAGTTGGAGGTTTTTGCTTATTGATGGAGAGAATGCGTTCTCTTTCAATTCCGTCTATTATCAGCGGCTAAGACTTTGTATTCCAAGCTTTATTCTATTTCAATTTTATGAAACATTTAGCGCTTCAAGAGAAGACGGACAGACAGACAGATGTGGCTAATCGAGATGATTCGAGATCAATTTTCGTGACCGCGAACATTCCAAGAGCAAACAGGCGGACCGAGCAATTTAATACAAGGCCATTTTCTGATAGTTTCTGAGTACAAAAATTTATTTTGCAGCGAAAGTAATTGCTGAACCATTAAAAAACACAACAACAATAGCAACTTCTGAAATCTACAAAAGCATATAGTTTATGCAGACAATTGGCGAAGCAATTGCTATGTTTTACTCCCTCGTAATTACGTGGTCTTGAACAAATACAATTCAGTGCATTCCTATTCAATTTCAAATGAAATTTAAGATTTTAGTTTAATAAAAAAAAAAAAAAATGCATTAAGTTAATCAAATCGCTTGTAACTCAAAAAAGATAAAAAAATTGAATTAACATTTTCGATTTATGTGTGTGCGTGCGTATGTGTTTATCCGCGTGCATTCACTAAGAGGGAAAGATTAATTTTTGCTCTAGCAAGTCACCTTAGAAGCATGCTTTTTATACCAATTTTCTGTCTGACAAAGAAGCACAACTTCAGAATAAGTAAAGGAAATTTAAAAGTGAGGCTGTCATCACCTTAGTAGGCAGTCCAATCATAGGCGATAACTGCCTTAGCAATATCTCCATAGCTGCGGACCACGTCATTGTGATGCTTTCTAATTTTCAATCTTAAGAAAAAGGGTTATACGGCAGATATTTCTCCATAAATGGTTAGCAACCTTTACTTGTATGAAAAAACAAATATAAAAATATTTAAAACTAAGCAATTTTTTCTGTCTGTCCACCAAATGTCCACCAATTGATTGTTTTAGTCCTATTTTTGCGCCAAATCTACGTAATCACAAAAAGGGGATAAGAAACTGAAATCGGGCCCGAATCCATCCTTGATAGATTAAAAACCTATGGCTAAAAAAGTCTGCCTTCTTGTAAGCTCATAATAAAATATAGACTAAGATAATTTTGAAGAAGCACCGACAGTTTCTTCATATTTTCGTCTGTAGGTTTTGATCTCCTGAAGATATTCCCATAGGTCGGCTAGGCTCACACTCAAGTTTAGTCCAATTGGTTTACTTACTGGCATGTTCGCCATCCAATTACAAATAGATCGGAAGTAAAATGTTCCACGTGGTTCAATATTTCTTTTAAATTCCTGTCTGCATGTTGCGCACAAAGTCGTCACCGAAGGAATAAAAAACTAAGAGAAAAACTCAATTTCTTTCCGAATTTCAGCCTTAGGTTGCTACTTCGGATCGATAGCGAAATCTTGTTTGACTAGAGCACCAATAAGCGAGGTCGGTCTTTTTTGGAAAGAGTGACATTTAAATCAATCCTCTAGGAAATTAGTCTTGGTTTTCTTGAAAAGGAAAATGTATTGGTAATAGGTACCAGTACCAATGATCTATATTTACTGCATAGCCGAGTGGATAAGAGTCGCAACTATCAAGTCGGTATTCGCGGGTTCAAATCTTAATCTCAGTGCCATTCGACAGCACTTGTTCGTAACCATATTGGCTGGTCTGGCTGTGAACACCTACCGATGGGACACGCTTTCTACGCCTTTCTCTCTTCCAAACGTATCGGCGACATACCGCGAGTGAGAAAAAACAAAGGAATTCGCTTTGTAACTATCATCTAGAACAGGGGTGGGTGGACAACTTTCCTCGTGTAAGGGTCAATTTCAATTTTCCTCTCGCTACGGGAGCCAGAACAAGTTCCACTTGCGAAGACATATACAAGCCATTTGTGACATTGTTATGTGCGAGCAGTTTGAATGATTTGGAATTTTAAACATAGCGTCCCCATCTGATCTACAATCATTAATTTAGAAACCATCATCCCGCCCCCTTCATTCAATAGCGCAGGAAGAAGTACAAGTTTTTCAAGCCAGGTGTAAAAATAAATGATTGTTCTCGATTCAGTTATGTCCGTCTGCCATGTCGGCTCGCTTATTTCTCCTCTCTAGTCTAAACAAGGTGAACACTTCATTTCACGTACATTAAGTGAGAGGAGTTCACAATTCGCTCTAAACAGCCTATAAATATTTTACAAGTTTCTTGAATTAATTTTTAACATGTGAAGCGAAGCGATTAGTTTGATGACTGTGATGAATAATAATAATGTTGAAACATAAACTACAAAAAATGTAATAAGTATTTCATGATAGACGTAAATTGAGCAAAGGAAGAAAGAAAGAAAAACATTGCTTCGTGCCTGTTTGTTATGCTTTTGGCACTTACCATGGAAGCCGATTTTTGTTTAGCGAATGCACGATGTGCCGGAGATATGGGTTCACTGATCACGCTTCCGGTATCCATAGTAGTACAACTCTATTAAACTGAAAATACAAAAGCAATAAAGAAATGTTTAATCATTTAAAAGCAGTCTGCAAAACATTTTTAATTAAGTTTAAGAAGTTGAAAGAGAAGTTCTGACGTCTTTTGAAAAACCTTTCTTTCAACTTATATTAGAGACAAAAAAAAAACATTTTTTAATGCATTGCACTACACGTAGGACGTAAATTGGTTTTTGGTGTTTGCCGCCTTTTTGGTCATTTCTGAAGAGGAAAGTGGCAGCATTTGCTGGTTTACAAATACTTTTGCAGGAATTAAGGCTTTTTCTCGCCATTGCAATTATTATGACAGATGGCTACGAATTGCCCAACTTTGCGATTTTTTTTGTTTCTGTGTTGACTAGTCAATTAGGGGAAGTGACCTGTACGTGCGAGTAAAAAAGGTTATAAGAACAGAAGGATGGAGAGAGGGAGTAGCCCGTGTGTACGGTTCATTTAAGAAGACCACTGCTATTAGATACCAGATACCAGACTTCCAGAGGGAGAGGGTATAAGTGCAGAACAGAATTGCAGTCGCGGCAGCGCGTCCTGCGATAGGCAATTTCAAGCCAAGATGACGGAAATACTGAGAAATCTTTGCACTCCTGGCAAAGGACTTGGTTGGTGAACCAAACCCTTTTATCTCTGTAGAATGGATTCACAGGGCCACACAGTTCACATTACACCAAGCTCGAGGGTATCGAGGGTTTCGGACAAACTTCCGTCACATCTGAGCCCCTGAACTTTTCGCTGTATGCGGCCGCGCGTGCACAAGTGAGATTTTGGGGGATTCCGCGCTTACATGCGGTTCATGTTCTAATAATATTGGGAACATAAAGGCGGTGTGAATGCTACGGACATCGGTGGCAGTGAAGAATTTCTTGCACTGCTTTAGGAAACCTGATAAGTTCTGTTCAACGAACGTCATTTTGTATACTCATGTCCTGAACATTAAGGGATACCGATTCCTATACATTGACACCACCATATTTTTGTAGGGTCTCAACTTAACGCGTTTATTGCGTATTTCGGTATTACTAGGCCTTCTAGTGAGAGAGAATGAGTGACACGAAGTGCTGAATAAATTGAACAGAAAATTGTCAGGTATAGAAGATCGTTGATGAGCATCAAGAAGACACATGGAGAAAGAGCGGAGCCATGTGGTACACCTGCATTGAAGTACAGTTATGTTTAAGCTGTAATTCTGTCACGGTTTAGAGCTTACTTTTATAAGGTAATTTGGTAAAAATAGCTCCAAAAAGCAGAATTTGAATTTGTGTAACTTTTTTGTAAACCATTTTTATATACATTCGCGAAGTGTCCACACAACATCTCACATTTTACATCACTGCTGCAGAGCTCTGTTAATGAAGTTGGTAAATGTTTTTCCTAATTAAATTCAAATTTATCTCTGCACCCATTATTTTTACTATAATGAAAAGGGAGCTTACTTTTCGAGGGCGTCGTTGGTAATCTTTTCTTCTTGACAACTATTAACAAGTTATGGAGTTGCTGGACGTTCATCCTTTCTGCTTTTTTATAACCTGGTAACATTCAGAGCCGTGCCAGAGCACGTAACAAGACAGTCAGCCAACTATTTTTGTTGTGCGAGTCGCAACAAAACTTGCTTTCAGTGAGGGGAAAAGTGTTATGGTTTGGGTATTAAGACGCGGAGAGCAACACCTTCTGCTAAATGCGAAACTTTTTTTGCAATTTTCTTTTTTTTTATATTATATCAACCAGTCACTTGGAGAATGTCCCTTGTACGAATAACGAGTTTTTGCCCGAGAATAGTAGGGGAAGGGAAAAAGAATCGAAGTTGCGGCATTCTAGTGGATGCGGAGACAATTGCTAAAGGTGCATTTACTAACTGAGCACTGGCCCACCGCGATGAGATTTGAATTCGCAAATCACGACTTGGTAGTCGCGACTCTTGTCTACTCGACTACGCATCAGGTGGTTCTCGGTACTTTTTTCTTGGATTGTGAAGCCAATATCTGTAATGAGACATAAGGCTTATAGCCTTTCGCAGGGAAGTCATTTAAGCTGCGTTGGTTTATTTCAAAAAAATTTTAAAAGCAAAATTATTAGACATGCATTACAACAGTTTCCCTCTCACCTAAGACCTTTTCATTGTTATGCTCTAAAGCACTTGTGGTACAAGCACATATTTACGCCGCACGCACGTGAGTTACATCCACCTTTTATTACGCCAATCGATTCAGAATCCCTTCCTGAATCGATCTACGGCCTTCTGTCCGTGTATCTGTAGCTGACGTCCGTCAGCTCGTCTTGTTTATTTGTGTTCAACCTATAAGCCGAGGCATTCGATAATTTCGAGATGTTTTGGCGAAATTGGATAGACGACCTGCTTTAGAACAACTGCTTGTGAAAATGTTTCGGAGCGGATCACTTTTTCGACCATTTCCCATAAAATCTACCATTTTGAAAATTCGTTAGATGAATAACTTTTTTAAGCGAACCAATGTAAAGCATTTAGCTGTGTGTCTAATTATAGTGTTTTCACTCATTGTTATTATTGTAATTTCTTGAAATCAAAGAAATACATTTTTGCATTAAAGCAAGAACAAAACAATAGCAGGTAAACCCTCCCTCGCCCTATTGACTTATCCGTCATTCTTATTAACATTTTTTTAATTCAAGTGTATTTACATATTTTAAAGTTTAATTCACCCCTTCAACGCTTTGAACCTTACGAAGACAAATTACCGTTCAGGTTATCTCAAGTGTTCCAAATTATAGGCAACTAAAACAACTGTATTTGAAAGAACATTATTTTCGCATGCTTGTATGTATGCATGTGTATTATGTAATTCGAAATAGTTTTGGATAAGATGTTGGTGTTTTTCTGTTCCTCTTCCACTTTTGAAACCATACTTTGTAAGCAAGAAAGTTATAAAAAAAAAGAAAGAAAAACTTTAGGAAATATTCTCACATTAATTAACTAAACAAAAGAAGACTACAAGAAAAAAAAAAGTGCCTTTAACCAAACCCTTTAAAAGAAAGTCTATTTACTTATTCCCATCACCGTCACCTTCCTTTTACTATTGCACCGTAAAAACAATACCAAAAAAAAGAAGAAAAAAAAAACCCAAAACTATAATTACATATATATAGAAAAGGTAAATTTGTTATACCTTTACTTTAATGCAAAAAAAAAAAAAAATAAAAAAATAAAAAAAAATAAAAAATAAATAAATAAAAGAAAAGAAGAAATAAATAGTTTTTCTAAAAAAAAAAAAAAACGTCTTCATACACGCAATATATGTACACACACACACACACACGCGCGCGCACACATCCACGTATATGCATGCATATCTATCGCTTGCGTATATAATATATATTGCTTGCATTGTAGTACATTGATCGTTCTAAGCCACTGAACCATAACCAAGGAGTTGATAAATGCATTTACACATAAACTGTATGCGCGCAAACTTAGCTAGCTATCTGCCTATGCATGCATGGCTATATCGCCATATGTACACATGTATATTTATTTGCCATACAATCAATGTACAAATATATGCGTTTGCCACTATTGCTCTATTGGTTTTGCTTGACTACTTAATTCTAAGTGCATATATATTACCGATCAATTTTATTAACTTTATTAATATGTTTGGGTTTTTGTTTACATGTTTCTGCTACGCTCCACACACATCTCACGAGGTATATTAAATTAACTTAATGCTTGCAAAGCACAAAAATAAGTACCGAAGATCTCATCTCAATTGTGCATTGTCTTAAGATTTGTTTAATTACAGTATTAACTGTAGTCATTTCCGTCCCTCCGTCTTTATATCGTATTTTATCGCATTGTATACTTTACCGACAAATAAACAAAGAAAAGGTATTCAAATATTCCCATCTAAGCTAAGCTAAGCGTAACAGTGTTCTTCTGATGTTTATAAACGAAGAGTTCCACAAAGAGAAGTCTGTTCCCTTTCAAGAAGATTTCTATATAATAAAAACTACTATGGAGTTGCGATTAAGTGACCATTACCATGATTACCATTTGAACTGAGAATATAGCTGCAGGCAGTGTCGAAATATCCCACTGGTCATTGAAAATCTTTGCAGAAAATAATAGCGGCTACTGATCTGGTGGTGACTGGTGGTCTCTCCCCATTTAGCATTATCCGATTGCTTGAGGCGGATGTTGGTTATATTTAAGCAGAGTGGAATGAAGCGTTTAAGCCACCTTCCCGAAAATTGATAAATTATCTGCAGAAATGTACAAAGTATCTACAGAAAAATATGTGTGGAAAAATATTTATGGAGATGTACTGTATATATGTAATGTATCTACAGAATTTTCCATCGTATCCACATGTGCAGTGTGCACAGAAATTTGTATATATATGCAAAGTATCTCCAGAAATTTGTACCTCTACATGAAGTATCTGTAGACGTTTCTTAAGTATCCCTATGCAAAGCACTTGCAGAGATTTTAACACCTATGTAAAGCATCCCCAGAAATTTGTTAAGTATTCCTATGCAAAGCACTTGCAGAGATTTTTACACATATGCAAATTATCGACAGAAATTTTGTTAAGCGTCCAGTCGTAAAGTCTCTACAAAAATTTGTATCTCCACCGTGCCCTGCAGGCACTTCTTAAGTACTCGAATGTAACATATCTAAAACGTTTGCATCGATCCGTAAAGAATCCATATGTGTAAACTATCCACAGATATTTTTCAAGTGCCCTTGCGTAAAGTGTCCGCATGTTTGATTAAAACGAAAGCGTGATGCGATTTATACGCATCTTTCTAGCCGCCACTCTTTAGCTTCTCTTTGAAATGCGAAATTTCGCCCATGAATTTTTCAATCAAGGAGCCTGATAAAAATTGGATATGGATGTAAACCGTTTGCCAAATCAACTCTGGGGGTCAAAAAATGAAAGCTCGAAAGAAAAATTCAATACATCGCGGCTTATAGATGAAATTTGGTCGCGAGTCAGGTCTACTCGAAGCTGCAG